ATTTAAACGTAACGTCAGGCGGAATGATACGTTTTTGAGGAATGTCAATGTGACGTAGGCAACTCATTTTATACGATATAAAATAATTTTTTATCCAATCAGCGTTACAACCAGAATTAAATTATACTGTAGAAACACAAAAAGTTATTGTTGATTATTTTGTTGATTTGCTGTTTAAAAGGGTTTCGTGGGAATTAAATATTGATCAGAATTAAGTAACCCTATCAGTCGAGGGCATCATGGAAATAAGTTTGTTTTTTTTTTTTGAAAAAAATTGTTAATGTTGCTAAATGTCAATCTTTTGGGTTATTTTTCCCTTATTATGCTTTTTCAATAACTTATTCCTGTTATTGATACTTTACAATCCATTTTCAGTCCTAAGCCAAAGGCTCAAATGAGCTTTTCCGATCAAAATTTGTCCCGATGTCTGTCATTGTCTTTGGCGTTGTCATTGATCTCGTAAACTTTTTCACATTTTCATTATTCTCAAGAACCACAAGGCCAATTTCAACCAAACTTCAGCCACAAAGTATCCTTGGGAGAAGGCGATTCAAGTTTTTTATGCCCCGCCATGAATGTGGGTGGGGCATATAGTGTTTGTCATGTCAGTCTTCTGTCCTTCGGTTCTTCCATCTGTCCTTCCGTCACTCTTCGTTGTGTTTGACATCCAGGTATTGGTAGTCATAGCTGTGTACAGTATCAACTTGAACTTGATCAACTTCTCCCAACGGAGCAGAATTTTGATTTTTGTAAACTTTTTCAATCCTATATTTCATAGGATTACAGGACAGTTCTTTGTAGTTTGGTGCAACAATGGACATAAGTTTTTTAAAGCCTTTGTCTTCAACCACTTGTATTGGCATGTAATCAAACACAACCATAGATCAACAATGGCACATGTATATCATCTGTCTCTTTTCCCAAGAAAAATGGCTTCTTGGAGAATTGACAAATATTAGCTAATTTATTTAAACATAATAGAAATGTTATATGAAAACAAATAATTAAAGCAAAACAAAAATTTGAGTAGAAGACAGCCGAAGGTGAGGAAAGCCAGGTAGCAGGTACTTGGTCACGATAATTACTGTATAAACACTGCCATTGGCATTAATGGTCATAAAGGAGTAGGAAACCCTAATTACTGTATGTACAAGTGCAATGAACATTTTACATATTAAAATAGTTCATTTAATGCATTTTAATGAATAAGCTTAGAAATATTCAAAACTATACATCCGAGTAACCAAGTACCGATTTTAGTATTCGATACTCGGACGTTTGATCGAGTACATGGGTTAACCTGGTACTCGTTGACATTCCTAGTTTTAATACTAAATTGATTTTTGCTCAGGTGAGCGATTTGGTCCCTGGGCCTCATGTTAAGAATTAACTCAAGTGAGTTAGTTCTTTGTAAAGTAATAAATAAGAGAAGTAACTTGATTTCATCTTGCCTATTCAATATATAGGCATATGAATATGAAAATTTCTTTGTGGGATTTTATTTCATTGATTGATAATTTTTTTTATGCACCCGGATCGATAGATCCCGGGCTTATATTATTTTTGTCCTGTCTGTTTGTCTGTCTGTCTGTTGTCAACTTTAACCTTCGCCATAACTTTTGAACAATAAAAGATAGAGACTTCATATTTGGTATGCATACTCCACTAATAAAGTCCTTTCAAATGACATCAAGGTCAATGACCTTGTGACCTTGACTGTGACCTATATGCTAAAAATAGCTTTTTCCACTGTTTGTCATAACTTTTGAACCATAGGAGATAGGGACTTCATAATTGGTATGCATACTCCACTGAAAAAGTCCTTTCAAACGACGGCAAGGTCAATGATCTTGTGACCTTGACTGTGACCTATATGCTAAAAATAGCTTTTTACACTTTTTGCCATAACTTTTGAACCATAGAAGATAGGGACTTCATATTTGGTATGCATACTCCACCGATTAGTTCTTTCAAATGACACCATGGTCAATGACCTTGTGACCTTGACTTTGACCTATATGCTGAAAATAGCTTTTTCCACTGTTTGTCATAACTTTTGAACCATACGAGATAAGGACTTCATATTTGATATGCATACTCCACCGATAAAGTCCTTTCAAATGACGGCAAGGTCAATGATCTTGTGACCTTGACTGTGACCTATATGCTAAAAATAGCTCTTTACACTTGTTGCCACAACTTTTGAACCATAGGAGATAGGGACTTCATATTTAGTATGCATACTCCACCGATTAAGTTCTTTCAAATGACACCATGGTCAATGACCTTGTGACCTTGGCTGTGATCAATATGCTTAAAATAGATTTTTTGAACTTTGTTGCCGCTGGCCGCATAGTGTTTCACAAACACATCTTGTTAATTGTTAAAAACGAAATAAACAAAATATAATCCCCAATGAAATTTTCTGCTTTTACAATATAAGTGGCATGCATGACGTTATATTTCATCCATTGTGAATTTATCTCATTTATTAAGGTCAGCCCTGAAGGACCAATTCCATGAGATCTACTTGAGATGTATATGCATGGTCCCCTTTTCCTTTTTTCTTAACTCTCTAAATATTCCTTCATATTTTCTAAACAATTGTCCTTATCAGTATTTCAATTTCATCTCTTTTCAAAGGAAATTTTAATAACTTTGTACACTGTGACTTTTGATCTTATATAAGGCGAAACCCCAAAAAATGTTTAATTCAAATTTTGCACAAATATTGAATATGGTATACAAGTGTACTAGTCTAGCAAATATATACAAGTGTACTAGTCTAGCAAATTTAAAAAATATCATATTTACATGTACTTACATGAATAACAATGGTAGATTTTACTTTTTGATTTTTCTTCACTTGTTACATGTAGTTCTCATTTATGCAATAGGTACATTTGAATCATCTACTTAAATTGCACTCTGTAAAGTGACATTATCATGGTAAAATTCATCTAGAAAATATTATTAGGGCCCCGCAAGGATTTGCGGGTGCCCTATAGTAATCACTCTGTCCGTCCGTCTGTCTGTCTGTCCGTCTGTCACTCTTCTGTCCACAAATTTTCTGTTTTTTTCTAATATCTTTTTTTATGGTTGCCCAATCAAGTTCAAATTTGGTATGGTAGTTCAGTAGGCAGAAATACATATTTTGATGCTAACTTTGGTTCTCTATGTCTTCTGGTTTGGAGCTGGGGTGGTGGGGTAGATTCCTTAACTATGCATAAGAATGAATGGACAACTTTTTTTATGGTTGCCAAATCAAGTACAAATTTGGTATGGTAGTTCAGTTGGCAGAAATACATATTTTGATGCTAAGTTTGGTTCTCTATGTCCCCTGGTTTGGAGCTGGGGTGGTGGGGTAGATTCCTTAACTTTATATATGAAAGCATTGACAAAGAGAGATAACTGCTGAAGATGTTCCCATTATAAACCGAATGCTGCTATGAGTCCCTTGGGATTAATTAGCTTTTCTCCTGAAGAAAATCCAGAGCATTATCTTTATCTGTCAAATTGAGATGAATTACCACCTCTGTCTGCAAATGAAGTTTGTTTTGAAGTTAAGTCAATTTGGAATGCTATGAACATTCTGAAATGTGGATTTTAATATAAATTTTTATTATTTATTTTTATTTAATAGTTATGATTTCATTGAATTCTAATAACAAGAAATAGATAAAAGAAGATTTTTTGATTTACTTTTTTTCACTTTATGTTAATTCAAGAATATTATTAATTTTTAGGATAGTTGTTTAAAAACGCCATTGTATCATTAATACTGAAAAAGTTCTTATTGTAACTGTAGGACTCCAAAGTGCGATGGGACTCCAAAGTCCGATGGTCACGCCGAAATCCGATGGTCTGCGCCAAACCCCGATGGTCTGACACGCCAAAGTCCGATGGTGCGAAAAAACAATTAACGTTTATGACGTCATAGTTCTACTGCGCAAAAATGCAATGCCGCGCCATGCCAAGGCCCGATTGTTTAAAATAAATACAAATAAATAATAAATGCAAAGACTAACCCTAATCTTTTTTATATAGGTGCGAGAATAACACTTAATAGTCGAAAAATGTGTTACAATTATATAAGCTAGATATCTCGGATCGGTGCTTGACTAACCCAAACCATTCCAATAGTGTGCGAGGACTAACTATAAAATCTCTCGGTTGAGTTCGAAGAAACACATTGGTGTTCAAGAACTAACCCTTATCAGTCGAATGGTGTACAAGGACTAACCCTAAAAGCTTGGTGGGCGAAAACAATAAGCAAAATCAGTAAAATTGTATGAGAGACAAATACTAAATCAATGGATTTTGAATGTAGAACGTCATGACGTCGGACTATTGTGACGTCATAAACGTTGAGTGTTCCTTCGCACCATCGGACTTTGGCGTATCAGACCATCGCACTTAAGAGCAACGTGTCTCATAGGAAACGAGCCATCGGACTTTGGGGTCCGTAAACACAACGAGCCATCGGGGTTTGGCGCAGACCATCGGGGTTTGGCGAGACCATCGGACTTTGGCGTCACCATCGCACTTTGGAGTCTTACAGTAACTTTAGAAGAAAATGATGAGAGAGGTACAATTAATCCCTTGGGATTAATTATCTAGCCTGCTGCAGAAAATTTAGTAGGCTTTTCTTTATCTGTCACTTTAAGATTAATGAAAACCTTTGTCTGCAACTGCTGCTTGTTTGAAGTTAAGGTCAAGCCTTCATGATATTTGCATTCATTGAAGGCTGGCATTTTATATAACACAAGCTTCATAATTGTTTAAATATACGTTCAATTTTAAGTTGTTCTTTACTGCTTAATGTAAATACAAGGATATTATTTTCAGGTTTTTGAATATTCAGGAATTATCTTGAAATTTTAAGAATACAGTTGCTGTTGCTTATTCTTCGTACATTTTTTAATCATTCCGTAAGCTGCACCCTATTAATTCTACCCCATGGCGGGGCTCTTGCTGACTGGTCAGTTTTCTAGTTATTATTATATCCTGAATATACACAGTGTTGTATCTCACTGCAGATATTTGATTTTCTTCATTTTTCTGTTTCCTAATTGAGCAACAAACAGATTGTCATTTGTATCTGTACACAGTCCCCAGGGTTGACTCAGTCCACAGTCTATGTAACTGAGGAACTGTCCATCCTGATCTATGATGTGGACACAGTCATTGTTATAATCAGCTGTAAGGATGTGACTTTGACTGTCTGTGGTGATTCCTAGTGGATTGAATGGTTGGTTCTTTGGAGCAGGAGTATGTCCAGTGTACCTGAATCTCAGTTTCCCGGCCTGATTGACCACCACTACTGCTTTAGCTCCACTGTCAGACACACAGATATCCAGGTTCCTGTTCTCAGTTATATACATACATGTACTACTAGACGGATAGAGAGGGTTATGTTTATCATCAAATTGAATGGTTTGTTTCTCTGTGGAGCCAGAGTAACGGACAACTTTTGTTTGTTTGTAATCATTACTGTCCATGATAACCAGGAGGTCACCAGAGGAGGTACTACAGATATTGCGAGGATACCAGTTTTGTAGTCTGATCACCTCTTCTATCTTCTTATTCTTCACAATGTTCACAGTTCTATCAATGTCATCAGTATAAGTTAGATCTCCACTTTTTGTCACTGCTATGTCAGATGGTCTTTTCTCTGACTTGGTTGTGATTGACTTGAGTAGAGATCCATGTAAATTAAAAATTCTCTTGATTGTGAATAGTGATCCCTGATTTATGCTGTAGAGTTTCATGGTTCTGTCATCTCCACTTGTCCATATTTCTTCATCACTCAGACAGGCCACATTGTAAAGGTAATATTGATACCCAGTGTCTATGGTGGTGACAGTCTCTGGTTCATCAAGCAGCTGTTTGACTGGAGGAGAGGATCCAGCTTCTGGTGATTTCTGTGTTGTCTTCATGCTGTAGCCATGTTTATCTGAAGTTAAAGAACTTGATGATAAGGTGCCAAACAGTTTACTAAGTTCTTGGATTTTTTCTGGATTGAATTTAAGTGGAGATGGTGTTATTTTGTCTGGAAGATTTCTATGTCTGTCTACATTGAGAGTAATACTGAAGAGTTTTGAAATGTTATTAGAATCCTCAGCAAGATCAATTGAATCGATTTCATCTTTGATGTCAGACATTGTCTTGTTTATTTCATCCAGATGTTTCTGTAGAGTTTGTAACTGTGTGTTTTTCATCTCATCAACTTCAGCTTTCAGTTTCTGGACAAGTTTGTCAATTTCTCTGTGCCAGTCCTCTCCATGTTTTGTTATGGCTGTTGAGAGATCTCCATATTCCTTTTCTAACTGACTCATTCTGTTTTGTATATCAGAGGCAATGTCCTGGTAGGTTGGATAAATCATATTATTTAGTTCATTTTGTTCATTGACAATTTTATTCTTTCTTTCATCCACAACTTGTAAGATTTCTGATAATTTATGACCTAGATGTTGATCAGATGCAATGCACTTAGGGCAGACAGGAATGTCACATTGGTTGCAGTACATTGTACTTTGGTCTTTGGAATGAGATTTACATCCAGGGTAGAGGGGGGTAGATTTCCTGGCCTGAAATTTGACAACTTTGTGGTCCTTGGATTCATCTGTTGAGATGTGTTCTCCCACACAGGCCTTACACAGGTTGACAAGACATGTATCACAGTGCATCTCTACCACAGCGGTTTCACACAGGTCACATCGCATCACGTCCTGGGCACTGGTACGGGGGTCCATGATCAAATTTGTGACTCTGAAGTATAAATAGATATTTGTTGTTCTGAATATCTAACAGGATAAAATAAAAGTAATACCGTGATGCTGAGAGTGTGGACAAGGGTTTAAAGAAACATATATGGCAAAATCAAAAATATTGTACAAATCCTTACAAGTTAACAACAAACTTTTCTTTGAAAATATGTCACCACATTTCCAGAATAATTTTGTTTTTTTTACTGTGACAATAACACTGTCACAGTAACTTAATTAACACTTCATGTTCAAAAGTTCAGGGTTCAAGATCCAGCCATGAAAAAACCTTAATCAGTAAAAGATAACATATCATTACCACAATGCGTTGTATTTCCACTATAGAAGAGTTATACTTCTTAGTGTGCTCTTTTGTGAAAAAGTCGGAAAATGTACAAATCTTGCGGGATTTCCAGGACAAACGTAACATTTAAACAATAAAATGCTTTCTTTGTTTGTTGTTACTGGAATGAACGGAAGCAGCTGTTGCAGAAAAAATACATAACCCGCTTACGCGGGTTATGTAATTTTTTTCTGCAATAGCTGCGACCGTTCATTCCAGTAAAAACAAACAAAGAAAGACATTTTATTGTTTATATTTATATCTGTTTAAATTATCATTTTAAGTAGGATTAAAAATATTAATTATTGTGTTAATGATGCGAACGTCTTTGTACGTTTCATTGATGGAACGGCCACTGATCAAGAAATCTGTACTGGTGATATGCCTAATGTAGTTTATGCAGGGATGAACGCAATGGGTTTTCTTAAGAAATAAAGAAGAAAATATTCAGTGGATGTAAATATAAACTTGTAAACAATATGTTGAATGTCGTTGAACAAATCCTAACTAAATGAAATATATATTTTATTGCTGTGGATTTTATATTCATCAATAGTAGGAATGACAATGATATATATAAATATTATTATATATTATTATAACAGTAACTTGATAAAAGGGCCGTATCACGTTGAGTTGACAGGCGTGGATCATCAGATCTAACGAGACGTGAAGCGTTGAGTTTGATCTGATGATCCGTGCCTGTCAACGAGACGTGATACGGCTCTTTGGATCAAGTTACTGTTATAATGATAAATTTATTATATACCCCCTTATAACTGGCTAAATATATTAAAATATATACATTTGTGGTATCTCTCCATTATATAAAGATACAGAGAGAAAATATCTTCAATTCTGTATGAAGTTTGTCAGAGATCAATACGTGACCTAATCACACGGCGCAACAATATCGACCAGTAAATAAATTATAAAATTACCTGATCTACTTGCTTTTCATGTAAAAAATGGACAAAATAAGCAAGTAAAATGATAATTATTTTATTTAAAATGTAAACAGGTATTTCACACAGTTTTTGGGCTATTGATTCAACCTGTGTACATAGAGAAAAGTAGCGTTTGTTTACATTTTTCTTCATTTTTGTCAGCTGCACAGTCTCTAATGTTCATCCTTATTATTTTGGTAGACCTTTCATTAAATTTTCATGAAAAACTTTTATTAGGGCCCCGCAAGGATTTGCAGGTGCCCTATAGTAATCACTCTGTCCGTCTGTCTGTCTAGCTGTCCGGCTGTCTGTCTGTCTGTCCATCTGTCACTCTTCCGTCCACAAATTTTCTGTTTTTTCTAATAACTTTTTTTATGGTTGCCCAATCAACTTCAAATTTGGTATGATAGTTCAGTAGGCAGAAATACATATTTTGATGCTAACTTTGGTTCTCTATGTCTTCTGGTTTGGAGCTGGGGTGGTGGGGTAGATTCCTTAACTATGCATAAGAATGAATGGGCAACTTTTTTTATGGTTGCCCAATCAAGTACAAATTTGGTACGGTAGTTCAGTAGGCAGAAATACATATTTTGATGCTAAGTTTGGTTCTCTATGTCCCATGGTTTGGAGCTGGGGTGGTGTGGTAGATTCCTTAACTTTATATAAGAATGCATTGGCAAAGAGAGATAACTGCTGAAGATGTTCCCATTATAAACTGAATGCTGCTAGGAGTCCCTTGGGATTAATTAGCTTTCCTCCTGAAGAAAATCCAGAGCATTATCTTAATCTGTCACATTGAGATTAATTACCACCTCTGTCTGCAAATGAAGTTTGTTTTGAAGTTAAATCAATTTGGAATGCTATGAACACTCTGAAATGTGGGTTTAAATATAAATTTTTATTATATATTTTTGTTTGATAGTTATGATTTCATTGAATTCTAAAAAAAAAAAAAAGAAATAGATTAAAGAAGATTTTTTGATTTACTTAAAAATATATTAATTCAAGAATATTATTAATTTTTAATGTAGTTGTATAAAAACCCCATTCTATCATTAATACTGAAAAAGTTCGTATTGTAAATTTAGAAGAAAATGATGAGAGAGGTACAATTAATCCCTTGGGATTAATTATCTAGCCTGCTGCAGAAAATTTAGTAGGCTTTTCTTTATCTGTCACTTTAAGATTAATGAAAACCTTTGTCTGCAACTGCTGCTTGTTTGAAGTTAAGGTCAAGCCTTCATGATATTTGCATTCATTGAAGGCTGGCATTTCATATAACACAAGCTTCATAATTGTTTAAATATACATTCAATGTTAAGTTGTTTTCTACTGCCTAATGTAAATACAAGGATATTATTTTCAGGTTTTTGAATATTCAGGAATTATCTTGAAATTTTAAGAATACAGTTGCTGTTGCTTATTCTTCGTACATTTTTTAATCATTCCGTAAGTGCACCCTTTTAATTCTACCCCATGGCGGGGCCCTTGCTGACTGGTCAGTTTTCTAGTTTATCTTTGAATTCTACTACAATAAATGTGTAAATCTGTTGGAAAATATCATTGCAATATCATGCCATGAACAGCTGCCAAACACCTCGGCGTTTTCGTAGTTCAATGTAAAGCTGTCGCCAGTGTCTCCGTGTTTATCAATGTTTTACGATAAGTTTACCTTTAGTTACCGAAAACGTAGAATGTTTTTGATCAAACTGCAAATTAAGTGGCTCGGACAAGTGTCTAAATCCATCGGATCCATCCATCCCTTTCCGGTGACCGAAATTCCTCCAACTTTTTATCATCAAACTTCGGACGTTTTTCTTGTGTCTTTTCAGCATCGATTATCATTTTTCACGAATAAAAATATTCCCAGACAACAATCTGTTCACTATTATTGATCATTAGTAGCCTTTCACAAAATATTAGGTATATAGTAACAATTTATATCTTTTATTGATCATATGTATCTATTTACCTTATGGTATCATCTAAATACAATACACATGCCTCTGGAATGTCGTTATTTATATCAATGGATTATAAATTTTAGGTTCTCGCTCTTTTACATGTCTTTAAGTTTCTCTATTCTTTAAATGGAATGACAGGTAAATTTAACATTTAAAATTTGAACCGAGTTTGGCATATTTCCTACTATCCGCAACGCCATGCTGCTCCATTCAGACGACCAAACACACCTCTAATTCTGAAGAGTTCACTAATGGAAAAACAATGTACAGCTTACTCCACTTATATTGAACTCGCTTATTTTGAAATTCCGCTTATTTTGAAATAGAAATAAATCCCCAGTTTTTGCCTCTCATATTCTTTGCATTAAAATAACGGTTATATTGAAATCGGATATATTGAATTTTCGCTTATATTGAAGCCACTGATCGGTCCCCACAGGTTATAATGAGTTGTTTTCATAACGGTTATATTAAAGTACTCCCTGGCTGCTGTCATTACGGTTGGTGGCAATAATTATGCCTGATTGACCAGGTGATATACAAAGGTTTGAATAATTAAGTTTTCACCTTATGTGTTTTTATACTGCATGTTAATTAATATTCTTACGAAATAAAATTCTTCACTGGCAAATTCTTTGCGTCCATGTATATAATACGGACATATCGAGGCTAAACATCTAAACGTAATATTACAATAGTAACCCCCACAGATCAAGAAAAAAAAAACATAACTTTGCGTGCTGTTAATGATATGCCTAAATTCAAAATAACTAAGGGATAAACCCGAGTACACTTACGATGAAATACAAGCAGCGTTCGGCAGTACTCAGCCGTTTTAGTCCGGTGAATTTTCTCCAAAACGCAAATAAATGCGATTGGGGAATAATAATGAGGTTGAAGATTGTCTTTTTAATGCATCAGAAATAAAAAAAATATTTTAACTTTCAAGGAGTCATATTCTATGTTATCTGATCACTGTTATAGATAAACGAGAACAAAGTTAATTTGTTCGGGTTTGTATTTCTTTATTTTAGATCGGGATTGAACTTGTAAAAATGGCGGCTTCACGATTTCGCTTATATTGAAATACGGATATATTGAAATAATTTGCATGGTTCCCTGAATTTCAATATATCCGGAGTAGGCTGTATTAAGATTCCTCATTCCAAATGGACCTTACTGTCAAGTAAAGGTCTTGACCAAGTCTTACAGAAGTGAAATACTGTAAATGAATTGAAAAATTCTCAAATGGGACGTAAACAATATGCAATCAATCAGTCTCATTACTGATATTCAGCAAAATATCAAAATTTTAAAGTAAAATAAACATTACCTGATGTAAGACAGTAATGGCTGACAGTTTTTTGTACTTTGGTCACATGATTCACCCACCTGTGTTATCTACCTGTCAGGTAATTTACTTCCTGGTCTATATCTAGTGGAGATTTGAATTTTATCAGTTTGAACTGTGGCTTACTGTTTGTATTAAGTTTTGTGTCAATTATTTGTGTAAATGTTATAAGCATATTTCATGAAGTGTATGTGCTAGCACACGTACACAAAAAAAAATAAGGCCAACATTTTTGAGTTGGCTCGCGTAGCAAGCTACTCCCTGTCGACATAGCCGTTTCAGAGCTGTAAAATTTTTCACGCATTCATCAAGGTGATCCATACGCCAAAGATAATAGTTCTAGCAAAAAATGCTTTGGTTTGAGTGAGTTGTATAAACTTAAGAGGTAAAAACTGTATAAAATTTCATACTGTAACATTATTTATGCCTTCTTGCTTTTAAAGAAATTTTTGATTAAATACCTGTAAGATGTACAATTACTGTGTATGAATATGTTCAAGCTTGTTAGGCGGATCTAATCTTCCCATCTGAAGTTTATTTATAATTGACTTAGAATACTCCCTAACACAAACACCTACTGCTCTCATTAGCTGCAGCTAGTTGTTGTTGAAAATCTATTTTTAGAATCCAGATTTGCTCTGGGAATCTTTAACCTAATTATTCCATAACACTGACCACTTGAGCTAATGTGCTTAAATTCATTATAGAATCCATGCAGTCAAAATAATACGGAAACCCATTAGTGCCAACCTGTATATGTAAAGGAAAAGCAATATACACTTTATTTATGAACCGAACATGGATCAGACATATAATATTCAATCTCTAAAGATGCAAAATAAACTGAATATATTAAGGTATGGTGCCCAGGTGTATGAAATAGCTCAATTGATTTGAGCCAGTCAACTCGCAGGCCCTTCAGGCCTTTGATTTTATTTCCTGTTTTACGGGAATTTTTTTCAAAAATTTGAGTCAGGGGGTGGAAATAAAAACAAAATCTTCAAATTCAAGCAGTCGGTCAAAAAAATAAAAATAAAATAAACAAATGTAACAATTTTTTTATTTTTTAATTTAAGAATGGAATTGTTTTATTGCCTAAATTTGGTAGGAAGAGGGTGTTATTTGAAAAATTAATGCATGCAAAACAATTTTATCATAATTTTGGGGTATTCAAAAAAATAACAAGATTTTAGGATTTTGAGTAACTATCATATGGCAAGCATATAGTGAGACTTTTAATGGATTGGTTAAATTATTTCACAAGTGAGACTAATTAAAAGAAAATCTGAGTATCTTTTTCAATGCAATTCAAATTAATATACACATACCGGTAGGTGGATAAAATGTATCTTATCTCTTGAAAACATACTGAAATTGTCTCAATGCATGCTATAACTTTCAAAGTACATCATTGTAGAAAATGCACGTACATGTAATAAAATAAAATCAGGGCTAGACAAATAGCATTGCCCGACGCCCGGGACAACCATTTTTGGTTGGAGGGCAAGTAATTTGATAACAGGTGCCTGCCCGCGGACAAGTACTTTTTTACAATTAACAAAAACAAGAGGCCCATGGGCCTTATAGGTCACCTGAGCATTATGCAACAACTTTCCAGTGATTGAATTTGATTCATGTTTTAATCCAGATGCTATGGCATTCACAATTTTGAAAGAGGCTCCATTGATCATCATAACAATACACTTAGCAGCTGCTTAGTTTGTTTACTTAATACCCATAGGCAGGGTAGGGGAACAAAAAATGCATTTCAAGTAATCAGTAATATTCAGCATGATCAGTAATGCCCCAATCACACATGAACCCCTGACCCTTAGGCCTAGATCCACATATTACACAATTTTTGAAAAGGCACCCTTGCTTTTCAAAAATATTTGATTAATACCAAGGAGCATATTTTGAACAATTCATCCAGTTTCAGTATATAAGTACAGCACCCCCCCCCCTCCTTTATGGTACCCCTGACCCTGGGGCCTTGAAATTCACAATTCTGGAAGATAAGTACCCTTGCTCATCATAACTATATAGGTAGTTCATCTGCTTAATACCAAGGAGCAGAGAAGAAAACTTTCAAAGATTCAATGTATTTTCTCTATATAATCAATAGAGCCACACCCTATCACTAGAACCCCTGACCCTAGGGCCATAAAATTCACAATTTTGGAAGAGGTAGTCTTGCTCATCATAACTATGTAATTAGTTTATTTCATTCCTAGGAGCAGAGAAGAAGATTTTCAAAGAATTCATGTATTTTCACTATATAATCTATAGACCCCCCCCCCCCCTTACACCAGAACCCCTGACCCTGGGGCCATAAAATTCACAATTTTGGTAGAGGCACTCTTGCTCATCATAACTATGCACTTAGTTAGTTTATTTAATACCCAGGAGCAGAGAAGAAGATTTTCAAAGAATTCATGTAATTTCACTATTATAATCTATAGAGCCCCACCCTTACACCAGAACCCCTGACCCTGGGGCCATAAAATTCACAATTTTGGTAGAGGCACTCTTGCTCATCATAACTATGTACTTAGTAGGTTTATTTAATACCCAGTAGCAGAGAAGAAGATTTTCAAAGAACTAATGCATTTTCACTATATACTTATTTGGCCCCACCCTAGCACTAGAACCCATGACCCCGGGGCCATGAATTTCACAATTTTGGTAGAGGACTCAATGCTGATTACAATCATGCAAACAGTTTGACTGCTTGATGTCCAGGAGTAAAGAAGAAGATTCTTAAAGATTGCACTAATTTTAGTGGTTTTTGCCCCACCCCCCGGGCCCCAGGGGGGCAGGGACCATGAAATTCACAATTTTTGTTCCCCTTTACCCATAGATGCTATATGCCAAATTTGGTTGTAATTGGTTCAGTGGTTTCAGAGAAGAAGCTGAAAATGTTCAAATGTTAATGCACGACGGACGACGAACGATGACGGACGAAAAGTGATAGCAATAGGTCACCTGAGTTTACTCAGGTGACCTAAAAATCATGTACCGTTCTCAAATATCTTTTGTGTAATCGCTTTTAAAGTAATCACATGAATCACAGCAAAGCACCTGTTTTCACTGCTGTTCACCACTGCACGTAGATCGAATAATCAGAACTCCTCTAGAATTAACCCATTAATGTGTTGTTAAAATATGCAGATGTCGTAAAACATGGAGTTATCGATGTCGTCAAAAACATTGTATGGGAATTTAGACATTTGTCAAAATATTAAATTCATACTGTGAATACAGATGCTAGTGGTATTAAAATTGTTGTTGATTGCTGTTCCCTGGTAATCACACAGCCATGATGTCGATCTCATAATCGCCATGCAGTAATGTTTCTGTTCACAGTTTTGTGTTGTTTGTGGGTTTTATGAGATTGATCAAAGTTCGATATCTTTACCTTTTTCATTAAATAAATACATTAATTTAAAGAAAGGTGTATCTTATTGCAGAATTTTGAGGAGGAATACTCCTTAAACACGTTTAAATTAAACATTTTCCTCTAAATTTATCTGTGGAAGAATTTCGCGATTTTAGATCTAGGATGGTCTTCATGTAGTGTTTTGGTGTCTCACTCAAAAGAAATAATTTAATATCAATGCTTGAATTCTATGTTATTTAAGAAAAAGTTGGGACAAGCATATTTTTTGGTAGGACAAGTAGTTTTACGATGGTAACCTGTCCGAGGGCAAGTACTGCAAAATTCTATTTGTCTACCCCTGAAAATAGTAAATGTAAAATAGACTATGACATGACAATTACTCTGTTAACTGCAGAATTCGTATATTTCTTAATACTGGTTCTAATCCACAATTTTTGAATTTAAAAAAACACAGGTGCTTGAGGACAGGAACCCCCCCCCATATAGACCCCTGGGCCTGTTAGACTTTTTTTCACATATATTATATATGGATGACACATTTGTGATATAATCTATCCTATCAATTCAGAAAATTTGCTTAAACTTACATTTTATAAAGATATCTACCCTCTCTATTTTATTTTTATAAGAGAATGTAGGGTAGATTTAATAGAACGTTTGTTTTAGGTTATTTTTCGATTTGCTGGTATAGATCATATCACAAATATGGTAATGAAAGATTTTTTATGAGAAAAAAATCGAAAAAGCCCAGGGGTCTATATCGAGGGGGGGTGGGGGGGGTCCTGTCCTCAAGCACCTGTGAAAAAAACAGGTCATATTTGTATGGACGTAACGTTATCATTTGCAGCTTTGTTTTTCCCTAGTGGTAAAAAGGTTGTTTTACAAAGAAAGAGCTCTTATAACCACCATCATGTGCATTTATTTGTTACATGGCAAGTAAAATTCCATGTTGATCGAATCTTAAGTGTGATGAACATTATAATAATGAGTGGAAGTTGTGACTCGGAATTTCCTCAGTCACGCCACTTTCTACAGTGTTCTATTCTCTTGTTACAAGAAAAAGAAAACACTATTGTAATAAAAATAAGTTTCAGAATAATCTTCAAGTCGTATTTCAATGATTTCAAACAATTGTCAAAGATAATACTTACTTAAAACCTCCCAAAACAAAGGGTTGACAGAACCTCAATTTCCACGTGCCGTGGCCCTCCGCGTAACATTTGATCAAGATTACTATTTCGTCTACTTTTTTCAGTCTTTCATTAAAAGTTAATTTAAAATTAATGTTTTTTTCAAATAAATGTCACGTCACTTTTTAAAATGACTGGGTGCATTTAGAAAATTACCCTACGCTTCTGACATTTTGACGCTAACTTTCATGCTGTGCAGTAGCTATCCACGCTTCACCAATCTCTACCCAGAGTTATCGTTCCACTTATACCTCTGTCAACGTCTAAAAAGTAGTACGGAAGTGGAGGGACGTGATTTTTCTTTTTAAATGTTGTTTAAAATTGTTCACAAGAAGATTAACACATTTACATTTCTATATATGTGTATTAATGCTGCAAGTTGTTTTTCTATAAAAACTAATTATAATAAAATCATGTTGATATTTATCGGCAATACATTTTAAATTTTCCACGTTCCTAATGTCCTGTCGAGAAATAATCCCTTATAGGATAAGGTGAAAAAGCGATATCTGATTCTAATTCTCTTAAATTAATGTTTATTTAACCCGTTAAAGAAGAATATAGAAGTTTTACATTCATAATTTATGATGCAATAGTTGAACGAAAGTTTTGCCAAGAATATTGGCATTTAGACGTAGACAGAGGTGTTGTAGCGAAGTGAACGACAACTCTGGGTAGAGATTAACGCTTCACATTCATGCTCATTAGTTTTGCCAACTGTGATTGGATGGATTTATTTACCTCAGCCAATGACAATTCACGTTTTGAAAGGCTTGTTAAAATTTTGTTGACGTTTCTTTTATTTTTTCAGTGACTATAAATAAGCTATCGGCGGGAGAAACAAAAATAAAACTTGAAGAAGAGACTTTTATTTTTATTTCATTTTAGCCCAAATTAGGGTCGGCGCTCCCGTAAAACAGTAAATTAAAAAATGTTGGCCTAAAATTGTCTGTGTTTGCAATCCTCTCTTGTTTGTCTGGCATGGAACAGTTTGAGCGATTTGTTTATTCTGCATATTTTGATTGGCATTGTTAAAATGTGTAACATTGACACAAGAAGATCAATTAAAAAAAAAATGAAGTTAATCTGGAAATTTTGTCAAAATTGATATTAGGGTGGTTCAATAAGTATAATTATGCAAAAAGTCATCAAAAAAGAAGAAAAGTAATTATTATACCCCCCGCAAACGAAGTTTGGGGGGGTATATAGGAATCACCTTGTCTGTCTGTCTGTCTGTCCGTCTGTCCATCTGTCCAGCTGTCTGTCCGTCTGTCTGTGCAATTGTGTCCGGTCCATATCTTTCTTACAGAGGGACATTAGAATCTACTACTCCACACTAAGATTGCTCATAACCTAAGGGTGTGTCATGACCTTGACCAAAGGTCATTTGGGGAAGTTCAAGGTCACTGGAAGAAAAATTTCATAATTCGTGTCCGGTCCATATCTTTCTTATGGATAAACTTGGTAGGTTCTCATTTCACACAAAGATTGCCCATGACCCAAGGGTGTGTCATGACCTTGACCCAAGGTCATTTGGGGAAGTTCAAGGTCACTGGGAGAAAAATTTCAAAATTCATGTTTGACACATATCTTTTATGGATAAACTTGGTAGGTTCTCAGTTCATACAAAGATTGCCCATGACCCAAGGGTGTGTCATGACCTTAACCCAAGGTCATTTGGGGAAGTTCAAGGTCACTGGAAGAAAAATTTCATAATTCGTGTCCGGTCTCTATCTTTCTTATGGATAAACTTGGTAGGTTTTCATTTCACATAAAGATTGCCCATGCCCCAAGGGTGTGTCATGACCTTGACCCAAGGTCATTTGGAGAAGTTCAAGGTCACTGGTAGAAAAATTTAATAATTCGTGTCCGGTCCATATCTTTCTTAAGGATAAACTTGGTAGGTTTTCATTTCATACAAAGATTGCCCATGACCCAAGGGTGTGTCATGACCTTGACCCAAGGTCATTTGGGGAAGTTCAAGGTCACTGGAAGAAAAATTTCATAATTCATGTCCGGTCTATATCTTTCTTATGGATAAACTTGGTAGGTTTTCATTTCACATAAAGATTGCCCATGACCCAAGGGTGTGTCATGACCTTGACCCAAGGTCATTTGGGGAAGTTCAAGGTCACTGGAAGAAAAAATTTATAATTTGTGTTTGATACATATCTTTATTATGCAAAAACTTACTTCTGAAAAACCCAGCGGGGGGTATTTTGTCCCAATTGGACAGTTCTAGTTCTTACTAGTTTCAATCCCTCAAGGCATTCCATGTTACCCTTTACACAAGTCTAAGGTCTTTATACCCATAAATAGAAAACCTCTGCATTCTCATCTATAGAGATGTCCCAAAGACACTATATGAATATCCTTTCCCTTGATATATCTGACATTGTACAATCTTTCTTTTGGTTGTTTTCATGCTTTTTGGGAATGAGAGGTTCTCACAATGGCTGAGATCTAGTGAATATTGGTGATGGAAAAGTTCTAGGTACTTTCATTTCTTCAAAATCGTAATTAATTTCTACGAGAATATAATTATGCAGGTATAGGAAAATTACCCTTGGTCCCTGTATTTGGTTTTCCTTTGCAGGAAATCTGTTTAACTTTCCTTTGTGCAATTTGAACATGAAAGTTCAACAGATGCTATTCCTTCATTAGGATGTATGAACATGTTTTATTGGACCTCTTGAAATACATGAAAACTAATAATAAAACATATTAGGAGCTCTTAATTTTGCTAACTTACTTATATGCTGTAAAAACAAAAATTTTCATGGGGATCACATTTCCTTGATTTGTTAATTGTCTAAACAGTTTCTTAGGCATTTAATTTCATGGAATAAGAAGTTACCCCATTCAATATATTGTCATAAAAATTCCTTGTGGGATTTCATTTCGTTGATAATTATTAACTAGTAACTACAAAATAAACGAAATATAATCCCCAGTGAAATTATCTGCTTCTATAGTATTATTGCCATTCATGACGTTATATTTCAACCCTTAAGGTGATTATTTTTCCTTTATTAAGGTCTGCCCTGAAAGACCGATTCCATGAGATCTACTTCCTGCCTGACATTCCAGAGCTGGCCGACGCTAATGCTGTTCTGAAGAAATATACAGAGATAGGGCCATCTAGGTGATTCTTTACTAATTACTTAAATCTCGTTTTATACACAATAGCGTGCATTTACGTCATTAACTGTCGGGTGCCACTGATTTTATTAAAAAGTTGTTTCATTACTAAATAAGACAACAATAATAATTTTATAATTTCATTTCTTTTTACGGTATCTTTGGATTGTATTTGATGTAGTACCTGCTAATTAGATAAAATTATTTTTAATTCTACAGCCAGTCAGACTTTGGGACCAAATTAAAACACACAATAAAGGGAGTCCAGCATGAGAGTGCAGACATCAGAATCCATGCCCTGTCACAGCTCAGGACCCTGCTACAGCAGGAAAAGGTAGGGGAATACTGGGGGGATGGGATACATTAAATATTTTTACATTGAATTTCAAAAAAGAAAGCAGTATAATATGAATATGTATTCATTGCTTCATATGTTGTTTTAAATTTATGGACTTTTATACCACTCTCAGGCATCTTGAAACTGGTGACATTTAAGAGATGAAATTATTTATTCCATTGAAAAATTCTTAACTAAATTGATAATTCAGAATAGTTTTATAAGTTTTTTTTATTAATGCTTATTTAATATGTACAATGTCATAGAAAAAAAACATGCTATGAACAAAATTAGATAATTTTCATTTGGCACTTAGAAGTAAGGTTCATTGATCCTAAACAAAATATGCACTAAAAAAATCAGTATTGGAAATGACAGACAGTCACACTGTAAAGTAAGTCACAATACAAGTCTCGGTTAGATCAACACAACTTAGTTCCTATATGCACACTGTAACACGGAGTCCATACAATCACTTCGTTTGGATTTCCTGGCGAGCTCTCGAGTTAGGCTCACCATCTGTACATGACTGGTAAACTCTGGAAATTTTTTGATAAAGTAGTTAGGCACTTGTTTCCTTGTGTTGTTAGCCCGACTTCTCTTGTTTGCAAACCAAGACTTCACCTGCTGCTCCGAGATCCCAGTCCTCTTGGCCAGTTCACTTTTCACTTCGTCCGACGGATACGGATTTTCTCGGTTTGCCTCGTACCACTCGCTGAGAATCCGCCGAGCCTCTGGATGAAGCTGCTTGTAATTGTTGGGCTTCCCATCAGTTCCGTTGTCTGAGTATCTCTGACCTTTGAACTTGAATTTGATTGGATGTTGATTGCCTGTGATGGAGAGGGTGTTGTAGTTACGGACTCGCTTGTTGGCCATCCATTTCTTGATCTGCTGTTGCGTGAGTCCTGTTTGCTTGGCGAGTTGCTCCACTTCTAAGTCTGATGGATAAGGATATCGAATGTGTTCATCATACCAGGCAGACAGGATACGAGTTGAATCAGCTGTTATCTTCTTTCCTTGAGGCTTTTCTGACATTCTTGGCTGCTTTGACTCGATGTTTTCATCGTTAGGTTCAGGACACAGTTTCCTCTTGAGAGAATGTCTTCCCACAGTAACAGTCTCCATGGTAATAGAGTTGTCACTTGCTATTGATTGGTTAGTTTCTTCACTTCTGTAATCCTCTTTCACAAAGTCTGTACTTCTTTTGAAGATATTCCCACCATTAAAAATATGTGTATGTGTGTTAATGTCAAATGGTTGTAAAACACAATTCTTTTTTGATTGAATTATTGCACTTAACTTGGAGTCCTCACTACACTTGCCAGCATCAGAATGGTGATCACTTCCATCAGAGACACAGGAACTTGCGTCATCCTCACATATCCCAGAATCCCCTAGCATGGTCTTTGTCCTGAAAAAACTTAAATCTGTTTCCTCATCAGTCACAATCTCTCTGCTCAGGTCAACTTCCAAACATTCAGGTGAACTGACTACCTCTGGGATGGAATCTGGAGTATCGGGTCTTTTAACACAAGAATCGTTCTGTTTACCGGCAGCGAATGCTAACTGTCTGGCTACCTGTCCACTAGATTTGTGAGGGAAGGCCATGCTGACAACACCCTTGTCTGTTGTTAAGAGTGGCTTGCTGATGACATTGTTTGAGGTCACGTGAGGCAGATTCTTTTTATGTTGGACTTGCTGTAAAATGACTTCATACTGTTGAATGAGATCTAGACGTTTCACATCATGGTGATGATTGACGGCTTTCCGGTGTTGGTCGGAGATTCCTGCTGCACACAGTGCCTGGTATCGCGACACCTCGATCTGTCCCACCTCACCGCTGTAGGTCGACTCCAGATTAAGTCCCTCTGATCGTAAAGATTCAATGGCGCGTAGCTCCAAGAATTTCTCCTGTAGCTTCATGTGTCTGGGAAACACATCACAGTGTTCTGATTTCACAGTTGTATTGTTCTGACTGGAGTCAATGAGATTAGTCGGTACCTGCATGTGTAAGCACTCCTGAGCCAGTAGATTCTGTAGATCTCTGAACATGGGGTTCTTCTGTAGGCGTTTGAGGTAAGCGTGGTGGTGATGTGATTCAGCGGGGGGCATCTGTGACGGTGGCGACATGAGAAACGGAGACAGAGGCACCGGGGGGATGGGGGAGGTGAAGGGGGACAGTGTGGGGGTGATGGAGGGAGGGGAGAATATCTCCAGGTCCCCCAATCTGGTACCCACAGGGCCATGTCTCTGGGTGGTGCTGGCACTGGGTGGGGGAGAGAAGAGGCTGAGGCCATTCCTCAAGGAAATGTGGTGGTCCATTCCATCCATCAGAGAGGAAAACATCATCTTTGATTTTGTTATTTTGTTTCACAGTGTCTTAAAATTTTTGAAGTTTGTATATTACATGATATCACTCAAAATTCCAAAAATAAACCAAAAGTATTGTTCAGGCCTCGCATAAATGTATAACTTTTTCCACTTTGAAGCAGAATCTCTGAGTAAATGTCTTAAAGCAGCACATAAAGGTCCACTTATATTGAAAAGAAAGCTCACTATGAAGTTGTGTTGTTGAGTTCTAGTTATGAAATGATGTTCCATAGTTTGATATTTGCAGTTTTTATTTGAAATGTTTAAAATCACACATTAAGAACATATGAGGAGTAGCTCAGTATATTTACACCTCTGTGTCACCAGAGACAGGTAGAGGAGTGGAGAGGTGTGTAAATCTATTGTCTTTGGCGGGGAAGTTGTGTTTTCTTAGGCACATCAAAAGACATTAACTGTAATGGGGCAGTGTTTATGCAGACTCCAACAGAAGGTCTCTCAATGACAAGGAGGAGATTGCAGTCCAAACACCCAGTAGAAGGTACAGATGGGCAGGTACAGCAAGGCTTTGATGTTTACCTGTTTATCTAAACAGGTGTGATAATTAGCCTCCACACACTGGTAGAGCTAGCTAATTGTTCTAACTACACCCCATTATCTATTGACTGGATGATTGCTGTACAATAATTAGATAAGGACAGATTATTGGGACATTAGAGGGCTGGATTAGACAGCTTGTGGATATAATACAGGATTGTCCCCCCCTGATGAGTTGTCTCTGTCACTGGTTTCCTTACTGTCCAGTGTTTCCCAGCCACTGTCAGTTAATATAGAAGCTTGTATATGTACTAACAGCTGCCCCCTGCTCTCTAAATTATTAAAGTAATAATAACTATTACTTCACATTGAATTTGTAGAGTTTATACTTTTAAAATGTTTTTACAGTGTGAGTGAAAGTTAGGTTTATATATAATTTGTTATTTTATAGTTTAAAAAATATTAGAATAAAGCTGGTGGATTTTCTGTTCATAAAATCTGTAAACATCTCAGTGGAATATCTGAAATGAAAGCATATTTTTTTTTCTCTTTTTTTTTAAAAACAAAATATATATATATACTGGGATATGAAATTAATTGTTTTGGAATTATTTGTATAAAAATATGAAAAATTGAGTTCTAAATATTTTTTAATTCTTAAAAAACTTTTAGAACTAAGAGATTTAAGAAAATATTTTGGGAAAAAATATTTAAAATTTATTTATTTATTTATTTATTTATTTATTTATTTATTTATTTATTTATTTATTTATTTATTTATTTATTTCATTTATTTCATTCATTCATTCATTCATTCATTCATTCATTCATTCATTCATTCTAATTCATTCATTCATTCAATTCATTGAATATATTCAGTTTTCATTCAGTTTCTGAAATTCAGGAACTGATGAGTTGTCTATATTTGTTATCAGGATGTGCTGTACGACTACATCATTGGCAATAAAAAAATTACAATAATTATAGTCTTCTGTTAATCCTATTTAATGCAATATAATTCAACTGATAGACAATGAAATTTAATTCTTAATTTAGTTTTCATTACAATTACTAACTAAAATTTCAAGCACAAACTACTTCAAAGTTTAATTGGTAGATTTTAAATGTATTACATTTTACATGTGTAAAGAATGTTTGTAGAATAAATAAATGATTATTTTCAATGATTGTTTTCTTTTTTCTATAGTTGTTGAAGAGCTGTCGGGATTCTAATGTTAAAGCCCAGGGACTGATTGCTGAGTGTATTGGTGAACTGGGGGCTATAGACCCGGGAAGGTAGTTTTTTTGTTTATCATAAAAATGGGTCTATGACAGGTGACCGACAGACAACTCACCGAACAACAACTCGCTGACACTTTTTTCACCGACGCTATAAAACTTGCCAATGCGACAACTCATCGAAAGACAGGTAACCGACAGAAAAGTCATGGATAGAATATAATACACCGACACTCACCGACATCATTTATAAAATTAAGAAAAAATCAAGTATGTGAATGTACCTTTCTTTATTCATATTTTTTTTACATATTAAATTTGATAATTGAAGTTGTGTGCCAACCCCTCTAAGTACGGAATAAAGGAATCCTTTAATTTGTCCTTTCAACGCAATCCTTTATTACAGTCAAAATTCCTTTTTGCTTCTTTTTTTTCCATCAAATCGTATACTTAACCCGTAATAACCGACCTTCTCACCATTTTACTCCGTGCTTGTTCCGATTTAAGAGACGCAATGAATTTGAATATATCGGGATGTGCTCATAACACAGAAAACATTGCTTTTTATACAACTTTAATTATCTGAACACTTAACACATCAACATAAGGTAAAAACCATTGTCAGTGAATTTCTACTCACCGACAATATTGTTGGTGAATTGTCCATTCTGTGAATTTGCACGCGTCGGTGACTTTCACTTTTGTAGGTCAACTGTCTGTCGTGAGTTGTCCGGCACTGCATAAGAATTCCTTCTTTCATTGTAAAACTCTTCAATAAACAATATTTTGTGCTCATGCATTTTGTAATTTCTAATGGGTATGCCAAGGCCTAACAGTCAGTACAATTAATTGATTCTAAGGGATTTAATGTAAATGTAATTGTTTTTAAACCAAGTTCATTTATTTTTTCAAGTTCATTTATTTCACTCACACCAACATCAGTGGTACATGAGGTACAATATATAAATTAGTCGTCATAATTGTAAGAAAAATAATAAATATAATTATGATACAATAGCATAAATAAGAGGCATAACATATGTGCAAAGTATAGCAATAAACATACAATGAAAAAAGAATAAAAATAATAGAAAAGAGGATATGGTAACATTTAACTTATGGAGGACAGACGAACTACCACAGTAAATACAATTAATTCTATACAATTTCTAGTCATATTGTATAAGCTTGATATACAGATTTGCTACAATGAATCAACAATTTGACATGTAACTTCACAAATGGAATAAATAGAATAATTAAAATAAACAATTAATTGGTTGAATAACTGTTACAATAATTTTTGTACTTCTGTATCACAGGTTAGAGTTTATGACCAACAACCCTAAAGAAGAGAGAGCTAAGTTCCACAGTGGTATCGGGGACGACAGTTTTGCCGTGGGTCTGATAAACGAAGTGGTCAAGGCTTTCCTGGCCGCTCAAGAGAGTCGTATACAGGTACAGGAATCAGACAGGGAGTAGTCTCTATAACTAAGTGGTCAAGGCATTCCTGGCGAGGTCAAGGTCAGAGAGGGGTGGATGCCTTACTTTACTTGCTTATTTATATCCTACTTGTTATTTTACTAGGACAGTGCCACTTATGCTTCTACTTAGTACTGTCATTTGATTATTTATATCCTACTTGTTATTTTGCTAGGACTGTGCTGCCTATGCCTTACAAGAACTTCTGAAGATCTACCACATCAGTGAGGCGTCGGACTCGGACAAGACCTCAGGGAGACTCTGGGACCGCTTCCCCGAGCACGCCCAGCAGATACTGGTCCCTCTCCTCTCCTCTAAGTATGGCAGGCCACCAAAAAATCTTATTATTCTGTATATCTTACAACAATGCCCCCCTGCTCTCCTCCAAGTAACAGGCACCAGGAAATCTAGACTGATAAAACTTATTATTTTGCAAGTCTTTAAACAATATTGTGTAGCTTCTCATTTATATTCAGAATTCAGTTAGAATGGTAAGAATGTTCAAGAAATAATTATATGCAGAAATGTGAATATTCACTTGTGATTTGTTCAAAATTTGATAAGGCTTTTATATTACTCTCACACTCAGGTACATAGTGAATAAGAAGAGTGACTTCTCCCAGCTGACTAAGCCTATATACTACAGCAGTGAGAGGACCAGGAAGTTTGAGGACTGGGTTCACACCTGGACTTCTTACCTGTCCTCAAAGGTGAGTAATACATACACTTCTTACCTGCCCTCAAAGGTAAGTTAAGTATATACTTATTACCTGTCCTCAAAGGTAAGCTAAGTATATACTTTTTACCTGTCATTAAGGTACAGGATATATATACTTCCTGCCTTTTCTCAAAGGTAAATATAGTACATAAATTAATTTTACATTTCCACATATCTACTGCAATTTTAAAACCTCTGAACAAATGTTGTTTAATTGATAAATGCTGTACAGTAACTTATTGCAACAGTAAAAATTCTGAATCAAACAACATGTAAACAACTGAAATTTTATGTTAAAACAATAAATGTACATGTAGTTCATTCTGGTTATCAGTTGTTAAATATTTTTTTTAAGAATTGTTAATAACATATAAGACCTCTATATACAACACAGATAATTTTACACTTTTGATCAGTGATTTTTGATGGAATATTCACAAATCTGATATGAATGATTTGAGTTAAAATTGATCTATATAGAATGTTACACTGTGTAATTGAACAGTTTTACTATTCCTTCATGGAATCCCACTCACAGTGTAGAATTGTAGAGGGACAGTGAAAATGGATTATTCACTTCATTTTCCCTCAGTAAGAATTCCAAGAATTCCCCTTCAGGACTCAGTAGATGGATCTCTTTGTTGTATGGGTCAGTAACAAGGATATTACAGAGGGAGTCATACACCACATCAGTAGGGCTGAAGTTCTCTTTCAGGTTCTATCCATGGTAAACAGACTCCATTCGACCAGAGGGAGACATAATCACTAGTTCACTTGTAGTATTACTTGTAAGGTTCACAACACAGATATCACTGTTATTGTTCTGTGTGACTCTAAATGGACATGTAAACAGTCTGGTCTGACCGTCCTCCTGGTACTCATAATTATTGATGACATCACCTGTCACTGTGATATGTCTCACCAGACGTCTGCTGAGCGAGTGTATTTTGTAAATCTGGTGCGTTGTCTCTCAAGGTGACTAGTAGTCCACCGTCCACAGACTGACAGATTCCTCCTGGTTCCAGTGGATCTGTTCTGGTGACCATAGAGACAGATCCTGATGGTGACAGACAGCGGATTGAATTGTTTCTTCCATCAGTGAAATAAACATCATGATTATCAGTCACAACCATGTCATTTGGAAAGATTTTAAATCTCTCTTCTTTCATACCTTGCTTGTTAACTTTTTCTATGTAATTTGATTTATCTCTCAATATGTAACATTTGTCTTCATTGATTGTCTCTAATACAATTATTGCTCTTTCTCCATATTGGAATGAGTTAATTTGAGATGCACAGAAATCATCTAAATCCACAGTTCTTCCAACCAAAGACTCAAGTAATTCATCATTGATTTCAGCTATAATGAACCTTGCTGTATATTCACACTTAGCTGTATGAACTTTCAATTCAGACAGCATTTTTCTCAGTTCTCTGTGGTTGTCAATCAAGCTGTAATCTCATTATCTGACATGGTGCTGTTGTTCTCCTCCATGAATTCCACATTGTCAACAATGTATGTCTTCTTCTTCTCCAACTCAGATTTCACTTGGTTCAATGGATAATTTTTGTTAACCAAATTGTCTCTCAGTATTTGTTCATGACGTTTTTTGATTTCTATCAGCCTGGTCATTATCTCATCAACATGTTTCTGTAGCTCTTTAATCTCAGAGTCACACAGTTCTTTATTTTCACTGATCTGTTTAGAAACCTTCTTAATCTTCTCATCAATGCCAGGCAGATCCTTTTCCTTGACCTTCCTCAGAAATTTAAGCAGACCTCTCCTCTTTTCGGTTGCTGTCGTGGGTAGTGTGTTCCAATCATGATCCTTATGGTCTGTTTTTGCACATTTACCACAAATAAATTTATCACAGTCCTCACATACCATATCAATCGGTAATTCATGGGATTCACACATTACAATGTGTTCTTGAGGAGAGCCCAAAGGATATTTTTTGGTGGTACTGACAGCCATGTTGGTCGTGTGTTTCCTACCTGAATGAAAAATTCAAAGATAACAAACAGTGATCAGTCTCAAGAAATGACCCATTTAATAATATGCAGATAACTGCAAAGATTGTGAAGTTGAACTTATTCAGTTGGGCACTTAAATGTGAAGTACAATGTTAACATTAAGGTGTTTTATTTTGAGACAAGATATAATCATTTTGTCAATGACCTGAAAAAAAGATGATTGAAATTCAGACATTTTACATAAATCCACCTACTTGGGGTTTAGAGTGTTTATGATTTTTCATACACTGTAAATCACTTTTTATTCACGAGAACTTTATTTTCGCGTAATTACGCGAGACGGTATGCTCGCGAAAATTTAATTCTCGCGTGTAATAGTATTCCTCAAGATTATATAGAGCAATAACCACAATTCGTGAAAATTTGTCTCGCTAATCAAGAGTCAATGACTATCTCGCTAAAATAAGGTGTCGCCAATATTAAGTGATCTACATTATTATATATCATGTATATACGATTGATGCAAAGTTTATGAAGTTTGAATAGATCCTGAACTCAGGTCAAGGGTAAGAACTGACTCTGCAGAACAAAATACAGATTCTAAATGCAGTTGATAAAATTCAAAGTACTCAATGTACTCCAAGTTAGGGTCATTAAATAAAAGATTTAAAAATAAAATATACGAAAATTAGGGTTTCAGTGAAATTTTATTTAAGGAGTAATTGTTAACTTAGTAGAGTATGCCAGGGCATCAACAATAGTTGGAAACATGGGATAATTTGCATAACAGGTGAAGCAGTTTAAACTTAGGTAAAGAAAATATACATTCTAACTTATATATATACTGCACAATGTTCCATAAAGAGAATCAATTAAATGCTATATTACTTAAAATGTAATTGTATAAACAGTCTTGTTCTTCACTCTAAATATTATAATATTTATTTTGTCTTACTTATATGTCCAGAACTTTGATACATTGGTAGGTGAAGAATGAGAAGGCGTTTGAGGTATTCCGAGCCTGTGGGGCCCTGATCAAGCACGTGGTGGGTGTGGCCCTGTACATTCTGCCGTACGTGGTACTGGAGGTCGTAGTGGACGGGTCAGAGGAGGACAAGAAGGAGGTCAATATAAACAGTGTAAAAAAAAAAATAGGGGACGTAGACTTTAATAGAGAGTGGGGGGGGGGTCAGTTTTCATTACATGGATCTTGCATACATGCATCTTGGATAATGGGATATATGTTTTTGAATCGAGATCGAAGTTGACATGTTTGTAAAAAAAAATATATCGGTAATAATGGAAGAATACTTTTGCTTAAAGAATAAATTTGTCATTGGGAACTGTAATTAATTTTTTTCCAGATAAGTGAAGAAATCAAGGAAGTCTTGAACCGGACCAGAAAAACGGACAACAAGGACCGCCCGATCTCACATTCCCATCATCTGAGTGCCCAGACAGTGTTCTCTGTACTGGATTATCTGGTCAAGTGGAAGAGATTCCAGGCTCAGAGGGCACCTGTCAGCTACCCTGGAAGAGGTAAGCACCTCTCACCTAACCATAAAATGGTAACCCATTCTTAAAAATATAAGCACTTGTCTGCTACCTAGGGAAATTGAGCACAATGCACACTCAGATAAAGATAGCACCTGTCAGCTTCTCATTGAAAGGTAGCAGTACTAGCACCTGTAGGCTATCCTGGAAAAGGTGAGTACCTGTCAGCTACCTGGCAAAAAGTTAGGAAGTAAATGTACCTATCACTCAACAAAAAAAGGGAATGGATAAAAAGGTACTTGTCAGATGAACAAGGAAAGGTTACTAGATAATGGTAAGCATCAGTCACCTTCACAGGAAAAGGTAGAACCTGTCAGCTACTGAGGGAAAGGTAAAAAAAAATGTCAGCTTCCAAAATGTTTTTTACATACACATGAAAGATCTGTAAATGTCTTCAAACTTTGCCTACATACATATTCTAACCACAAATTTCCAGTGCACATACTGTGCTTTGACCATAATACAGTGTGATACCCATTACAGAGAAGCCCAGTTACCTGACAGAGCCCCGCTATGTGGCGGTGACCCGATTCCTGGAGACCACCCCCCAGGACCTGCTGGCGGATGCCTGTCATTCCTGTAAGGCCTACACTAGAGCACTGATGCACCTAGAACAGCTCCTGTCCAGCAAGGGGCAAAACATACAGGATCATCTAGACTTCATGCAGGTACATACAGTGATAATTATCATAGTATTATAAAAGATAATCAGTTGCTGAAGTGATTAAAGGTTGAACAATAATATCGATCTTTGCTCTACACTGTGTATTCTTCATACTAAAATTGTTGAACTTTGGGTAGAAGTTTAAACTAAATATAAATGGTGTCATTGATATTTATTATTAACATATTTATACTAGTTTACTTCTGGGCAAATTCCTTTAGACTGGTAAATAGAATCACCAATACATCTAATAAGAACAGGTCTGATTTTATCAAAGTTTAGCTAAAGACTGATAATTATTATATACAGGGCCTACACAGTCACTCATCTTTCAAATGTACAAAAAATTCAAAAGCCCCTGCTTCCCAAGAATGAAGTTATTTCATCTTGAGAAAAAATAAAAGTCTGTGTGTATTAAGAAAAAGTCCAAGTGAAGAGGGGAAACACAGGAGTTATCTTTCCATGACCATGTTTTAATGTGAATCTCAAATACTGATATGGAACTTACAAAGTTTACAGAGGAGAGGGTGAAGGGGAAATATCTAATGGCTATGCAAAGAACGATTCCAATTAATTTTTTTTTCAGAAAATTTTGTTAGATAAATTGAAATTCAGTTATAGAACACCTGATATTGTGTATTACAGAAACTGTATGTAGACATGGATGAGCCGGATGGTGTGTATGGTGTGGCCTCTATCAGACAGGCCCAGCCCACCGTCATGGAAGAAATTCTGGCTCACGAAAGTCTGGGTAAACTCAAACATCAGTCATTTATATATTCTAAGACTCATCAATGATTGCTAACAGTACAGTTCTTAGTGTGCCTCTATGTGTTGTAATAATTTTATTAAAATTTTAATGCAGTAAAGTAATTGTTTACAGGTCAGCACCACGACTCTCAGGCCTGTTATGAGAAAGCAATCCAAAGTGAGGCTGATGATGTCACGTATCACCAGGGACTCCTCAAGAGTCTGCTAGAAATAGGTCAGGAAACCCAGGCCCTGCTACATGCCACAGGGGCCATTACTGAAAGGTCAGTAAATAACATCAAATCTGCCAACTTGATGCTATAAATAATATCAAAATTGGCAAACATGATTCCAATGATACATGCTCCTTCAAATTGGCAAAAATAATACTGTAAATAACTTCAAAATGGCAAAACATTATGCTGTTAATAACATTAAATTGGCAAAAATGATTCTAAATGCAAAAAATAGGAATAATATACTGAAAGTGGTAAATGCTAAATGTACAAAATGCAGAAAATAGGAATAATGTACTGAAAGTGATGTTGAACTTGTATGTCAGCAGTGTTGTGTTTCTTACAGAAGGGAATGGGGCCCTCAGTTGAGCAGTTATATGGTGGAAGCAGCCTGGAAACTCGGAGACTGGCATAAACTGGAGACCTTCTTAGAATCTGTAAGTTGCGGTGATCATGGTCTATTCATTGTTTTTAAACATTTGTAGGGTTCATACATAAGTGCTGAAGTAAAGCCAAAAAATATTGAAGTGAACAGGTGCTCTCCAGTATAAAACTTAGAAGAAAAATTAGCAGGTTTTGAAAGTGATTCTTAGAGATGTTTTTTTTTTAATTTTTTTAGAATAAAAGCACCAGAGGTTGGCCATTTGGAATTGGCAGAATTCTGATTGCTGCAAAGAATAAAGTATGTCAAAATTTATTGTAATTTGAATTAAAAGCATTATTTTTTTCTGATTGAAAATGCAGTGGGCAGTTTTAATATTTTTTTGTTGTATTAATGTGTTAACCAGAAGGAGGGTCAGTTCTTTGAGCAGCTGAACACCGTCCGATGTGAACAGATAGGTCCCCTGTCAGCGGCCAGCATGGAGAGTGGCTCCTACCTCAGGGGCTATGAATATATTGTCAGGTAAGAACAGAAATTATAGCTGGACTAGCTTACCCTACAAATATATTGTCAGATGAGAACATAAATAACTGGACTAGCTTACTGCTACGAATATATCGTCAGGTAATGGTTGAACTTGCTTACTGCAACAAATGTATTGTCAGGTAATCGGATTTGATCTGATTTCAAAGATGAGTAGAACTGTGGTCTTAAAGACAGAAAAATCTCAAATTTGCTTCTTTAGGCTTCAGAGATTTTACATTTATAAAAGTATTAAAATGCACAATATGTCTACAAAGGCTCAAGGACAAAGTAAAACTAAAGCTTTTAGATAAAAAAAAAATTCAATGTCATTTCATGTTTCAGGTTACACATGTTAAATGAAATAGAGGAGAACTGTCGGGTTTTACTTGGAATCAGAAATAACCCGGACGATGATTCTGAGAGGAAATCCACCATGGACCAGCTTCTACAACAGTGGGAGACCAGATTTGAGACAGTTCAGGTCAGGAATTTGCTTATAATCATTTCTCTTTAATGATCGAACTTTAGCATCTATTATGCCTAATTCTACATGAGTAAAATCCTGCATGTGTATAATTACATGTACTCAAGCTGTTAAACGGTCTTGTTATGATTGCTATGATTGAATTGGTAAGTTGAATTTTTTTGAAAAGAAATTGTATAATGCAATTATTTTTTAGAAGGTACTGTGTTTCTTTATACACCCATCAAGCAATGTTTATTTTCTTGCAGTGTTCATTCAGGACCCAGGAGCCCCTCCTGACCCTCAGAAGGACTCTGTTTACCCTGGTCCAGAGACTGACCGACCTTGACCTAGATCAGGAAATAGGTCGCTGGTGGCTCTCCAGTGCGCGTATAGCAAGAAAGTAGGCCAATCTTCTATATAAATTTGTGAGATATAAAAGTAATGAACCTGGATGAAAAATTGTCTGTCCTTGGAATGTGAGCTTTGTTCCTTGCGTAAATAAAATACACAATGAAATAAACATGTTTTATGTTGCATGTATTTCAGAGAAATGTTATATTGTACACATGTAATGTTTTGAAGATTTATGCTATTGGAAATCATATATCTTAGAAGGGGATTAATTTAAAATAATAACTTATAACTATATATTCTGTATATTTATATTTTAATCAATGCCCATTTTATTCCAAAAAATGAAACTGAAAGATTACAGTTTCATAAAAATACTAATTATATAACATTTACAAAGATCAATAATTCTACATTAAGTACACAGATATTTAATAGCATTAACAGTCCCATCACTTTGGCCCACCCACAGTTTTCCCTTCCCAAAGTAGCCCAGCGATGAGGGCTGGTTATTACACTGATAAATTGTCCTCAGTAATAACCCATCAGGATTTAATAAAAGTAAAAGTTTACTGACGGCATCGGCCACAACAATCTGGTTCTCAGAGTCAAAGGTCATGTCTTGGGGTTCAAACGAGCTGTTGACCTTGGGAGGGTAGGTGAATTTCAGAGTTCCATAGTCGGTGAAGACAAGGACGTTTCCTTGTCGCCATGACGTCCAGTTGACGACTCCAATGTCTCCGTTGTATTGACTGATGCGGACCTTGTAAGGGGAGACAAATAGTGGTTTGACTCCGCCTGTGATTGTTCTATTAATGCCCTCTATTGTCTGAATTATCTCCCCTTCACTGGAATATTTACGAAGGAGTCTTTTACTGGACGATGTCACATTAAAATCCCAGGCATCCACTAATGCCACCACGATACAGTCTGTGTCAAAATGGACACTGATTCCATGTGGATGTAGATCTTCCGTAAGAATGAACTTACGAATCATTCCGTCAGAGGAGAATGTTTTAATACAGAATAAATCGGGACAGGTTATGAGGACGACTCCATCTGACGTAATGGCGATATCACTTTTCTTTGTGTTGGCTGTCAGAGATCGTAACACTCTCCCCGTCTCCTTGACAAGTTTGAGATCTTTCCCTAATTCATCACATAGAAAAGCTCGGTCTTCTTTAAATGGACAGATGCTGGTAATGCCTTTTTCAGAAACCTTAAATTCACCCAAGTCTTCAACATCATTTTGAAGCTGATTGAGAATGCAGGCTGAGGCGGGTTCCACATCTTCGTAGACGTTTTCCTGGTTTAATTTCTTCCCCTCCATCTCCAGTTTCCCGAACATCTCCCCCATATTCTCCTTCCTGAGCTCCCCGGCCGTAAACTTGTAGTACTCCGTATCGACCTGAAGGTCACGGCTGTTATTGTGACTGTCGACGGCGTCGTTGATGTTGTTGTACAGGCTGAGAATACTGTGGACGTTTGTTTTCTGGAGCTCGGCTTTGGCCTGTTTGAGGAAGCTCGCCAGCTGGGACTGTTGTTTCTTAGCCTTGTTCTGGGCTTTGGTTATTTTGTCCATGTTGGTTTTCTTGGATTCTTTTATGGCTTTTGACATCTCCTGAACCAGTCTGTCTATCTCATTTTTCAGTTCTTTTCCTGTAAAATATGTTGTCATTTTGTGTGTATTCATTTGATCAATCATTTAACATTAACTCCTTTACTTAGAGAATAATATAACTTTTTCAGGCAGAAATTTACTTGAAAGACATTTTTAAGGTCACAGAATTTTTGACAAACATTAGCAACCCAGCCTACCCTTACTTAGAGTAACTTAATTAACTTTCTCGGACAGAAATTTACTCCAAATAAGATTTTTTTTCAGTCATAGAATTTTTCTCTCACAAAAAATTACATCAATTGTAATATAAAGTTCGACATCTGTCTCTAAAGATTTTGGAAATAATATCAATACTTAGCCTCTGTCCCTCTAATACTCTAATTTTCTCTCATTAGTTTTGGAACCCCTCTGTCTTTAAAAGTATTAAGAGCTTAAGACTTACCTCTGTTTTGGAGGGCTATCAGAAGTCCCTCAGATTTCAGGTTACAGATCTGCTCTTGTTGAGTCAGTACCTGTATTTCTTCTTGGTACTTATTTAGGTTTTCTTCCCCCACCTTCTCACTGATGAAAAGTTTCTGTTTGTAATCGACCAGGGCTAGGTCATTGTCGAGATATTCGTGACCTCGATGTACGCTGTTCATACATGTCGTACACACGCTGACCTCGCACTTGACGCATACAGCTACGTATTTCTCATCACGATGGAGGCTGCACCCGTCAGAGTTACGGAAAAATATGGACATCTCTCACATCCAAGTTTGTCCTCACAAGAAAACTGATATTAAACAAAATGAACTATTTCTTCCAAGTCCAGTGGGAAAATATACCATCTCTTTTATGTGCAAAAGCTGAACTCAAATGCTTCTTGTCCACCAAAGGGGAAAAATAGTTGCTCCTGTCAATAGATAAATAAACAAGCGTGTATTGTTTCCGTCAGCTGATTAGAGCCTCTGTGTACACACTCCCGTATTTAAATAAAAGTCAACTGAAACAATGGACCAGGAAGTGTATATATATATATAAAACCTAAGTATTCCAGGTGTAATCTCTGACATCGCCGTGTACCTGTAAATTATCAGATGGTGTACAGGTGAATTATCAGTGGTACAGGTATGCAGATGTCCCACATTGTACACTGGGCCCTAACTGTAGTAAACTAACACAGTACAATATACAGTGATTTGCACGGTTAATTTTCTTCCCCCTCACTTAGGAAACCCGTTCAGATGAGGAAATAGGAGTACCTGTAGACGATAGGCTCTAGATGGTTTCCTCTTCAGGTCCTTCAAGTGGTTCGCGTAAAAAGAATCAGGGATTTCTTCCTGATGTTGTTTTATGAGTAATATGACAAATATTTTGATGGTTTAGTAATAAAAAAAATAATGTTTCCACCCAAGGCAACGGAGATTGAAATGTGATGTTCTCATTTAACACAAGATGAAATTGTGGTTCAATATTGCGACCCAGCTAAAAGTGAAATCCTCCCCCACCCTGCTCAAAATGCCACCCCCACCCAGCCACCCAGTGCAAAGTGAAATCCTCACCCACACAGCTTAAAGTGAAATCAATAGATATTTACCAAACTTGTGACTTTGATAACCATAATTTTATGAGGATAAAATGCAATAATTGTTTTATTTAAAAACTTCCCTTAAAAATATTATACATGTACTACAAGAAAACAAGTTCTTTATTCCATCTCAGAATGTGTCAAGGTCATTTGGCCTAGTGTAATCTGACAAAAATATTAGTTTCATATATTATCAAGGAATTTTAATTTGATTTATTAAAAGTAATTCGCATCATGTCAGTACTTTTGGTACATTGATTACACTACTCCCTCATTGTAAATCTATATAACTATTCATTGACAAGGTGTTTTTTAAAATACAGACACTCCAGACAGTGCCATATCTATGTAGCATCTTCTAATCGTAAATATTATACGTTTCTTTCAGGGCTGGATACCTCCAGACTGCCTACAGTTTCCTGTTACAGGCCGCTGATTACAACTTACCCGAGTTTGTCTTGGAGAAGGCCAAATACCTACGACATAAGGTTAATAATTTGCCCGTTGTTCCTTTTTTACCAGCACTTATTAAATGCACTGTAATAATTTCCTTTCTGCCAGGTAAGGAGTTCTAATAGGAAATTTTTATCTTGTCTCCATCAATGAGATGAATGTGGCAAATGAACTAATGAAATAATTAACCATGTTCTTTATTATGGCGAAAGTACATAAAAGTCTTCAGCTTTTTTCCATTTTAATACCTGTATATTGTTTTTTACATAAAGTATGTTTTGAAAATATAAGCTTAAACTTGCTTTTCTTTATGACTGGAAAATAGTTTCACACAAGTAATATAAGTCTTAATTGTGACAAACATTTAGGGTGAACTTGATCAAGCTCTGAAGTATCTAGAGCGTGGAATGGAATCTAATTTTGGCAGCATGCAGCAGCTGTTGGCAGACACCTCAGAAAATGCTAAAGTCAAGAGGAAACATTATGCTCAGGTATTTTAGTTGTCACAATGGTCAAATACAGCAGACAAAAGGGGAAGAATGTCCTACATTTTAAAAATTTCTATAAATAATTAGGTTTGACTATATTTAAAGGTACTTGGACACAGATTTGAAGTTAATATTTTCTCATTTTTTCTGTATAACATCACGAATTATATATTTTAATAGCATTTCACACAAAAAATTAATTAAAAATCTTATTTCGTTTAAAAGTTATTAAAACTTTAAATTTTTTGGCGGGTTTGATTGACACATCCTTGCACTTTCATAAATTTTAACTTTATTCTTGATTATTAGGAAAAGTGGCAATTTTGATGTGTTTTAATGAGAAATATTAAAACTTTTATCAAGAAAAATAATTTTATTCAGAGTAGAAATGTTAGAAAGCAAAACACCTTCACAAGTATCGTCATTCCGAACTAAGAGATGCGTGCAGAGTTTAGCAAATCGAGCACACTCGTGTTATGTACACAGTTTTTGTAAACAGGGCTCGAGTTCTGTTATTGTTTATATTTAGAATTCACCGGGTGCGTTCAATCGTCACAGTCTGCTTACCACAACTGCACGGACTGACAATATATTGTGTGTTTGTTTTTGCTTTCGAACGTGTCTACTCTGAATTTTCTGGATTATAGTATTAATATTTTTCATTTATACAAAACGAGATTACCACTTTTCCTAAGGATTAAGAATAAAATTAAATTTGTGAGAGTGCAACGATCTGTCAATCAAACCCGCCGAAAAATTTGAAATTTCAATATCTTTTAAACGAAATAAGATTTTTAATTAATTTTTGAGTGAAATGCTATTAAAATATATAAGTCGTAATATTATAGAGAAAATAATAACTTCAAATCTGTGTCCAAGTACCTTTAAAAACAGATGACATTGCAAGTTTGTAAATATTGTCAAACCTTGTTATTTCAACCTCAATGGGACTTAGAGAAAACTTCAAAATAATGAAGAGTTCAAGATATTCTGACAGGTTAAAATAAAAAAAGAAAAAAATTAGTCTTCAAACTGGCTATGAATATTCCATGGTATTCCAAATATTGACAAAAATCTGAGAGACCAAAGTCAAATGTATTTGAATTGTAATGACGTCTCTTTCACAGGCTCTCTTGCTGCAATCACGCTTCAGTGAAGAGACTTCCTGTCTGGAGAGTAACGAGATTTTGAAACTTTATCGTAAAGTCATCAACGTGAATCATGACTGGGAGGACGGCCATTTCTATATGGGGAAATACTACGACAAAATCATCACCACACTGCTGGAGGATAAACATGATAAAGAGAGACCCAACCCCTCCAAACAGTGGTGAGTGTTTACTGGTCACAGAATTTTGGTTTTAAATTGTGAAATTTAGTAAGACAATATTAAACAGATCTAACTCCAGGACATTAGAGATGGGCAAAGTATACATGGTAACATATAAGAAGCATAAAAAATAATAAGAAATTCTTACTGGTTTCAGATTTTCAGATTAATTATGTTTGATTTGGTATATAATTCATTGTACATATATCTTTTGTTTAAAGAACTTGTTTAAAATTATTTGATTTTTTAAAACAAAGGAAATCTGTTTTATCTCTGGTATTTTATATTTCTTTGCCCTCAGATTGCATTAATGAGTTGAATTTAATTTTGACAGGGAGGTGGTGCCGTTTGTGGTGAAGCACTTTGGGCTGTCGTTGAAGTATGGGAACCAGTATATCTACCAGTCCCTGCCCCGTCTGCTCAGTCTGTGGCTCGACTACGGAGCTTCTGTGGTGGAGGCGGAGAAAAAGGAGCGAGCACGTCAGCCCCAGGGGACACAACCCTCCCAGAAACTCTCCAACATGAAGAAGTCGCTCTCCGACCTTAATGAGGTAAACCAGATGCCTGCTCGACAGAGCAAACGTCCACGAGTGCTCGCCACAATTCCTTATACCTCGCTCTGTTGTACAGGCCTCCGTTTGTCTATGTTTACTTACACTAATAGGTGAATATGGGATAGAGTTGTTCATGTAAAGGGTGTTAAGAAAGTTCGTTCCACAATTTTCTTTTATTTTCGAAAATAAATGCAATGAGAGGATATTTACAATTTGTGATATATTTCATGTTTACAGAGTCCATTCTTGCTACTGATAAGGTTTTGAATATCTTGTTAATTCAATAAGGGGAGGGCAGGTGTTAAAACAGATTATGACTTATCAGAAAAAATTGGGATGACGCATATTTGTGACATATATTATGCACACAGGTCAAAACATCCTTTCAGAATACTTTTCTTTGTTTCCTAACACTATGCAAAAATTATCTCATCTGTGAAAAAATTCAAAATGACAGACCTATTCTTTTGAAAAGTGATCTATCGTTCTTATACCTACGCTCATCAGCTTGTCTGATGCAAGATAAGCTATGAAGAAACAAAAGTGAATTTTTAAAAAATTGATTTTCACTGAAAATGACCAGCATTTTTATCATTAGGGTGCTTTAAAGATGTTATATATATTTTCATTTAGAAGAAAATTTCTATAATTTCCTGCTAGAAATGAATTGCTATTAATCTAAAGCACACTCTTTTGATTTTGTCAGACTTGAAAATTCATCTCTTTTTTTAAGCACTACATGTACTTTGAAATTTTTGACAGTAGTTCATTATGGAACCAACTTTCTTAACACCCCTTATTTAAAAAGATTTTGTTTGTTTTAGAACATTTCTAAGATGGGTCGGACCCTAGCTCCCTATCAGCTGTTCACTGCCTTCTCTCAGCTCATTTCTCGGATCTGCCACATAGAACCAGAGGTCTTCCAAAAACTCAAGGTGACCTTCATATTGTAAATATGTAACTGAAATTTATGTAATTTTAATGGGGTGAAATGAAGAATTTGTTGAGCTCTCTGTTTTAAGAATCTATTTGTTATGGGTTTTTTATTTTTTCAGGAGTTGATAGCTAAGATATTTGTGTCTTTCCCTCAGCAATCTATTTGGATGATGATGGCCATATCCAAGGTAAGAAACACAACAGTACTGTTGATTAGTCCATGTCCTAGTTCTATAGGGAAGCTGCTTACTCTTTTCTTCCAAGGGAAAAAAATTAAATTAAGAAAACATTATGCTTTAATACTGCACAAAGACTGGTTTTAATTTTTCTTCATTTTTGAGTTGGCTCGCGTAGCGAGCTACTCCCTGTTGACATAGCCGTTTCAGAGCTGTAAAATTTATCACGCATTCATCAAGGTGATTCATACGCCAAATATTATAGTTCTAGCAAAAATGCTTTGGTTTGAGTGATTGTATAAAATTAAGAGGTGAAAACTGTATAAAATTTCATACTGTAACATTATTTATGCCTTCATGCTTTTAAAGAAATTTTTGATTCAATATCTGTAGGATGTACAATTACTGCGTATGAATATATGTTCAAGCATGTTAGGCGGATCTAATCTTCCCATCTGAAGTTTATTTATAATTGACCTAGAATACTCCCTAACACAAAACCTGCTGCTCTCATTAGCTGCAGCTAGTTGTTGTTGAAAATCTATTTTTAGAATCCAGATTTGCTGTGGGAATCTTTAACCTAATTATTCCATAACACTGACCACTTCAGCTAATGTGCTTAAATTCATTATAGAATCCAGTCAAAATAATACTGAAGCCCATTAGTTCCAAGCTGTATTTATAAAGGAAAAGCAATATACACTTTATTTACGAACCGAACATGGATCAGACATATAATATTCAATCTCTTAAGATGCAAATTAAACTGAATATATTAAGATATGGTGCCCAGATGTATGAAAAAGCTCAATTGACTCAAGCGAGTCAACTCGCAGGCCTTTCAGGCCTTTGATTATCTCTATCTTAGCCCGTAGAAAAGTTGAATGAGCGGAGGGGTTGTTCTAGCTTAAATCTGTATTTTTTTATCAGTTGTCTTGTCCTGTGAGAGAGCTGAGAAATTGTTCAGTCACTTTTTAAATCTGTTATTGTCTTTCAGTCTTCTTATCGCGTGAGAAAGCAGAGATGTGAGGATATATTTGCCACTGTCAAGTGAGTACATTTTTCTCTCCATGATAAAACACAAATACTAAGCAGCGAATAATGCTTTGTTATGTCAGTATCCCTCATTGCGAGTTCAAATTTCATTATTTTGCGTTCTTTGTTGGGAATAACTGAGTAGGTTTTAAGCATGAGTTCATTATAAGCATGTTCCATAGATATATTTTACTGTTAGTTGTAAGTAATTTTTTTATTCAAATAGAAATGGTTTATTCTACTTGCCTATGGAATAAATTTTTTATGCAATTTTTTTTTTTTACAGAATGATTGATCCTAACCAGAATAAGTTTATTCATGTAAGTTTTTGACATACCATATATCTGCTGTTGTTTTTTTTTCTGTTATGATCTATTTTTCACATTTTTTTTGTGATATTTTTAATTTATGAAAAATAAAACACAGTTGTTGTTAATGGTAGGATGCCACGAAGTTGACGGAGAGACTGCTGGAGCTTTGTGAAAAAGACATAAAGGGGACATACACACTGAGTATCACTAACCACTTCAGACCCCTCAAACGACTGCTCGAGGACAAGTAAGGATTAACAGTTAACCTAGGTTTTAATAAAGATATACCTGAAATTATCAAAAAGACTTTGTTCCTGACTTGCTACATAATGCTGCATTTTAAAATAAATTTTTTTGGCATCAAATTTCACCTCTATTAGAAAACTTATTTAAGGAGGCTGGGGGTCAACAAATTAACCATCAGAAAAACTTCCTTTACTAGATATAATATTTTGAGGTGTCAACTATCATTTAGCAAAGAAAAATTTCATACATTGTACTTTTAAAATTTGATCATTTTTGTATATCTTCATATGGGGCTCACATAAGGAGGTCGATATAGTCTAAAAATGGCCTCAACCCCCCAGCCCCTTTAAGATTTTTCTATGTGAATTGATCTATTTTTTCTGACAATGTCATACCAAAGATTATAAAAAAAAAATTTAACAAGTACTTACTTCACTTCAGTTAACACTGTACTTTGTCCTTAACCAGGGACTTTGGTCCAATCCTGCTCCCCCTGCAGTCTGCGATGAGAGTGACCCTCCCCAGTACCCCAGGAAGTCACGTGGACCACAACCCCTTCCCCACCGATCTAGTCTTCCTGCAGAGCTTCGAAGAGGGAGTAAGTTTACTTTTACTGACCAGTTTTCTGTAAAAATTTGATCATATGCTCATTCTGTACAAGATAAAATATCAAAACTACTTTTTTGAAACATATGTATCATTTCATTGTCTCAGATGGAAACGTTACAAATCTTGAAATATTTGAAGGAGATGGCAATATAATTTTCTTTGAGCAAGGTAATTTCATGGTACCTCTAATCAAATGCTTTATGTGAAGTGCATTGATGCATTGGCTGCCTGATTATCATGCGTGGTTTTAAAGAAATTATGAAAAAAAGACATTGAAGTAAAAAATGGTAAAAGATTCCGATTATTCTGTAGTTTTGGTAGCAACTATTTTTCATTAACAGATTGAAGTACTACCATCGCTTCAACGCCCTAAGAAAATTACCATGAATGGTAGCGATGGGAGAATGTACACCATGTTGTGTAAGCCGAAGGTAGGTGTGCCTGGCACCACTACAGTAACTATCAGAAAAAAAGTATGAAAAATATGTGGTCATTTTTCACAAAATGTATAGTATGAATTAAGGCTTGATTTCTTTTACAGGACGATTTGAGGAAGGATTGTCGATTGATGGAGTTTAATGCGCTCGTCAATAAGTTCCTCAGTAAAAATCCCGAGGCTCGGAAAAGAGATCTGCACATCAGGACCTATGTAACTATTGCATTGATTTAGTACTTTGTCTCATTGTTAACTCATTTTTAACAGCATAGCCTAGGCATTCTCTCCTGTAATTAATTATGCCCGCCTTCGAAGAAGGGAGAGCATATTGCTTTGTTGCTGTCTGTTGGTCAGTCTGTCTGTCGGTCCACCATCAGTTTCCATTCATTTTCTTCACAGAGGTTGCACATATTGAAATGAAATTTGGTATACAGATTTTTATACGCCCGTCTTAAGACGGGACGTATTATGTTATAGGCTTCGTGTCCGTCCGTCTGTCTGTTAGCTTTTTCGTTTCCGGCTCATGACTTTAATACTACTAGGCCTAGGATTATCAAACTTTGTCGTCTGATGCATCTTGGGTAGAAGGTGTGTCGCGCACAAAAAGTAGGTCGCTCTGACCTTTAATTAAGAAGTTATAGCCAAATATGGAAAAATCCTTTCCGGCCCATAACTAGAAAACTATAAGACCTACAATCATCAAACTTGGCCAGTTTATGCATCTTAGGTAGAGGGTGTGTCGCGACCTATTTCAAGGTCACTGTGAACTTTAATTTAATTGAATTTTTTTTTTAAAAATGTGTCTTTTTACTATTCATTAACACATCCCAAATAATGTAAGAGTATTGCACTGTTCTTATTAAAGAAGTGTTAAATCAAGAAAATACTTATTTTTAGCTCTACTGGTCAGAGACCAGAAGAGCTTATGCGATAGTAATGTGTCCGTCGTCCTTCCGTCTGTCTGTCTGTCCGTCTGTAAACAATTTTCAAAATGCTACTCCTCCTACAGTTTTGGTCTGATTTCAATATAACTTGGCACACAAGTAGACTACACTAAGATACATAATTTTTTTTTATTGGTTTTTGATTTTAAAGAACGGTGTTGCTGTTGTTACTAAAAGTAGAAATTTCTGTGAAAAACATTCAAAATGCTACTCCTCGTACAGTTTTGGTCTGATTTCAATATAACTTGGCACACGAGTAGACTACACTAAGATACATAATTCTGTATATAGGTTTTTGTTTCAATGAACGGTGTTGCTTTTGTTACTTAAAAAAAAGAAATTTCTTTGAAATACATTTAAAATGCTACTCCTCCTACAGTTTTGGTCTGATTTCAATATAACTTGGCACACAACTAGACTACACTAAGATACATAATTCTGTGTATCGTTATTTGTCATTATTCTATTTATTGCTTTTGTAAAGTTTTATATCCCAACTGCTACTTTTCTCTTTCTTTATTATAAGTACAAACCAGTAGAGCTTCAGTCTCGACAGAGACTTCTGGTTTTTAAGCATATACTTGACAGCAATCTATAACAAATATAATGTATGTCAGAGAAATCCTGCCTCTCCCATGAGTGTAATTATCAAGCACTGGTCAAGAAGAATTTTGATAACAGAAAATTGCATGTCAAATTGGAGAGAAATTAATGGGATTTGAGTGCGAGGAGCTAACTGACAGAGCATTGGTGTTATCTATATCCCTTGAGTATTGGGCAAATGGGTAAGCCTGTTTGATTAAAAATAGCTCTTGTTGACTAGCTTAAGTTTTAAAATGAATTTGATGAAAAGTAATTAAAACTAATTTGATATTGCATAATAGACTAATCTGATATTATGTAATATTTTTAATATTTAAAAACTAATTTTATGGGGTGGGGTGGAATCAGCATGTCCATATGGATTACATATTAAAACCTGTCGGACATTAAATCTCAACCAAAAAAAAAATCTTTGAGTATTTTATATGTTTTTAAAAAGAGAAAGTGCAGACCCATTCATCTCTTGGTAGTAATGAGTAGACAAGCATCCAGTTAAAGATTAATTAATGAGTTCAATGTAGGAAGGCTAGCTGTCTCAGTCTTATCTGTACCCTTTGGGGATTAGACAGAAGAACTGCTGGTCAGTTTATTATAACATATGTCATTTGATGGCCAGCCTTTTCTTTTCAAAATTAATTTGGTATAGATTAAGTTGTTAAGACTAATTTGATGATGGGCATTTGACAAGGTCTAACACAACCAGCACAGAAATCTATCAGTGATGTAATATTTATTATAATTGATGCCTACATCACAGGGGATGGATAAATGTTTTAAGGAATGGAAAAATCATCGAAATCTGAGAATCAAGGTTGATGTGATTTTCTTGCACCTAAACTGTTCAAAAAATTGTATTTTTTGACGGGCGTATCATGCTGTGGTGCGGCACTTTATTCATAAGATTATCTAGGTCAAGTTCTGTTTTGGGTATGATTGGGCCATTTTGGACAGAGTTATGCCCCTTGGACTTAGAAAAATTCTAATTATTTGAGAGAGGAGGGCATACATGTTTTAAAAATATCTCTTGTAAATTTGTATATCTAGTCTATTCATATCAGTAGATATTTTCTTATCTTACACTGATTGCTGATTGGTTCCTATTTTTAGTCTGTGGTTCCCCTGAATGAGTACTGTGGCCTCCTGGAATGGGTGAACAACACACAGGGACTGAGGAACATTCTGCTGAGGATGTATAAGGAGCGGGGGATTTACTTCAGTGGCAAGGAGCTTCAGACCATGACCCCCAAACAGGACTGCCCACTGGAGTAAGATTTCCTGTCATTGTGAAACCCATTTATTGTAGAGAACCCAAGAAATGGACTTCCATGATACAATGGCTGTCAAAATATTTGTATTTGCTCATCTTTTTGTGATTCTATTTCTCTCTTGAAGTCTCCAAATCAAAAATGATATAAAAAGGGGAAGTAACTTTTGAATCTGGATTTTGGATTTATTTAGGGTCTTTTGAATTGTATTAAACTTTTATGTTCAACATTTTTATGTTATTTATGTAGACTGAAGAAAAAGATCTTTAAGGAGAGATTCCTGTCCAAGCATCCTCCTGTTTTCAAAGAATGGTTCCTACAGACATTTCCTGATCCTACTTCATGGTGAGTATAATATAGAGTGAATTTTTAGCTCTACTGGTCAGAGACCAGAAGAGCTTATGCGATAGTAATGCGTCCGTCGTCCGTCCGTCTGTCTGTCTGTCCGTCTGTCTGTCTGTAAACAATTTTTCAAAATGCTACTCCTCCTACAGTTTTGGTCTGATTTCAATATAACTTGGCACACAAGTAGACTACACTAAGATACACAATTCTGTGTATCGGTTTTTGATTTCGATGAACGATGTTGCCGTGGTTACTAAAAATAGAAATTTCTGTGAAATTCTCTCAAAATACTACTCCTCCTACAGTTTTAGTCTGATTTCAATATAACTTGGCACACAAGTAGACTACACTAAGATACATAATTCTGTGTATCGGTTTTTGATTTCGATGAACGGTGTTGCCGTGGTTACTAAAAATAGAAATTTCTGTGAAATTCTTTCAAAATGCTACTCCTTCTACAGTTTTAGTCTGATTTCAATATAACTTGGCACACAAGTAGACTACAATAAGATACATAATTCTGTGTATCAGTTTTTGATTTCAATGAACGGTGTTGCCGTGGTTACTAAAAATAGAAATTTCTGTGAAATTCTTTCAAAATGCTACTCCTTGTACAGTTTTAGTCTGATTTCAATATAACTTGGCACACAAGTAGACTACAATAAGATACACAATTCTGTGTATCAGTTTTTGATTTCGATGAACGGTGTTGCCGTGGTTACTAAAAATAGAAATTTCTGTGAAATTCTTTCAAAATGCTACTCCAAATACAATTTTAGTCTGATTATAATATAAATGTGGCACACAAGTAGACTATAATAAGATACATAATTCTGTGTATCAGTTTTTGATTTCAATGAACGGTGTTGCCGTGGTTACTAAAAATAGAAATTTCTGTGAAATTCTTTCAAAATGCTACTCCTTCTACAGTTTTAGTCTGATTTCAATATAACTTGGCACACGAGTAGACTACACTAAGGTACACAATTCTGTATACCGGTTTTTGATTTCGATGAACGGTGTTGCCGTGGTTACTAAAAATAGAAATTTCTGTGAAATTCTTTCAAAATGCTACTCCTTCTACAGTTTTAGTCTGATTTCAATATAACTTGGCACACAAGTAGACTACAATAAGATACACAATTCTGAGTATCGGTTTTTGATTTCTATGAATGGTGTTGCCGTGGTTACTAAAAATAGAAAATTCTGTGAAATTCTTTCAAAATGCTACTCCTCCTACAGTTTTAGTCTGATTTCAATATAATTTGGCACACAAGTAGACTACACTAAGATACACAATTCTGAGTATCGGTTTTTGATTTCGATGAACGGTGTTGCCGTGGTTACTAAAAATAGAAATTTCTGTGAAATTCTTTCAAAATGCTATTCCTTCTACAGTTTTAGTCTGATTATAATGTAAATGTGGCATGCAAGTAGACTGCACTAAGAACATAAAGAGACTTAATCAAGGATCATTATTCTATTTATTGCTGTTGAAAAGTTTCAATTTCCAACTGCTTAAGTACTTTTCTCTTCCTTTGCTATAAGTACAAACCAATAGAGCTTCAGTCTAGACAGAGACTTCTGGTTTTTAAAATGGATCTATGTACAATGTATTTTTCAAATGATCTAAGAGTTCAAGCTGAGTCTTTTTTCTGAGTGGTATACATATATAAATTGAAAGATATACAAATATTACTAAATTAGGCTTCATATTTTCATAAATAAGTACAGGCAGGCTCTCTGTTATTATTTTCTTCCATTTGTTAATAGAATTATGAAATGCTATATATAGGTACAATGCGCGTCTGGCCTATGCTCGGACGTCTGCCGTCATGTGTATGGTGGGGTACGTACTGGGCCTGGGAGACCGTCACGGGGAGAACATCTTGTTTGACTCGACCTGTGGAGACTGTATCCATGTAGACTTCAACTGCCTCTTTAACAGGGTACATTTATGGGCATCAAATACAAATAAATCTGAACATAATCAAATTCTTGAAGTTAAATTTTGTTTTAACTTAGGATATTTTAGAATTGTTTTAGTAATTTTACATGCATTCTGAAATTAAAATATTTTTAAGGGAGAGACTTTTGATTGGCCAGAAAAGGTCCCATTTCGCTTGACACAGAATTTAGTCGACGCCCTTGTGAGTACATGCACTCTGTCTTCTTTTCATAGTCCAAAAGACATTTAAAGCAGATGTATAGCTGAGACATAACCACCCTTATATTGTGTACTAGTTGATTAATTAAGCAATCCATATATTTCAGGGACCCCTTGGGATTGAGGGGATTTTCCGTAGATCTTGTGAGGTGACCCTCAGGGTTATGAGAGATCAGATGGACCCATTGATGAGGTAAAACTTTAAAGTATAATTTTTGGTCAAAAGAAAAGTTAATCACTATATTTATGAAATAAAATCACACAGAAATGTTGAAGAAATAAAGTCCATGTTTTCGTGAATGTTGCAGAATAACCTCCAAGGTCGAGAAATGTTGTTTGAAAGAGAAAAGCCAAGGCTTTTATATTTCAAACAGCATTTCAAGACCAAGGAGGTTATTCTGCATCATTCACGACAACAAGGACTTTATTTCTATTCTACCATGTCTAATAAAATCACCAAAATATGGCTGATCGTTTCCTATATAGAGAAACGAATTAGGTCACCATGTCTCGATTAACACCAGAGGTAAAATTTGTTTGCTCACTTGTGTATGGAATGCAGACGATTTGAGCTTTCGCTACATTAAAAATAGCCTTTTTAGCTCACCTGAGTGGAAGGCTCAAGTGAGCTTTTCTGATCATATTTTGTCCGTCGTCCGTCCGTCTAGCTGTCCGTCTGTAAACTTTTCACATTTTCGACTTCTTCTCAAGAACCACTGGGCCAATTTTGACCAAACTTGGTACAAAGCATCCTTCGCTAAAGGGGAATTTGTTAAAATGAAGGGCCAAGTGCCCTCACAAGGGGAGATAATCAAGAAAAGACAAAAATAGGGTGGTAATAAAAAAATCTTCTTCTCAAGAACCACTGGGCCAGAAAAGCTGAAACTTATGTGGAAGCATTCTGGGGTAGTCTAGATTCTAAATTGTTAAAATCATGACCCCCAGGTGTTTGGCGGGGCCACAATGGGGAATCAAAGTTTTACATAGAAATATATAGGAAAAATCTTGGAAAATCTTCTTCTCAAGAACCACTGGGCCAGAAAAGCTGAAACTTATGTGGAAGCATCCTGGGATAGTCTAGATTCTAAATTGTTCTAATCATGACCCCTGGGGGTAGGGCGGGGCCACAATAAGGAATCAAATTTTTACATAGAAATATATAGGAAAAAATCTTTAAAAATTTTCTTCTCAAGAACCACAGGGCCAGAAAAGCTGAAACTTATGTGGAAGCATCCTGTGGTAGTGTAGATTCTAAATTGTTCTAATCATGACCCCTGGGGGTAGGGCGGGGCCACAATAAGGAATCAAAGTTTTACATAGAAATATATAAGAAAAATCATAAAAAATCTTCTTCTCAAGAATCACTGGGCCAGAAAAGCTGAAACTTATGTGGAAGCATCCAGGGGTAGTGTAAATTCTAAATTGTTCTAATCATGACCCCTGGGGGTAGGGCGGGGCCACAGTGGGGAATCAAAGTTTTACAATGGGGAAACAAAGCATCCTATGGTAGTGTAGATTTCAAATTGTATAAATTATGATCAGTTGGGTAGGGTGGGGTCACAATTTGTATTACAAGGGGGAAATCTGGTAAAGAACGGAATGGTCAAAGCTTCTCAGGTGAGCGATGTGGCCCATGGACCTGTTGTTAAATTACAAATTTGTTCGTAATTTGTATTGATCAGTTTTAATGAATATACAATAACAAAATAATGTTCCTGTTTTACTACAGTTTTATTGGGACTAAAATCACATTGTTTAAATGTGTATGGAGGTCCGTGGAATAGCCCCGCTTAGCTATAAAAACTGACATTCATCAGCAACTTTTGCAATTTACAGTGTGTATACTGCAAAAGACGACACATCGATGCAGCCTAAACAAGTATTTCATTCTGCAGCCAAACATGCATTTATTGTTCAGATTTGATACGTGTTTCTAATCTGATAATTTTTTGATGACGTTCGTGATTTATTGGAGAATAATGTCCGCCGTTTTTCTTTGATCTTTGCAATAATCGTGGTAGAATATAGAATAAGTGGAATAAATATTTCTGCTTGCAGTGTATTACGAACTTTCATCCATGACCCTTTGGTGGAGTGGAGGAGGAAAACTAAAGCACAGAAGACAGAGACAGAGTTAGCTCAGGGGGAGATTCACAATGATCAGGTAGATTTATGAGACAGAGTTAACCATTTTTAATACCTCCAACAAAATCACTTCAGGCTGTTAACATTGAATTTAGTAGACCTCTGAAGTCCCCCTTCCTTGTACTGAAGAAAAGTAAAAAGAGTCCATAATGCACATAGACATAGTTCATAAAGATTTTTTTGTAGACAGGTTAAATGCTGGGGTATTTTAATTTTTCTTTTTTTTTTTATTATTCAGGCTTTAGTCCATGTACAGAACATAGAGTCTCGTTTAAAAGGGATCCGTCGCGGCACGATGCAGAAACCCAGGAGTGTAGCTCTGTCCGTGGAAGGACATGTTAATTACCTATTACAGGTAAGGATTGAAATGGATTTATTCTAAATACACTGTCTGTGGAAGGCCAAGTTAACTACCTGTTACAGGTCGGTATTTCTACTGATTTATTCCAAATACACTGGAAAAATATGGATATCTTCACTCTGAAATATATCTTGTGAATTTCATTGCTAATTGAGACTCGTTTAAGAAATAAGATATCAGTTTTAGACTGAGGTTCAATGGGATATGACATGAAGTCGGTCATGTGATCAAATTGTATAATGCCCAAAGGGCGTTATTGATACATATTCAGGAAGAGTTTCTAATCAAGAGTAGTAGATATAATACATAGATTATAATTTTGTGTATTCTTTTTAAATATACAAAAAAACTATTTAATAAAGAATACATTAGCCATTTTTTAGTGGCACAATATTGTTAAGCATTTTACTAAACATCTATTATTTTAATTTTTACAGGAGGCTACAAGTCTTGACAACCTGTGTCAGATGTATGTGGGATGGGCTGCTTATTTGTGAAGTAAAACGAACTAGAGAAGTGAGACTTCTATTTGGATTTTTGAAATCGGTGTGAATACCTTAATCTGAACATGGCTTGTAAATGGGTCATTCAAACCAGTTAAGGTTATCCGATCCTCAGGTTCTGAAAATTAGGCATTGAGTAATTGAAAATGCTCACAAAGATGTCTCTAAATTCTCAGATTAAAATGTATTTACCCACGGTGTTTCTTTAAAATTCATCTTTAAATTTAATCATATTATATAGGGAAAATTAGTAAATCTCGAATAATTTTTCAGGAAATGCGATTTGAACTACCTACTGCATATTTTTTAATTGATAATTGATCAAGAAATACACTTTAGGAATAACAAGATGTGTTTGTGAAACACTATGCGCCCGGCGTCAACAAAGTTCGAAAAAGCTATTTTTAGTATATAGGTCACAGTCAAGGTCACAAGGTCATTGACCTTGGTGTTGTTTGTAAGAAATTAATTAGTGGGGTATGCATACTAAATATGAAGTCCCTATCTCCTATGGTTCAAAAGTTATGACAAAAAGTGGAAAAAGCTATTTTTAGCATATAGGTCACAGTTAAGGTCACAAAGTCATTGACCTTGGTGTTGTTTGTAAGAACTTTATTAGTGGAGTATGCATACTAAATATGAAGTCTCTATCTCCTATGGTTCAAAAGTTATGGCAAAAAGTGGAAAAAACTATTTTTAGCATATACCGTGGGTAACAGTCAAGGTCACAAGGTCATTGACCTTGATGTCATTTGAAAGAACTTTATTAGAGGAGTATGCATACTAAATATGAAGTCCCTATCTCCTATGGTTCAAAAGTTATGGCAAAAAGTGGAAAAAGCTATTTTTAGCACATAGGTCACAGTCAAGGTCACAAGGTCATTGACCTTGATGTCATTTGAAAGAACTTTATTAATGGAGTATGCATACCAAATATGAAGTCTCTATCTCTTATGGTTCAAAAGTTATGACAAACAGTTGAAAAAGCTATTTTTAGCATATAGGTCACAGTCAAGGTCACAAGGTCATTGACCTTGATGTCATTTGAAAGAACTTTATTAGAGGAGTATGCATACCAAATATGAAGTCTCTATCTCTTACGGTTCAAAAGTTTTGGCGAAGGTTAAAGTTGACAACAGACAGACAGACAAACAGACAAACAGATAAACAGACAAACAGACAAACAGATAAACAGACAAACAGACAAACAGACAGGACAAAAACAATATGCGCCCCGAAAAAATTCGGGCGCATAAAAGTCATAGGTATCCAGGCTTTTAAAGAGAATTGCATGAATTTTCAATTATTTGGACTTTACTTTCTCCTACTTACTTCCATTGTTTCATAATGCATAGTGTATGAAGTGTTTCCTTTCAAAGAAAACACTGTAAATCACTTCTAATTTCAAATAATGCATATAAACATTGGTAACTAAGGCTAAATTAAAAGAAATTTGATTTTTAGCTCACCTCAACGAAGTTGGGGGAGCTTATGTAATACCGTCGGCGTCGGTGTCGGCGTTGGCGTCCTAGGTTAAGTTTTTTGGAGCAGTTTTCTTTTTAAGTACTTCTATGTCCTATATTGATTAGACATGCATGGAAGATGCTTCTAATGTGTTTCATTGTACCAGTCAAAGTTTCAGATGCTGCAATTTCAGCAAAGGAATGGCCAGGTTAATGTTTTTGGAGCAGGTTAACATTTTTGGTGCAGTTTTTGGTGCAGGTTTCATTTCCAAGTAACTATAAGCCCTATGTTGACCAAACTTGCATGGTTGATACATCTAAGGATGCATACTACTGGGCTTGCTTCGGATGCTGAATCTGACCTACATTTTCCGGATGAGTGAACAGGTTAAAGTTTTTGGTGCAGGTTTCATTTCCAAGTAACTATAAGCCCTATGTTGACCAAACTTGCATGGATGATACATCTAAGGATGCATACTATCAGGCTTGCTTCGGATGCTGAATCTGACCTACATTTTCCGGTTGAGTGAACAGGTTAAATTTTTTTGGGCAGGTTTCATTTCCAAGTAACTATAAGCCCTATGTTGACCAAACTTGCATGGATGATACATCTAAGGATGCATACTACCGGGCTTGCTTCGGATGCTGAATCTGACCTACATTTTCCGGTTGAGTGAAGAGGTTAAAGTTTTTGGTGCAGGTTTCATTTCCAAGTAACTATAAGCCCTATGTTGACCAAACTTGCATGGATGATACATCTAAGGATGCATACTACCAGGCTTGCTTCGGATGCTGAATCTGACCTACATTTTGTGGATGAGTGAAAATGTTAGTTTGTGATGAATGTATCATTTCCAATTAACTATGAGCCCTATAATGAGCAAACTTGCATGGACGATACATCTTAGGATGCACACTAATGGACTTACTTTGGATGCTGAATTCGACATACATTTTTTCAGATAATAGACCAGGTAAAAGTTATGGGTGCAGGTCAATTACCAAAAAACTTGAAGGCTTATATAACATTGTATAAACCAAACCAAACTTGCACAAATGTTGCATCAGGAGATGAAAACTCTCAAATTTGCTTCAGATGCTTAATTTTAATTACATTTTCATGAACAACTAGTTTAAATTTTTTATGTAGGTCTATTTCAATGTATTCGATCAAAATTGCTTAAATATTTATACCCCCCGCAAACGAAGTTTAGGGGGGGTATATTGGAATCACCATGTCCGTCTGTCCGTAGCTGTCTGTCTGTCTGTAGACGACATTTTGTCCGGACGATTTCTCAAAAACTATTGGAAGGATTTGTCTGAAAATTTATACACATATTATTCACCATATGAAGGTGTGCACCTGCTATTTTCATCTTGATTGGATGATTATTTTGAATTTTACAGGTGTTTTTTCATTTTTATTTCGTGGTCTTGTGCAGACTGTTTCTCACAAACTATTGCAAGGATTTATCTGAAAATTTGCACACTTATTATTCACCATATGAAGGTGTGCACCTGGAATTTTCAACTTTATTTGTTTATTTTTCTGCATTTTACAGGTTTTACTTTTTATTTAAATTGACTTGTTCATTTTGGGCTCATTTATAAGGTTTGAGAGGTAGAATCTAGGATATCTGTACAAAAATGTGAACTAGTACAGCTTAAAACAACTCATTAAAACTAAAAAAAAGAAACATCATCAAGTGTTTAAAACAGTTTTTACATTACATAGAAGATAATGTAAATTCATTTGTCTCTTGGGAATAATGACTGGACATGCATCCAGTTAAAGATAAATTAATGAGTTTGGTGTTGGAGGTTGTTAAGGCATATCTCTTATCAAGCGTGTGTGTGTGTGTTATCAAATCTCCAGGGAATAAGGCACAAGAATTAAAGATCTCTCTTCTCTTATTCTCTTAATTGTAATTTATTGTCTGTCAAAGCACTTCATTACTGGATGACCAGCTTTTTATTTTCAAAATGAATTTGATATATCAAGATTAATTTGATTTTGTATAATGATTTTTTTTTTCAACAATTAGTTTGCAGAGTGTCATGACACATAATTGCAATATATTTCTTTAATGCAGAAATAAAAAAAAATGTTACGATTGAATTACAATGTATTAGTATTGATGTTTCATTTGGTTGCACTTTTGTTTCACTCATTAAAAAACATAATGAGCACTTATATTTTACTGTAAATTTTTATAATAGTGAACACCTCAAGATCCATTAAGTATTTTTGAATTGGCACCTTCTCTGAAAAAACCCAGCGGGGGGTATTTGTCCCTATTGGACAGTTCTAGTTTCATTTCTGGAATGTACACTTTTTGTTGGTTAATTGTGTGACTTTGCCTTACTTAAAGACAACATTCGTTGAGGTGAGCTCTGTAATCTCTGATTACCTATGTTTTTAAAATATGCAAGTTTTACTTCATTTTATGAGGTACAAATGTCAACTTTTTGAATAACGTTTGATAAAACTTTAAAGAGCATTGAATCATACGTAGAGGCATAAAATGAAAATTGTTGCATGAAAAAAATTCAATACAAGCCTTATTTTAATACTTTTTGAATTAAATTATAAATTAAAGAGTTATCCTTCCTGGCTGAGGATCGTATATCCTTAAAAAATTATTTGTTGGATATGGAAAGCGAAATATCTCTTATTTGTCTTTTGTTTATTTTGTCTTTCCAAAAATTATTGTTTTTGTTATTTACATGTAATAAGGAAGATGTAGCTGCATTACATTTGTTATCATTCATTAAATATTTTCAAAGATTTGGTGTCTTGTCTCTATATAATATTTGTACATGTACATAGCTCAGAAAAACTGAATAATCTACTTGAATAAATTCAGGTAGCAATAGTGTTCCAAGTGTTTAAATGGCCAATGCTTTATATCATGAACTTCTTGATGCACATTGAAATGCTTGAATCAGTTGTACTCAGTCCATCAGGAGTTGTCTTTCCTTGTCATCAGGAGACTGTGGGGGCCAGTTGGATTTCTGGACAGGTCATATCTTTGGTCCAAAGGACATAAGGAAAGCCTTCATAATGTTTCTGGGTCAGAGGATCATTCCATGACCTCACGGTAGAACAAGCCCCATAATTACCCTGTAAATTAAATCAAAGTTTAATTCATATCAGGATGTGGTGTGATTGGTACCTGATGGTTTTCTATGACCAGTGTAACTGTACCTTTATATCGGCAGCAATCAATGCAATTTCCAGCTGATTGTTTTGGTTGTAAATTTTCTGTACGACTTCTTTACAAGCTTCCTCGGGAACCATTCCCTGAAATAGAAAACATGGAAAATAGAAAATATGGAGAGGACTTACCGGGTATATAGGCAGTACCTGCTGTTCAATCCTCTTATGTTTATACATAATAAAAGATTGTTTAAATTAAATAGAAAACATCAGCATCCAGTCATAACCTTTCTCTAAAGTAAAAAAAAAAAGTGTAAAGAGTGTACATAGCTCCTTCGTGTGATGTGCTTACATTATACGTACTAAGAACAATTTAATTTTTTTTGTTGTAATTGATGAGATGGATGTTACTATGAGATAAGATGGATGTTACATGTGAGATATATGTAAGATGAATATTACCTGTGAGATAAGATGGATGATACCTGTGAGATGAGATAAATGTTACCTGTTAGATGAAATAAACATTACCTGTGAGATGAGATGGATGTTACCTGTGAGATGAGATGTTTGTTACCTGTGAGATGAGATGTTTGTTACCTGTGAGATTAGGTAGATGTTACCTGTGAGATGAGATGGATGTTACCTGTGAGATGAGATGGAGGTTACCTGTGAGATGAGGTAGGTGTTACCTGTGAGATGAGATAGAGGTTAGCTGTGAGATGAGGTAGATGTTACCTGTGAGATGAGATAGAGGTTAGCTGTGAGATGAGGTAGATGTTACCTGTGAGATGAGGTGGATGTTACCTGTGAGATGAGATGAGATGTTACCTGTGAGATGAGGTAGATGTTACTTGTGAGATAATATCGATGTAACCTGTGAGATAAGGTAGATGTTACCTGTGAGATCAGATAGATGTTATCTGTGAGGTGGTTGTTACCTGTGGGATGAGTAATGGATGTTACCTGTGAGATAAGAGGGATGTTACCTGTAAGATGAGTAATGGATGTTACCTGTGAGATGAGATAGATGTTACCTGTCAGATGAGTAATGGAAGTTACCTGTGAGATGAGATAGATGTTACCTGTGGGATGAGATAGAGGTTAGCTGTGAGATGAGGTAGATGTTACCTGTGAGATGAGGTGGATGTTACCTGTGAGATGAGATGAGATGTTACCTGTGAGATGAGGTAGATGTTACTTGTGAGATAATATCGATGTAACCTGTGAGATGAGGTAGATGTTACCTGTGAGATCAGATAGATGTTATCTGTGAGGTGGTTGTTACCTGTGGGATGAGTAATGGATGTTACCTGTGAGATGAGATAGATGTTACCTGTAAGATGAGTAATGGATGTTACCTGTGAGATGAGATAGATGTTACCTGTAAGATGAGTAATGGATGTTACCTGTGAGATGAGATAGATGTTACCTGTGGGATGAGTAATGGATGTTACCTGTAAGATAAGAGGGATGTTACCTGTAAGATGAGTAATGGATGTTACCTGTGAGATTAGGTAGATGTTACCTGTGAGATGAGATGGATGTTACCTGTGAGATATGATGGATGTTACCTGTGAGATGAAATGGAGATTACCTGTGAGATGAGATGGACAATGTGGAAGGAGGGACAAAATTTCAGGATCTCGTCTCCATCTCCACTACAACAGGCAGCGCCATGGGCGTCTGGATAATAATAAATCGACCTGAGAGTTCAGTGTGAGACATAGACAAATGTCATTGCTGAATTGAACGGAAACTTGATTTTTACACGAGATGTATGTGAATGTTGCTCACTTGCGTATAGTCCCCCTCCTGGAAGCGCACTGTCGCCGACCCTACCAGGGTGTTTACCGGGAGCCCCACTTGTCGACACACCTACATGTAAGGCAGAAACAACTTTTGTCAAGGATCATGATAAAGAATTTACAAAAAAGTCAAACAAACATTAGACTAAAAAGGTATTACCTACAGCTATCTCGGATCCTTTTTGTCTCAGTGCTATCAACCCCAACGTGTCGTGGCTTTTTGAGTCATTTTCCTGTTTTACAAATTCAAAATATCCCAATACAAAATATCCCCGACAATTCGTAATGGAGGCTCGATAACTTGCACTAAACGCTCGATAATTCATACTGGAAGCTCGATAATTCGTAGTGAAAGCGCGACAATTTGAACTTGAAACTTAAATTTAAATTTTTTACTCCGAAATTCCTTACTGGTTTACTTTGATGGGGTGTCTCGCATTCGGCACGAAACCCATTTTCCAGAGCGAATTGCCCCGCCCCCTCCCCAGTTAGCATTTTGTGATGATCCGCTAAATTGTAATCGCTAAAATATCACTGCTCTAAGTGCCATCTGCGAGACGGCTTGTAAAATTAATTACGCCAAAAATATTTCCATACCTTTGAGAAAAAAAAATAACCCGCCAAGAAAACGTTCCCTAAAAAAAAAAGGTTTCATTTTAAAAATTTACAGACAGATGGCTTTCCATTGTTCTAAAAAAAGTAGTTTTATTGTATACTTACCCACTAAGAGCTGTAACAGCGCCAAATTTTAACGTGCGTCCGTCCATTATTGCTGCGTCATACTCGCGATACCCGGCTGAGTTTGGGGGCCCGCCCCTCCCTACAATGCAGGGTCCGTATCTCTCGTCACCCTCTATTTCTAAAAGATAAAATAAAGAAACATTACATTGTTTTCAATGATCCCTAATATACCTTCCTTCTCAGCTCTATATTGAAAATCATGTCACTTTCTTTAATATTGCTGCAGGTGATTCGGACAATTTCAGAGAGCTGCCCCCCCCTCCCGCTTTTGCAAAAGTGAGGGGACATTAAATATTCGTCTGTCATTTAATTTGTCCATATGATGCAAAAAAAATTAACATGATAAAGAAAAGTCCGTAACAACGTTTTGGGGTGGGAAAGAAATCGTTGGGGGAAAATTGACAAAGAACACAAAACCGAACAGTTCAAGGTTTTAAATAGGGGGATGCCTTCTCTTATAGCTTATGGTATATTTCTTTTTCCTTCAAACGCTGACATTTGCTAATTTATTCGAAAGTGCGGCTGCAAAATTTTGGGAAGCAACATCCAAATTAAAATTTACATAATAAAACTACAGCAAACGATAACTTTTCTCATAAATGATAAAAGACATCTCTCTCTCTCTCTCTCTCTCTCTCTCTCTCTCTCTCTCTCTCTCTCTCTCTGAAAATGACAGGGCTTTAAAGAATTATACATTTCAATTGTCTTTTTCCTCTTAGAAGACCTTTACTTTGATTTTTGTATCCGTGACCTTAATTTGAAGTTTGATCTTTACTCTTTTAATTCTTAGTCATGTTTAAGTTAACCTTTATTTTTTTTATTTATTTATTTATTTTTTTTTTTTTTTGAATGATGAAAAGACAAAGTAGTTGGAATTAGTTGCAAAAAATCGTAATTAATTGCATCTTGAGCAACAACTAAGGCACCGAAATGGGGGAAGGGGTCCCGGTTGTCAATTTTTGAATTTGCTTGTTCTACTAAATACACAGCTAAAAGGAGTCGGATATAAATAAACATTGTATGTACATTGTGATTAGGTTTTTAATGAGAAAAAAAATATTTTTCAATATTACATAATCTTATACTCGTTCGTCTAGATTAATATATTTATAATCGCAATTTGAGGTAATTGAAATCATTGCAAAAGAACTGTAATCTCTCTCTCTCTCTCTCTCTCTCTCTCATAAAAAGACAGTCGATGATAAAAACACTATACAAGGAACATAAAGTGACTCCTTGCCGCAGCCCCCGGGGCATGACGATATTGATCATGTTCTATGATTTCGGCAATCATTACTTGTTCCTCTATGTACGGCGACCAAGGAAGTTTTATTCCGTCGTATCAGCACGTGAAATTTTTCTGTATTTTTGTTTTGAAGGGGATAATTGGTGTTAAAAAGTGTTATAACTGGAAGTTAATCTTCATAGGCTAATAAAAAATGCACTGTAAGTATTACCGTTAATCTTTCTTTCTTTCTTTTTTTTTTTTTACTTCTATTTTTATTCGTATTATTTTAATATCTATTTGCAAAAGGAAAGGAGAAAGTATCAGGACGATTTTTTAAGGGGAGGGGGTGGGTGTGTTAAGTCCTCATTTTATGTTTCAATCAATGTGAGTAAAAAACAATATACATGTAATTTGATCCAGGCAGCACTTGAATTCCCCGCCAATCCCATTGTCGTGCGATAAACCTTAATAAACGATATTTAAATAATTATAAAATTATGGAATCTAAAATAAGATTTAAATCAATAAAGTTAAATGAAAATTAAAGAAATAATTTATAGTAGACATTAATTATTCAATAAGTTGATAACCCTTCCTGGTCTCTCAGACTATAACATTTTTCACTAGAAGTCTGATGTGGCATTGGCCAGGGTGTTTACAATATTGAATTGGCATCGGTTTTCAGGAGAGGGGGAGGGGTTGGGAAGCAAAAAACTTAATCTGTGGAGGAGGTGGGGCTAATCTTGATGGTTCGTTGTAATACCCCCCCTTTCAAGTGGAAGTGTTAAAACAAGCAAATAGAGAAGTTGGCTAGTTCTTCTTTTTTCACAAAAACCTAGCGGCTAAATAACTGATTATAATAAAATATTTCCATACCCACTATCGTTTTCTACTGCCGTGAAATTCAGAATAATTCAGATTCTCTTATATCTGCGCTCAAAAATGTTTAGATCCGCCGCGTTTTGATTTGAGAGAAGTTAGAGCGTACAACAATCCGGGAAAAAAACATACGGTTTATGGTATTTTCTACTGCATCCAGACAACTTGTCTCACTCCTATACAATTCTTCTTTCTGTCTGATAGCATCAAAACAAAAGCTCCAGGTCCCAATAATTAAATCCATGACTGGAGACTCTAAACTAAAACGGGAGCAAAAACCGGAAATTCAAGAGTTACCTTCTCCGAATCTATTTTTCGATACGGGATATGTAGAAAACAAATAAGAGATCGAAGGCAAAATGTTGACAGATGTGTCGCGAGAGGTGGGTAAATTTACTTGTGTTAGCAAATTCTCTTATTTTGTAATTATTAATCTTGTACAGTTATTGTCGAACTACAATTTTACACGTGTTGCAACAAGTGTATACACGTTAAAGGCAAGTACATGCACCCCCCTTCCACCATTGTAGTGATCTTTCTGCAACACTAAACGGTAAATGTCCTAGTAAATTGTTATTAGGATGTAAGAAAATGATAAAGTACTGTTTTTGATCAAAAGAGATCGGGATTTCATCGATTTTTTTTAAAGAGAAATAGTTTACAAAAAGGGGGATCATTAAGATCATTTGTAGATAAACTAGATTTTGGATGCTGATAAGTTTATCTGATGTAAATAAGTAAATCGATTATTAATTTGAAAATAAAATTAACACTAACATGTAAGACTAATGAGAAAATTCCTCTTTTTTTTCTCTTGAACCATGTTAAGAGTATTTGTAACTTTGTAACTCAGAGGCCTAATTCAGCACCAGTGTCTCAATAAATGTGAATGCAGGTGGATAATTATAAGCTACAAAATAATTTGTATTGTCATTATAGGCTTTATTTTACATTTATTCAGCTGTGACTAAATACAAATAGAGTCTAGTAAGTAAATATAGAATTTTTATACACCAAAGTAGTCAAGCATATAAGTACAGCGATGTCATGTAAGAAATTAATTTTAAATTTGCTATTTAATTTTTAAAATTTTTTTGTCGACTGGTCTTTACATTTTCTTGAATAAACATATTAAGTATTGTAATTTACTTCTTTCCTGAGTTATATGTTTTTGTCATGGTAAGCCAATTTTATAATCATATATAATACTATATCCTGTTTCTTAAGTACAGATGATTGATAAAAATGAGTACTGTGCAATCAAGTCATGCCATGTTTTAAAATAAGAGCAGGTTATAATGTCTTGAATATAAATAAATTCTTATCTCCATAATGTGTCATTCTAATTCAGAAATAAAAATGCATTAATATTAATATTATTCCCAGTTGTGATGTTCCTGTGATGTGTTCTTTAAATTGAAACGAAAAAAAACATGACCAATCATCCAGGATTATACACGTATTATAAATTATTGCTTTGGAACAGATATATCCTTTTACATATTCAAAAGATGAATTATAATTGTTTATATCAATTTCAATGCCAAATTTTAAAAATATATTGTTTTATCCTCCGGGAAGTTAAAAAAAAATTCGAGTCGGTCCATTTTTAGCAAGTCAGTTGGGAGAGGGCAACTAAAGTAACAAACATTTTTTTAAAGATGGCCTTATTACAAAGAGCAGTGTTTTATAAGAATATATGGATGTGCTTTTTTGACCCCGTAATCTACATGTATAACTGCCATAAACTGTGACCAGGACCAATAAATTAGGATGGGAATAATTACCTGTAATTAATCATTGACTTGTATTTATTCATGGTTTATTAATGTGATATTGACACTCCCTGCCTTGTGAGTTTCAGGAATTAAGTGAATTTGGAATTAGTACTGTACATCACTAAATTTTAGCGACACCTTATTTTTGCGAGATAGTCATTGCATCTTTATGAGCGAGATAAAATTTTCACAAAATTGTGGTGATTGCTTTATATACCGTAATCCATAGGAATACTATTACTAATATACTTGAGAATCATATTTTTGCAAGCACTTTATCTCGAGTAATTAGGCAAAAATAAAGTTCTCTCAAATAAAAAGTGATTTACAGTATATAAGAAATGCAATTTGTCCTAATATTTGAAAAGTGCACTTCATTTTTTTTCAGTTGTAAAATTTAATAGGCAATGCAAATTGTCATATTTTTTGTAAAACTTCATATTTGAAAGTTGAACTCAAAAGGCATGGTAAATTATGGTATCGTTTGTAAAACTTCAAATTAATGGAATGTGAAATTCAAGAAGCAATTTAAAAAAAAAAAACTAAGTTATAAATAATGCAGATTTATTTTATTTTATTGTGTTAATTCTAATCAGGTTCACCTTACTGAAGTAATACTGTTGCCGGAAATGGTAATTAGCTTTATAAGCATTTTAATTTGATGATTTTTGCTTCAACAAACTACATGATAATAATAAAACTAATGTGCTGTTATCATGCATATATGCATAGTCCCATTTATGATAAATGGCATGTAAAAGGAAATAGTTCCATTATTTCCTTTAACATTAACACCTAAAGTGTTGTCACTTCATAATGTGGTAATAATTATGTTCACATAGACAAAGACAGCGTCAATTGTCAAACATGACAGAGACATGGACAAAAAATATGTTGTAACGGCCAAGAAAAATCTCCACTCGTTATTCACCGCCCGTCAAAATTTTTGGCCTCGAACTGGTCATTTTTTGGCAGGATTTTTTTTTTGGCTGGTGATTTGATACAGACTGTTGCATGTAATTCTTATGTCGCTGTCAAATGTTATCTGTCAAATGCAATACTTGTATTTCCTAGGTACAGATTGCACAATTCTTATCTTTTTAAGGTAGAAGGATTAGGTAATTGACTCTGCGATATGCATCTATACTAGATAGTTGTCAGGCCTAGAGAGACAGTTAATTAACCTTAATGTGGAGAAAGAGAAAAAAGGGAGACATTGGACTGTCTTTGAACCTTATCAGAATGTGATGAATTTTAAAGTGTGTAATGAAGTTGATTAGGGTTATTACGCATACAAGGGAAACAGTAAAACTTTAATAACTATTTTAAATTAAAAGTTTGACATTTAAAAATGTTACAAAATTATTATTATCAATTTTTAACATGTGAATCCTTTTGCTTTTTTTTCAGTGTAATGTGAGATTACTTTGAGGATGTTACTGTGAGAGGATCAGATGGGCAGCTGAGGTATTGTCCTTGACATTCAGTTACCATGACACTGTATCATAAAGTGACCTTGACCTTGCTGGTCTGGAGTGTATTTGTGTGTTCTGTTGTAAGGTCACAAACTCTGACACAAAAACTGGATTTATTAATGAAAAATGCATCTGTTACACAGGTAAGTTATAAATATTGGAATAATTTTAATTGTGTGTGTTTTTCTTTTGGGGTGGTGTGTGTGTGTGTGAAAAAAGTAAAATCAGCTCTTTAAGAGTAATAATCTGACCTAGGAGTTCTTTAAAAGCTTTACATTAGAAAGATAAAAATATTTAACTTAAAATAGACTTTGTTAATCTGTGAAATGGTTTGTTTCTAACATGAAGAAATGAAATCTTTTAAAACCATTTATTTAAAAGATGAGTGGGAAAACAGGAGAGTTATGATAGTTTTTAAATTCTCTAATGACATGTATGAACAATTTTCTTTTTACAGTATGATGAATATCTATGTAGTAGTTATAAACTGCCAGCAACTGACCAATATATAGGTAAGTTCACTGCAACAGTCTTTAGAATAGTGTGTTTTTAAGTTAGACATTTTCACTCTTGGGACATCTTCTGCTGAAAGTACCGGTATTATTTTTATGTTAATTATATTAAAGTCCAGCTATTTTGATCAAGAGCCTTTAGTGAAGAGGGAGTTATAACTTGAGTGACCCTAGTAACACTGTGAATGATATATAGGGGAGTGGGAGTTGTTACCTCTATTAATGATACCTGGCTCTGTTTATGTGGAAATAACTTTACACGAACATATTGAATTCCATAGATGCCTAGATACACTGTACCGGTACTTGGGGAAATTGCAGCTGATCTTATTTATAGTGACTAGAAAAATGAAGGATTTGTGCTGAATTACTCCCACAAGAATGATTTCCTGTGTCATTTCAGCTTTCAAAGGCAGATTTTCTGCTTATTCAGTAATGAGTCGGCATTTCATTGTGTGTTATGTAAAGATATTAGTAAACATACTTGACGTTTTTAACCTTTCTTTTTATAAATAAGAAAAAAAAATCGCCATACTAGAATAGCAAGTTATTAATTATAGTATGGAGATTTTTTTTTATGTATGATAAGAAAGGTTAAAACATCAAGTGACTGTGTTTTGATGAAGGACCCATGAGACATAAATCTGAGGATGTAATATTAATTAATTAACAATCATCTTTTAGATGTCAGTAAATCTAATGGGAACTTTTATTTGGTTTTAATTAGAAGGTTTTGCAAAATTAAATCAATAAAATAGGTCTGAAAAAAGTTTTCGGAGAGAAATCGTTAACTTCTACAGATGTGTAGATTTGAAGACCAAATTGTATGTTTGTTTTTTTTTTTTTTTTTTTTAAATTTTTTCAATTATTATTTCATAAACATGACTGTTTTACCATGGTCTACAAACTTGAAGAATGAACTTTGCTATATAAACAGTACAAATTGATTTTTATTTAAACTTTAAACTGTGCAAGCAGAACAGAGGGTATAAATCGTATTGGAGCTGCACAGTATATCAAAATCAATAAGTTCAGATCTATTAATTATAAAGAAATTAGGTATTATTTTTCAACAGTTATTAGGAAATAAAAACAGGTATATCACATGATCAAATCCCAGAAAAAAGGCTCTAATTAAAAAGTTTTTGAAATGATACCTTATTATTTTAACATACAAATTTACAGATTTATAACAAATTATTGCATGTTATCATTTTTAACCTAGGCAATGAATATATATATATTTTTTGAACGTATAAATTGTTAGTGATATGACCCTTGAGTAAATGGACTTTTCAGAAAGATTTGAATGTTTATCATAAAAGTGTATTTTTAAGGTATAGCGGGTCATTGCTCCATGTTTCTTTTAACCAAATGCAGATCAAAGAAAATGTTTGTTAAAATTGAGATTTAAACGATATTAGGCATTATGAATGCCTTAATCATTCAGTATCTTATTAAATGGTATCATTGAGAGGTCAGTGTATTCCCCCTGCCCTGAATCTTTATATAAACAATCATTCAACTCGTGCTGTTACATAAATTGTATATAATATATTGACCAAAAACAGTGACTTGTTTTTGTTTGCCCCCTGCTTCACGTGTTCTTGGATGGAATTTAAAAAAATGGTGGCTTTACCATACGTTTTTTGGTGGATTGCGTTATTGATGTTGTGTCAGCCCCTGTCAATACGTCGTGCGATTCTTCCTCCCGCGATATGGCCCTGCTGATAGAACGAGGCCTCGACCATCGCTCTATCACACACAATGTCTTCAGAGGACAAGCGGGGATCAATAGTTATAATCAGCCTATAATTGTCACATTGGGTTTTCTTGTAATATCCTGTTCATGAATATCCATGATTTGCTGTAGACATGGGGGATATTCAATTTGTTAGTTTTGTCTCTTTGAATAATTGCGAGCAAAAACAATTATTGTGCGGAATTTATCAATGCATTTGTTTTTCCATTGAGACAAGCTAATTTCCTTGGTTTAAATATGCATATGATAAACAGCAGTCATACTTTATTATTCAGTGAAAAAATACTGATAAAATAAAACAACTAAGAATTAATTGTCCGAGTCATACTACAATATGTAGTTCATTTGAAATAAAATGAAATAGGTATACACATATCTATTGCATGTATAAGCTTATTGATATTTGTTTTGTTATTGTAAAATGGTAGACAAAGTATTTGGTCACCAAATATTACACAGTGTTGTAATGATAAATTATTTTGCCATTGTTTGAACTTGCATGACCATCAAAGTGAATTTTTTACCAGATTTATAAAATATTATCCAGCAGTGTCATTAGTGCACCTTTTAACCACTTAAAGTATTAATGTCCCTCTAACTGAATGTGACATTTATTTGTCTTTTATAATGTAATGGTTTAATTATAGACGAGTACTTAACTGATGACTGTTTTTAACTATTTTAGTGCAATATGAAGCTTTAGCTAACGCGGGCACCGCCCACCACATTCTGTTGTTTGGTTGTGATGAACCAGCCAGTAACGATGCCTACTGGTATGTATCTGTCTGTCTGTCTGTCTGGATGTTTTTGGAACATACTTTTGTAAACTTTGTAAACAATTCAATCGAATGTCTTTCTGTGAAAATCACTGAAAATAAAACAAGTTAACATTTTGATTTAAAGTGGGACTGTTTTTTTTTTTAATGCTAAGAAGTCCTAAAGGAGAAAACATATAGATAAATGACATAGCATCAAATTTGTTTGACCAATATCTACTTAATTTTGCAGGCATTGTGGTCGATTATGTAAATCACAGGAACAAATTTTATTTGCGTGGGCCAAAAACGCCCCTCCTCTCCAACTACCCAAAGGTAAGAAGTGTTCGGCGGGGACTCTCAAATTTGTAACCAAAATTAAAAAATCAAAATTGTAAATGGTGTACTTTATGAGAGCTCTAGGTGAATTGCACAGCTACTCTTATATGAACCATATATTATAACTCTATCAGAATAAATTTTATTAATGGATGGATCAATAAATATATATAAAGATTTAAAAAATGCAATTATTATCCCTGATACAGCCAAATCTTTACTTTAACTCTGTTATTTCTGTTTTGACAGATGTTGGATTTCGTGTTGGTGGTCAGACCAATATAAAATATATTGTCATCCAAATCCACTACATAAATCCATTACCAGGTATGCACTTCATTACCAATATAAAGTAAATTAAATGTAATTTCCAGGTGATGTATTTAATGTAACTTTATTTTGCCATACATTTGATTGGTTCATCGTTTGTTTCAGCGGGATCATTAGACACTTCAGGGATAAGGCTTCAAATGACCTCTCTAAGGTAAAAACTGAAAGTACTTTCTATACAAAATTGAAAGTACTTTCTAAAGTAATTAACATCATGCTATAATCAAAAATACATTTGTAATAGTTATTATAAACATTAAAATTGAAATTTTTTGTTCACACATTTAACAATTTATTCATTTAATATGGATTGATAATATTGTACATGTACCGCTTTGTTTTTTTTTAGCTCACCTGAGCCGAAGGCTCAAGTGAGCTTTTATGTTTTTGTGTGTCTGTCCGTCTGTAAACTTTTCACATTTTCGACTTCTTCTCAAGAACCACTGGGCCAATTTTGACCAATCTTGGTACAAAGCATCCTTGGGTGAAGGGGAATTTAAATTGTTAAAATGAAGGGACATATCCCCTCGCAAGGGGAGATAATCAAGGAAAGACAAAAATAGGGTGGGGTCATTAAAAAATCTTCTTCTCAAGAACCACTGGGCCAGAAAAGCTGAAACTTATGTGGAAGCATCCTGGTATAGTGTAGATTCTAAATTGTTCACATCATGACCTCCGGGGGAAGGGTGGGGCCACAATGGGGAATCAAAGTTTTATATAGAAATATATAGGAAAAATCTTTGAAAATCTTCTTCTCAAGAACCACAGGGCCAGAAAAGCTGAAACTTATGTGGAAGCATCCTGGTATAGTGTAGATTCTAAATTGTTCACATCATGACCCCCGGGGGAAGGGCGGGACCACAATTGGGTATCAAAGTTTTATATAGAAATATATAAGAAAAATCTTTGAAAATCTTCTTCTCAAGAACCACTGGGCCAGAAAAGCTGAAACTTATGTGGATGCATCCTGGTATAGTGTAGATTCTAAATTGTTCACATCATGACCCCCGGGGGAAGGGCGGGACCACAATTGGGTATCAAAGTTTTATATAGAAATATATAAGAAAAATCTTTGAAAATCTTCTTCTCAAGAACCACTGGGCCAGAAAAGCTGAAACTTATGTGGAAGCATCCTGGTATAGTGTAGATTCTAAATTGTTCAAATCATGACCCCCGGGGGAAGGGCGGGGCCACAATGGGGTATCAAAGTTTTACATAGAAATATATAGGAAAAATCTTTGAAAATCTTCTTCTCAAGAACCACTGGGCCAGAAAAGCTGAAACTTATGTGGAAGCATCCTGGTATAGTGTAGATTCTAAATTGTTCACATCATGACCCCCGGGGGTAGGGCGGGGCCAAAATGGCCGAGCAAAGTTTTATATAGAAATATATAGAAAAATCTTTGAAAATCTTCTTCTCAAGAACCACTGGGCCAGAAAAGCTGATACTTATGTGGAAGCATCCTGGTATAGTGTAGATTCTAAATTGTTCAAATCATGACCCCCGGGGGAAGGGCGGGGCCACAATGGGGTATCAAAGTTTTACATAGAAATATATAGGAAAAATCTTTGAAAATCTTCTTCTCAAGAACCACTGGGCCAGAAAAGCTGAAACTTATGTGGAAGCATCCTGGTATAATGTAGATTCTAAATTGTTCAAATAATGACCCCCGGGGGAAGGGCGGGGCCACAATGGGGAATCAAAGTTTTATATAGAAATATATAGAAAAAATCTTTGAAAATCTTCTTCTCAAGAACCACTGGGCCAGAAAAAGTGAAGCTTATGTGGAAGCATTCTGGGGTAGTGTAAATTCTAAATTGTAGGAATCATGACCCCCGGGGGAAGGGCGGGGCCATTATAGGGAATCAAAGTTTTACATAGAAATATATAGGAAAAATCTTTGAAAATCTTCTTCTCAGGAACCACTGGGCAAAAAAAGCTGAAACATATGTGCCCATGGAAGGATCATGGGGTAGTACAGATTTCAAAATGTCTAAATTATGATCAGTGGGGTGGGGTGGGGATGCATTATGTATAACAAGGGGGAAATCCGGTAAAGAAAAGAATGGTCAAAGCTTCTCAGGTGAGCGATGTGGCCCATTGGCCTCTTGTTTTTTTTTTGTTAATTTTATACATATATGTATGTGTGGATATAAAATGATTGTATATATAATAGCTGATTAAATCTTATTTTTCTGTTAAAAAGCTTTATAAATACATGTATATACTGTAGATTGGCATATATTCACGATGGTTTTAATTTCGCTATGATCGCGATTTATTAATTTTCCGCGAAATTAAACCCATCGTAAATTTTATTTGTTTTTAAAGCGTTTAAATGCTTACAGGAAATTCTGAATTAATTTCTTGCAGCGTGAAATTAAAACCATCGCAAATGGAACTTTTTGAGATATCGTGAAATTTTAACATCGTGAAATTAAAACGACTTACAGTATTAGTTTTCATGTAGATCAGAGTTTTCATCAAATACATGATGTGCAGTTTATTGATTTGCATATGAATAACCCTATAATCTAGTCTAATTGGTTAGGTCCACTTGTATGTCAAGATTATAAAGCACAAATCTTCTTATCTATAAACTATTTTATTATGAATTTAGGAGATTTTTTTATATATTAATTTACTAAATCTTTGCTAATTTTTAACCTTGCTGTGTTTTGTAGACAGAGGTACGAGGCCGGTATTTATTTATTGTTGGCGTATTCCGTGAGGATACCAGGCAACAGCATCAGTAAGTGAACTATTTAACCAGATTAATTATGAATTAACTAATTGTGGATTCTGTTGGAAAATTCTTTATAATTGAATATTCTATTTGAAATTTATTGATCAATTCATATACAAGACCATCTTTAAAAAATTGTTTTGTTGCCCATTTGCGACCGACTTTCTCAAAATGCTTGTCTCAAAACAGTTAACTTTCCAGATACAATGTTTTTTATGCATTCCAGAAAATAGATTTTGAAAATTCAGCATTGATTTTGAAATTTCCAATGTACCTACCAACCAAATTATTTCAACCTGATTAAGAAGAGGGAAAAGAAATAAATATTTTAATACTGGTCCAAGGCAATTAATTGGCTTATTGTGGTTGCTTAACTTGCAAACTTATAAATTTACTAACAAAATATGTCCGTTAATATAAAACAGAACCTTAATTTTTCCCTTGCAGATATTTTTGCCGATATTTCTTGCCAGTTTAAAGCGAGCGGTCCCATATATCCTTTTGGATTTAGAACACATGCTCACAGTTTAGGTAAGGTTTTCACTAATGAAAGAGTGAAATTGAACATAGGACAGACAGTACAGCATCACTATAATGTATTTGAGAGAGAGAAGAGAGAGAATGGGAGAGAGAAAGATTTGTCGTTAATTTTTCCCCCAATCTGTTGTAGGCAGGGTGATATCTGGGTACCAGGTCAATAGTACGTATAATCTGATTGGGAAGGGGAACCCCCAATGGCCCCAGGCTTTCTACCCAGTAGAGAACAAAATTGTCATCCAGAAAGACGATTATCTGGTAGGAATTTTTTTTTTAATTATAAAAGAGGTCAATTTTTTGTCAAAAAACAATATTTTTCTTCACACAATTTGATATTTGAATTGTGAATCCTTTTGATATTTAGGTTGGTCGCTGTGTGTATAATTCCACTGGAAGAAATCGAGACACTTATATTGGGTAAGTCTACTTTCAAAAATTTATATGAAGTCACTTAAGGATGCTCATTTGATTTTATAAAAAAAAAATTAATAGAGCCACACACTTCAATTTCTCCCCAACCAGCATTAAGCCTGTTTCTCTCTCATTGGAGAGGTTTTGATGAAAATTTCACATGATTTACAATGTTTTATTTTTCCAGGGCCACACATAACGATGAGATGTGTAACTTCTACATCATGTACTATGCAGACCGGAACACCAGACTGCAGTACCACTCCTGTGCCGGGAACAACATGCCAGGTCTGGTTCAGAAACTACCGGCATACTCCTACCAACAGCTTCCCCACAATCCCCTCCTGGAGATGGCAGCCCACGGGACGCACGGTCACATGGGGGATGCTAAAGGTCACAGTGGGAATTCAGTAGTGACCGCTGCTCCGGTTACCAGGGCGCCAACAACAACTCCGACGCCAGCACCGACAAAACCCACCACCAGAAAACCAGAAACAGGTAAGGATCAGGTTTATTTAGCAGAGGATATTCCGTGGGATTTTACGCGACAGGAAAGGGAGGGTCAGGGTGTTTACCCAAGGGATTACGACCCAGATTATGAGTACTACAGTGAAGTGGAAAATGAGAGGGGGAGGAAGAAGTACCCCCAGAAAAACTACAGCCGACACCGGTACAACCACCAGGACTACAGCGATTACTACGACTCCGATTTAAGTCGGAATCAGGACATGGGGAAGGATGGCCGCTACCCGGCTAACTCAAGAAAAAATTATAATCGTAAAGGTCAAGGTCAGGTGTTTAATCGGAATAGAAATAGGGTCGGAGGTCAGAGGCATCCCCATAGACAACAGGACGATCCTTATGAGCCAGACAACACCATGTTCAAGGAGGCTTACGCTGTGAGTCTGGAGAAGGGTCAGTCCACCGTGGGGCCTCCAGTCCTGACCCCCGGGCCGACAACACAGGCCAAGCCTCAGAGTAAACCCCACAGTAGAAAACACAGTAAGATGTTGTTGTTGTCAGTGAGCTTCGCAGCATAGTGTTGTCTGTTGTCAGTGAAGCAGATTAGCTTTATTGATGTTGTTAGTTTCTGAAGTTATCAGTTTTATCTTTACTCTTGTGTTAGAAGCTGATTTGGATTTACTTCTCTTTTTCTTTCCTGTATCTCATTTCAGTTTGAGAATATGAATCGTTGTAACATTTCTTTTGATGTACAAATCTGTACTTTTTTGAAAAGACAATATGCATGTAGCTTGCTGTTTCTTTCTGTTGACTTATGAAATATCTGACTTCCATTGTGGAAATTCTGGGAATATCAAATTTCAAAACACAAACATTCAGGATAATTATTTCTGTACTTTAGAAGACAAACCTGATATGCCTGCACATGTGTTGAAGGTGATTATTTTTAATATAGAATACCTATTGATATAATGGTACACTTAATGCAGACTCTTTTATTTTATTTTATGCATATTAACCAGATGGTGCCATAATTTAGTGATTTTTATTTAGAAACAAGTTTTATGGCAGGATTTTAATTTACATTTACATTAAATGGAAATAACAGGTGGTGCAGTTAATAACATTGATGTTATGTGTTACCAATCCTTACAAAAACAAAATATTCACTTTAAGCTTTAATTAGTATCAATGTAATATTGGTAGACATTGGCCATTACAAAACCAACTCTTTCATGATTGTTATAACCTAGATATGAAGAGAAACACAGACAGGTAGAGGAGTATATATTTAATGTGGATTTCTTTTATTTGTCATTTTTTCCTGATTTTTATGGAGTTGATACCAGTGCAGAACTGATCATTGTTTTTATGGAATAAGTGCCTCCTGATATTGAAAATACAAAAACCCAGGTTTATATAATGACAGATAACATATTATATAAATCTGTAATGATATGCTTCATTATATAGCCCCTGAGGCCAGTTAGTTCACTGAGCTCTGATCGTCAATCATCTGTGACGTGTGGCCACTCATGTGTGACAGGAACGTTGTTCCTTGTTCAATACAATGTAACTGTATGGTCAGTTTTGAGAAAATGACAGCTGATTGTCAGATGTAAGGAGAGTTTTGATTGGCTGTTGCTGATATTTACCCCATGTACCCAGATATCCATGAGACATTAGATTTGTTGTGGCTGGACTGCTGGAATGTACTACGTACTGCGTAAATTGATTCTATTTACCTGGCCAGCCCACCCACCTAATCAATATATGGCCACTGATTCATGTTAATCCTGAGAATTACAAAACATCACAACATGTAATAATTAATGATGATGTAGAAAGATTACTAGTACTAAGATTTTACATCAGTAAGAAAAGCATATTTACAGAGTGAAAAATACAGTGCAATAACATGTACTGATCAAGTTAATACTAAGTATGAATGACTAATTAATATCGGTTCAATGTAATAGTTTGATTGACCAAAGTAAGTTCCAATCTGAGAACAATTGGAGCTGAAATAAATAAACTATTTCAAGGAGATATTTCTTGAAAAATCTTCGTTCTGTAAATTCTATAATATTTACTACATGTGTAAGATATGATCGAAAATGAGCAACCCTTTGCTAAAAAAGGGCACTGCAAGGTGGTACATGGATATATGTAGCTTATATAGGAACATATTTCTTTTTGGCGTGGATTGTTGTCCTGATATTTATATTTTTATTCATTGTTATTCTATCAATACAAGTGAAATCAGTAATAATATTATGATAATTTTAATTTTAGCATTATTTTTATGATTTAGATATCTACCTGGTATAATATAAATCTGACTGATCTTCATTATTTGTCACATATTGAACAATTCTTTTTAATATTAAATAAAATCTTATTTATTTCTAACAGTGACTCACTTGATGGACTTCGAGTCTGACTTTGGTGGCTCCATGGGGAGCCCGACCCCGGGGTCAGAGGTCGTGATAGGTCAGGTGGGCGGGGTAGCAACGGACAAGTACGGCAATGTCTATGTGTTTCACCGAGGGGAGAGGGTTTGGAATGGACAGTAAGTTAAACAGATATGTCATTGCATCTGTTATTAAAATAAATACTTAAAGTTTCAGTATTACATGTACTGTAATTGTTTTGTAGAACTTTCGACTACAACAACGTGTTTCGGCTGCAGGACAAACCCATCAGTGCTAACTGTATTGTAGTCTATGACAAGAATGGGCAAGTCATCAGGCAGTTTGGCAGAGACATGTAGGTTTCTCTCTTTTATATGCTCTTCTGCTTGTTTTTGTTTATAGATGTCATCTATTAATATCTTATCACTCAAGTAATATAATGTTCAGCACAGTCACAAACAAATTGCATAATATAAATTCTTTTGTATAATGTATAACTCAATAAAGCATACAGCACATCTTTCACTTAGAATTTTCTGAATTGAAAATCAATTAGAATTTTGGAAATTTCTTACTGTTGACTATTAATCAGTCAGTGTTTCCATGGACATGTTTTAAAATTGTTCAGCTCTAGACTTATTCATCGTACCCGGTATTTTGCTAGGTTCTTCCTACCTCATGGTATTACCGTGGATGACAACATGAATGTGTGGGTGACAGATGTGGGTCTTCATCAGGTAAGTGCATAAAGGTCAACAGAGTACTCAATGGTCAACTGAGTACACATAGGTCATCCTTAAACTGAAAAAATATATAAATTATGCTATATGTATATATGAAGGGCCATTCAACATAATAGATATTAATTTGGACTCATTGTAACATTTTTAGAAGAAGTACACCGTAAACTGTTGTTAGCTTTATAGTTTGAGATGATCTGAGCTCTGACATATATTTGTGTGATTGACAGGTGATGAGGTTCCCGGCTGGCAGTGACCAGACTGATTTGGTCCTGGGTCTCAGATTCAAACCAGGCAAGGGAAATAACCAGTACTGTAAGCCTTCAGATGTCGCCGTAATGTCTACAGGGGAATTCTTTGTCAGCGATGGGTAAGCACTGCTTTTCTATGTCAACTCAAAAAATGTATTGCAGTACTATGACTGTGACTAATGAACAGCAATATGATTGCACTGTAGACTAGATGTATTGTAATTTTGATACTGGGGAAGCTAATGAGATTGCTAATATTCTTTAATTAATGAATGGTTACTTGTATAAAATATATGTAATTATTACAGGTACTGTAACTCTCGGATTGTGAAGTACGACAGGACAGGATCATTTATCAAGGAGTTTGGAGCCAGTAGTACAGCTACATTTGGTAAGAAATTAAGATGATTCTAAGCAAGTGCTAACATTGCCGTAAAGTACTCATGATGTTAATTTACCAAATTTGTAGAAAAAGAAACAATTGAAGTTAATACAAAAAGTTTATATAATGATTGAGAATGTACCTGATGAGTTTAGGTATTTTGTAAGCCTGCAGTAAAAGTATTATCCTGTAAATTCTTTGTAGGTACAGATAAACCCGGCCCCGGTACCTTTAACGTACCCCACAGTATGACCATCGCAGAGGACAAAGGTCTCCTGTGTGTGGCTGACAGAGAGAACGGGAGAATTCAGTGTTTTGACTTCGAGGGAAACTTCCAGCGGATGGTAGAATCCCCCGACTTCGGGGGACGTCTTTTTGCCGTGTCTTACTGTCCTCTACATGGAGGGCTTTTGTTCGCCGTCAACGGACCAAACTTATCTGGGAACCCACCTGTACAAGGATTCATTATTGATATTAACGACGGCCAGGTGATTGAGACCTGGAATGCCAAACCCGTAAGTGACATAAAGCATTTTATGTTGTGGAAATATTTGAATTCTAAGATAATTCAAAACCTAAAAAATGAATTTAAATTATAAAGATCCATGTAACTCAAAAGCCAAGTATAATTTTTTAGCTTAGAAATTATTAACCAGAACTTCAAAATACAAGTACACCACTGAGCACAACAAACATTTACATTTAATACTGTTTTCTTTGTAGGGATTACGGAATCCACACGATATAGTGGTGGATCCAGTGAATTTACGGGTGTACGTTGGAGAACTTGATCCCACCAAAGTTTGGAGATTTGATATGAAGGCAGATGATGGCTCAGGACGGCAGGGAGGAATTTTCCACAGTAAGTCAAGAAAAAAACAAAGATAGGGTCAATTTTACAAGGTTAATCTTTCAGAAAGGAAACTATATATATTAAATGATTTTTTTTTTTAATCCTTTTTTTTTGTGAGAAAATTTTTCCTCATTATACAAAAAAATTGAAATACATGTATACGAGTGGAGGTTATTTACTCTAAATACATGTACTAAATTGTAAGAAATATTTTGCCTAGCCATATCTATGCATGTACCAGAGTCATTGCACCTATTTCACACAGAATAAGCAATACATTGTAATGGTATCATATAAATTACTACCATGTTTAAAGTTTATGCATCTGGTTCATAAAAGAAAATATTTAAAATTATAAAGAGTGAGCATGTATTTATAATTTACTGAATTTCTCAGGTGGCACCACCCCAGTCAGCTCAGGGACCACCGTGAACGCCACATTTGTGGAGACCCAGGAGACAAACAAGAAGTCCCTGACGTCAGAGGAGGAGATGATGCCGGCCATCATCATCGGGGCCCTGCTCATCATCCCCATCATCATCATCATAGTCATTGTCATTGTCATCAGAATCTACAAAAAAGGTAGGTCTGTCTAAATCAGCTTGACTGAAACATCTGTCGTAATAATTCTGTATAATAATAAGTAATAAGTAATTCTGTTGTTGACATGGACATGTACAAATCCTTGTTAACAATACAGTTAAACTTCTTTATCTTGAACTTAAAGCTATCCAAGAGTTTAAAAAATACTGAGTAAAATTTGGGGATTTCCAAAAAAATTTTCAAAGGCATTTATGATATTGATGTTTGAGATACTGAAGTTCAACTGTTTTTATATCAATAATCGTACCTCAATTCACTGTTGTCACACTGAAATTCTGGTTTACTGTAAACCAATTTATATTCACAACGACTTTATTTCGCGATTTACCGGGGATAAACTAATTCGCGATGATTAATTTTCACGATTAAGCCTATTTTGGATCTGTTGTTAATAGAAAATACACTTTAAGGACCAGTTCGAGGCGAGAAATATTTCCGATGACGGAGCTCTCGCGAACTTCGTTGAAATTTCTCACAGGCAAATAAAAGTTGGTTTACAGTATATAATCTCCATTTCTATACCTTTCTTTTTGTCTCTTTTTTTAAATGTGATAATTACTCTAGCCATTATTAATATTTTTCAAATCTTGCTTATTCTCATCTTTTCTTCTCAGTTTTTCTCATTTTGTAATTGTTTTCTTATGTTTAACGATCAAGTATTATCTTGAATCTTCTCAATTTCATTTTCTTTAGAAATTGTAATTGAAAATAATTAGAGTAGAATTTTTGAATACTTTTGGTAGGAAATTTTAACCTGGAATTTTTAGCCCCATGAAAAGTAAAGCCAAGATCACACCATCTACTAAACAATTATGTTCCCTTTGTCAAATGTGCATATTTTAATTTTTAGATTTCATTATTGAGGATAGGAGAAAAAGTGAAATATTTGTTATCTTAAAGCTCAAGTACAGTAAGAATTGGGTTTTATTTTGACAATATTAACAAGCCTCTGCCACAAAATATGTTATGACAAATAACCATTGTTTTGTGTGCTAAAAATGCCATACATGTACTTCATATTACTGGTTAACAAAGCTTAATCTGGTATGTAAATGGTGGGGTTAGCCAAAAATGTGGATAATTCTAGTCACTAGGGGAACATAAATCAGTATTGGAATGTAACAAACAGTCGACAATACAGACCAATATAAATCAGTTATACCATGTGTAATATGTTCATTTTTTTTTTTTTCATTTATGCATTTTCATTGTTTTAAGGATAAATTTGAAAGTTGAAAAATAAATGGTATTTATTTGATATATTCAACACGTACCTGGTATGACTCTTAAAATTCAGTTTCATGTTTAGAATAATTCAAATAAATAGAAAAGGGGGGGGGTGTGTGTTACATAAATAAACTTTGTTCCCATTACTGTATAAGCTTTGCTGCAATACTGCTATGTTTATATCTTGTCTGTCTCCTTTGCAGTAGTGTGATGTAGACTTTCTGTTGCTTTTATTATATACAGCTGTAAACAGTCACTTATTGCTAAACATGGACAGATGTGTCTATTCTCTGTTGCTTTTCTCATCATATCACTTGCTTGACTTCTTTATACACAGAGCAAAAATCAGCACATCACAGTGTTAATCCAGCTGAACGCATACAGGTAAAAAGGAGGAAGGTGTTAAAAAACCATAACAATTTAGAATCTCAAAATATTAACTCTTGGGTTACAGGTGTAAAAATTGAATTTTCTTTACAGGTATTGTAGGTAGCATGCATGTTAAAATTTTTTAATTGTCTCACTAACAATGCAATGCTAACTAAGGTAGACAAATAAACAAAACAAATATTGATGATTTTTAATGGTACGATAAATGTAAACCAATGTAATATCAAAGTCTGAATGGGTCTAAATTTGTATGAACCCTAGTTCCTTGGTGAGAGTTCAACAGTCCTTGTTTTTATGGTTGACTTTGTGCGTAGACTCTCGCGTCTGTCTGGTTGATGGACGTGTGTCCGGTTCTGAAGGGTTTATTAGCGGTAGTGATAGGCAGACTGTAGGTGGAGCTGCATAAATTACTTCATGGTTATCATAACCTGAGAACGACGATCTTACAGTCATAACCTCTTATAAGATAATTACAGGACTGTACCTCAGTGGTCGTAGAATGGATGGTTGAATTACCAGAGAGGTTCAGTAGAAAAGATAAATACAATTAAAGTCATCCATAATAAAATTTTATAGTCAAGAGAGCTGCAGATCTTGAACTGGTGATGTTATAATACACCATACTAGTATTGTAGATCACATACCCCTGTTGTCTTCATTTAAGTGTTCAATCAATCATACAATTTCATAAACAGTTTTTGTACTTTTGGTTAAACTTCAGCCCCTCTCCACTGTGAAGATAAAAAAAAGATTTGATGAAAATTGTCCTTAAATTATAGTATTGTCCATTGCTAGAATGAAGAATGTTATTATTAAAAATTTAGATTTTATGCATGTTGAAAATCTCCAAAGAATTTTGAATGACTTTAAACATTGAAAAAAATTGTGTACATAATTATTTACTTTCTATCCAGTATTACAGTGAAAACTGTCCACTCTGACCCCTGTCAAATCCGTAACACTGTGAATTCTGACATTAAATTTCTTTCCCATTTTCCTATTTTCCAACACTGTGCAAGCTGACACCCTGACTATTCCGACATAAAATTTGTCTCCCAGTACATATCAGATTGGACAAGTTTTACTGTATATGTAAATAGAATTTTCGTTAACTGGAGAATTTTGTCGTTGACAGGCCAACACAATTGTTGCCGACGACATCGATCACGGTCCCGGAAGAAATTTAACATTGGTAACTTCCTCACTCCACACCGAGGATTCGACCGACTGAGTCAGGAGGAGAGTGACACAGAATTCGACCCGCTCAACGACGACTCGGAGGACGAAGAGGAATATTCCATCACCCGAAAAGCCTGAGAGGTGAAAGGTCGAGGGTCAAAAATCTTGTGCAATTATTTGAGGAAAATTAGGAGTCGTTGAGCGGTTAATAACAATATGTTGTTACTTATTTCTGAGGCCTGAAATCTCTGCATCTTTTCACCCCAGTAGATCCTGAGTTGTGATATTATTATGTAGATTTCTTGTTGTTATGTGATAAGAGACTGTTTGTTTTTAATGTATAAAATATATAATTATATAGACAAAGCCACATTGATAGAGAATGGGCCACCACAAACTTGAACAGTGTAGAAATTAGTTTTTTTATAAGGAAAAAGAAATAAAAGAAAAAACAAGAAGTTAAATTATTTGATGTGAAATCCATTGAATCTAAGTTTAGTCATGACCAGGGTAATATTAATTGGGTGGGGGCGTTATACGTCTTGGGATAAAGTTCCTGTTCTTTGGTCGCAGGTGTTTAGACCTGCATCGTAAATACCTCATAATTTTACGTAGACAGGGCTACGTCTTAGCGATTACAGAACTGATTTATTTTTGTCCTATGCATGCATTTTATTGAGACTTGATGACCAGTTTATGTTTCGCAAGGTTAAAATTACCCTGATTTTTTGTTTTGTATAGTACAGTGGTAATTTTATATTACCAATAATAAATTATGATTATAATTGTTAGGTATTTATTGACAAATTGTATTTTTAACCAATCTATTTATTATTAATATTATTTAATTATATCTGCCATTGCTGAGCAGATTTAAACATGCAATATGAACCCAAATTGTTCAGGCCTATTTTTGTAGTTTCTTGTGATTATAGCCTTTTCCATGTTGTGTGTTAGGACATTGTGTCTCTTTTATTAATGATTTCACAATCAACTTTTCACAACACAGCCCAGAAAGGGCTAATTTTATTATTCAGATGACGGACCTTTTAGTATTCTCATTTTTTTATATTGTTATGTTTATATACTTTATGTTAATATTTTCTGCACAATTATTGCAATATCCATGATTTTGTTTACCATATTATGTCATTAAATTATTATGAAATCATGTATACTTCTGCCACTAACAAATATATATAGTACTTATTTGCGATTATAATTTCAAAATCTAGGTACATGTAAGGCAACATGTTTGACATCTGCTCTGGTGAAGGTCATAGGTCAAGGTCATGAGTCAAGGTCACATGTCCTTATCTTGTAACCATACCATGCTTTCTAGTCCATCGTATAAACACATTCCTATTTTGTTTCTTGATAAAATATTATTTATGATATTTCGAAAGAAATTATCCATTGAGCTTTCATTTCTGATTCCCAGATCTGAATTAAATATTGATAAAATGCTTGAATGTCAATAATTTTAACAAATTATACACCTACCTTTGGCTAATTTAAAATTGAGATTTATGGAAGAACCAATCACATGTTTTATAAATCATGTATATAATTGTTATTTTCTTACTATATATCTTATTAATGTCTGTTAATTCTTTCTGAATATTTAGTGTACCGATCTCATTAGCTCATTTATACATGTATTGGTATTCAAAGTTGAAAATGTAAAGATTTTTCAAACTTGAAAATATAAGTTTATATCAGACATGCATTTTCATCAGTATGCGTATATATGCTTGCTTTTCATCCATTCAGTTGGTGCAGTAAGCTGGAATCTTTATTTTTCTATTGTACCTCAAGTATTAAAGGAAGAATGGTAGGCTTTTTAGATCAGTGGTAATAAATTATTTTACTATTTCACTATTAAACACCTATACAGATTTTATATCTATGTCTGAACAATATTTTCATTCTTACAGCTGTATGTATTTTTTAGATTTCTCTGTTAATACTTTGGTGGTGTCCTTTTGTTGTTTTATGTTTTCTTCATTAATTCTGTGCAATCATGCCTAAAACTGTTTATAATGACCAAGGGAAGTAACTGTGTATTATTTCTGTACTGTTGCTTCTCCATTTCTGTTCTGTAACACTTGTTCAAGATTTATACAAGAGGTTTTTCCTTTTGTGTAGAAAATATTTTATTTTGTATTTAACACACAAAAGCTGTGTTCTATGTTAATGTGTCATTACGGATCACCTTCCCATCTTTCTTGGGAATTTTATGTTAATTTTCCCACCTCACTTATAGGGAGTCTTCTGTTACCAGCTGCACTTGTTGGGGCTGTATATGAGTATTACTAAATTATTGCATTTTATTTATCATCAAGATGCTATCTTGTTATGCTAGCTATTCATGGTGGATCTTTGATTCTTGTTGCCAAAGTTGAACACAGCCCCATGGCATTCTTGTCTCTATACTAGCATTCCATTAATGGTGTTGTCATATCATCAGTAAATATTATAAAACAACTTGACTTTTTCTTTTCTTTATCTCACAGTACATTTAGTCCGCCACATGAGCAGTGGTATAAGGCATCTGCTCTAAGAGTTGAAGAGTAAGGAGTTGCTCCTAATACTGTGGGTTCAAATCCCTCTGTGGGACATGGAGACCGGGACTTCAGATGAGACCTTCTAAACGGAGCTCTCATCTCACAGTAGGTGCTGACACCGAAAAGAACTCTCACTGCTCAAAGGACCTGAGGTTAAGTCTATAATTTGCAGCTTTCCACCGACAAATGGTGGCGTCATGAGTGAACATTTTCTGAAGGGACATTAAACTCATGATACATTGTAGGAAAGTAAATTCTAATTATTATAACCTTTTGTGGTAAAAGACTGTGTTAATGGAGAATCAGGTTGCCAGGTTTCCATCGACTCTCTGAACGACCATATTATACACAGCTTGTCTAGCAGCACAAGGTTTATTTGGGGATCAGATACATGTTATACAACCTTACAGAAGAACATATTGTTCAGGGGCATAACCAGGAATTCTTTACAGATGTAATCCAACCCAGTCAAATAGGTAAAACGTATCAAACCCAGAAATTTTCTGAGCAAAAAAGTATAAATCTACCTCTCCCAAGTGTACGAAACCAAGTTTTTTTTTTTCGGGGGAGGGGGGTTGCCTGGACCACCAAACCTTCATCTAGATCTGCCAATGAAAGTTTTTTTATTGAATCAATAACATTCAAATATAAGACTTATTTATTTGAACAAATGAATATAACAATCTGTATTTGTATCATGCCATCGCACAATGTTGATATCGCCTTGGTAAAAATAATAAAAGGGAGAACAGAAACATGATGCAGTAGACCCAGCATCAAAAAATAATGTGTAACTCAGCCATTTTGTAAAGGTATAAAACAAACAACAACAAATGAATAACAAGACTTAATTATCACAAACATATACGAATGGCATGTGCTTAAACAAGGCCATTCAGAATTCTCAATCGAATTTGCCTGAGTTCGTGACGTCATCAGTGTCATTTCCTTCCCTAAGAACAACTTGGCACAGCGCACTGAAATCGTCCATCCTGTTTTTTCTGCAAAATACCCAAAATACGATATTAAATTAGAAACGTAAGTTTTAAAAAATAAAATGTTCGAAAAATCTGGATGACACACTTAATCATAATGAGATAACCACTCTAAAGTTGAATGCCACCTTAAATACAAATATAATTGTGTTCACAGAATCTATATTGGGCTGCGTTTGCTGGGAGCTCAGTGTATAGCAAGGCCTGGGATCGACCAGATCAAACATCATGTCAATGTAGCGTCCCGCCCGCCATTTGTGATTGGTCGTGAAACACAGAAATTGCTTTCTCATGGCTTTTGAAAGTTTCTATGAATAAAGCGTTTTGAAAAGTACCAAGTTAAAAAAACGAAAGTATTAGGTTATTTATTAATTAGTTACTAAAAACGAACGATAGAAATAACTCAATGTGTTATTAACAAAATACATTGGGGGTTGATTTTCTTTTCCGTATGTATCGACTTTCATCTAAATACTGGTCACAGGTAAAAACGTGGCATTTTATTCTAAATCCATCCGATAGAGATTACATGAATTCACTTTTGGCAATTATGATACCTGAAATGTTGATGATTTTATTTTTTTCAATGCAAAAAATAAGATTTTCATTTACTTCCAATCAAAATTGCAAGCACTTATCATTCAGCATCTCTATGGAACGCCAAATTAACATATATTCAAATATTTGTACCTATCTTCAAATAATTGCACCTATCTTCAAATAATTGTACCTATCTTGAAATGAATTGAAGATAGGTACAATTGAATTAAAGATAGGTATAATTGAATAGAAGATAGGTATAAATAATTATACCTATCTCTAAATAATTATACCTAGGTACATATGAATTATACCTATCTTTAATGGAATTACACCTATCTTCAATTCAATTAAAGATAGGTTCAATTGAATTATACCTATCTCTAATTCATTTGAAGATAGGTATAATTGATTTAAAGATAGGTACAATTGAATTGAAGATAGGTTCCATTAACACATATCCACAAAGGATTTGAAGATAGGTACAATTCAATTATACCTAGGTTCAATTCGTTTTATGTCGTTGGTAAAGAATGAACACTCCCTTGGAGACAATATTGAGTATGGAGGGAAACGCACAGAACCTACAGAGCGACAACAACAAGGATGAAAGGAGAAATAAAGGTTAATTCAAAATGTGCAAAAAGCATCATATACTTATAAAAATACACATGTATATCATGTAAGTTTAACTTGTATTGCAGCCAGATGAAGATTCCGATAAACTTTCGCGCCAGCTTGACGTATGAAATGACATATGATAAAGGGAGTAGTTGTTATTGCCTTCAATTCAATTGTACCTATCTTTAAATCAATAATACCTATCTTCAATTCATTGCATTTGTACCTATCTTCAAATCAATTGTACCTATCTTCAAATGAATTAAAGATAGGTATAATTGAATTGTACCTATCTCTAATTCATTTGAAGATAGGTACAATTGATTTAAAGATAGGTACAATTCATTTGAAGATAGGTACAATTCAATTGAAGATAGGTACAATTATTTGAAGATAGGTACAAATATCTGAATATATGTTAATTTGGCTTTCCATACATCTCACTTTGCTAAGTGTTAGAGTAAATCTTGAAAGTTGTTTGTAAGAATTCAAATAAAAAGGAAAAATAGAATCTTTTACAAACAACACATACTAGGAATTCCTCTAGATCATTAATAAGTAAAGGCGAACTTCTTGTCATTGCTTATCGAAATCTACTCACACTGTACTGTTTTCGACACGGGAACTTCCTCTTCGTACAATACTGACGTCTGACACACTTTCCGTATCGTTTGAGACAGCGGAAGTCGTCTTTTAGACAGGATTTACATTTTGGTTCCGCTATAAATCTACAGGCCTGACAGGAAGTATGCTGACAAGGAAATTGGCAGTCACGTGATAGCTCCGCTACTTTGCTAAAATCATCAAGAAAATAACCTGCCATGGGTATCCATGTACATGCTTGGGAACCTTTAATCATTTAATAATTTATTTATTTGTCAAGATTTTTTCCGATACAAGATCTACTTCCTTCATTTTCCTCAGTACGAATTTAATGACCCCTCTATTCAGGAATGGACAAATGTATTTTGGAAATCTAGAGAAAATTATATCGTACAAACTGTGCGTATGAATGTTAAGTTTACCAGCCTAGGATTAACCCAAAGAAAAATGTTCTATGAGAAAAATATATAGTGCTAATAAACAGAAATCAGTGCTGCCCAGTTAGAATGTTACTGGAATGTTCGGTGAATTTTTCTTGGCCTTATGTTTGAATTGACAAATCTACGTAGAATTCAGTCACCTATTCTAGTTTAATAAAACCAATGACAAATTCATTTAACTCCATAAAATACTATGGAATAAGAAACGCTTTGGTGTGTATTATGTATAGAGAGTCCTTAATATGTGATAAAACAATAAATAGAAGGATCTTTTGAATCTGTAAATGATACTTGAGGTTTGTACCTCAATACTTCACACATCGAAGAATATACTTGTGTCAAATCTGTGTGATGCTATGAAGTCTTTCACCGAGAAAACCCTCTTTAACGATAATAATGTCAGAAAGTAAGAGGTTCATAAAATTGCCAAATGCTGTCCTCTTTCCAAAACCTCATGATTCTTTCTTAAATGTACTCACATGGCACTGCATATTGCTCTGGGGTGTTCACGGCAAAATTTGGGCGAACACTTGGGTCGGCATTTCTGCTGTGGCTTCGGAGCATCTTGTATATGTGATGGTACTATCAGAAACAAAACATGACATTTCACAATCAAAGTAATCTAATTAGGTACTTTTGTGATTATTAAGTCAATTTTTTTTTATAGCAAATCTATATAATTTGATATTTATCATTCATATAGGATATACGCAATGAAGATGAACATGGCCGTATCTAGATTCCTGACGTCGTGACTTTGGTTTACCCTCACAGTTATGCACTAGCTCGTACATCACCCTGCTAATACTTATTCAATATCAGTTATCATTAATCACCTTCATCATTTGATTCTTTCTGCACTCTCCAAATCCGCTCATCATAAACACTGTCAAAATGGATGCTGGAGGGCACCCAATGGTGCCCCTAAAACCAAGTACATTTAGTGCAGTAAAGCAGTAAGCTGGATTTAGATCTTTGTCCAGAGTTTATGGAGCTATCTAAATAGTCTACAGAGGTTAGTTATACACCGGGTTTTTAGATAAAAAAAAAAGAGTTGATGTTGATGCGTGCGGTGCATGTTATAACCTTTATAGAATTATTTGGGCTGAATTCCGACCACTTTAAACCAGTCATGTACGTGTTTCTTATCATTTTCTTTGGGTCGATGCTGTCATGTACTGTTTGAGAATTGAAAATTAATTGTTAATTAATGACAGATATTTATTTATTATTATTTATTTATTTCAAATGTTATTTGAAAACAAAGTTTTCCTAATGACAATAATATTACTTTGCTATATCCATAATCCGTTATATCCGTATAAGGAATTCATTAAATTTATATAGCTGGGGATCCAAGATTACTTCGCTATATCCGTGAATTTGCAATAATCTGTGTTCATACTAAACGAGTTTTACTGTATTCGGTTTGCATGTAATATATAGAATAAAGATACTTAGTACGTTTTTCACAGGTTAAATGCTGAGTTTTACATATTAGTATTTTATGCTTTAGTTGTTTACAAAACACATGAAACCTTCACACTAATATGGTATAATAAAAACGATTTGTCAGTTTTCAGTCTGTTTTGTGTAGTGACTTAGAGAAGCGAGACTGTCTTGTGATGTGTGTAGCCGTTGAAATGTATTAGGTTAACGTTCTCGATGTACCATGTTTGATGGCTGTGTGCAATTAGCTTACTATATGTGTTTAAAGTTTAAGAATGGGAATACAGTGTAAGGCAAAATTAAAAATGTAGACTATTAAACAATAGAATATAAATTCATCAAGAGAAGATTTTGATAAAGTTGTTCAAATGGAACTCTTAAATCAATGTCATCTTAAATGAAAGTGTGTCATACGGTGACAGTACTTGTAGATCTACACATCCTGCTTTAAATCCTACATTTATTTTTGTTTCAATTTTGGGGACAAAAACATCAACATTCGGTCATCAATGGAGAGAGAGAAAGAGAGAGAGAGAGAATTAGACCATGGAAATAGTCGATATCCCGTTTCCACAAATAACGACTTGATAATTGCAAACGGTGTTAATCGGTGAAACTGAGACATAATAAATAAAAGGAATCCGAAAATCACTCATAGAATCAACCGCAATGACAGCTTAAAACAAAAGCAGTGGCATTTAGCTGGATAAGAGAACTGCACTAACTAAGTTGTAACTATATTGTTGTAGGATATTTTGGGGTATTCTCTCTACCAATTGACGCCACTGGGACCAATAAATGCCTCGTTCCGCGCTTCTTTCGTCATGGGAATTCCGGAATTTTTTATTCAATTGTCCAAAAACAGATAAAGAGTAAAATATGCCATTACTATAATAGCAGATCCCGTTGTTTTGTTTTTGGAGAAAGTCTGTGTTATGTCATCATCTTAAGGTATTCCGTCGCTCAATTTCAGGAAATCAGCAGCTAATAAAAATTATTTGAACGACACCGAATTCACAGTGTGTATTTACTCACATCGCTTCTCCAAAGTTCATTGATAATACATTGTACATGTAAAAAATGTACATATACTAGTAAATCCTAAATACGTATAGGGGAAATTTTTGAAAAATCAAATTTATTCAGGAAACGCGACCAAAGCACAAATTATATATTTTCTTCTTAATAATTGATCAACATATATATTTTAGAATAGAAAACTATACCGGTAGGTATCTAGGCGTTCGGGGAAAATTGCATTTTTTTTTTAAATTTATTTATCATATGATTTTGTTTGTTTACAATTCACTTCAGTTAAGTTGTTATATAATACATATATTATAGCATTAAAAGAATGTGATATCATTGCAATATATATATGTACATGTATTGCAAGACCATTTTTTAAGACTTGAAAGAACAATGAATCATATTTTAAAGATGCATGAAATGAAAATTGCAGCACAAAAAATTAAAGTCAAGCTTTATTTTGAGACATTCAAAAAAAAAAAATCATTTTCCAGAGTTATTGTTCCTGACTGAGGAGCAGATAACCTTAAGAATATGTGTTAGTTTGTGGACAAATATATAATTACTTACATACATATTGTAGATTACGAATAAAGAATAAACATTTGACCTATGTCATACACATGTCAATTTTGTCTCATATTGATTACAATTTACTGGAGTATTTTATATTCGAACACCTCTCTAACATTGTAGATTGCTCCAAATAAGTTCACACTTCTGTGCAGACTTGGGCTTGTTATTTGACATCGTATGAACATGTGTTTTTTACGTTAAGAGAACCATTTTTAGCTCACCTGAGCCGAAGGCTCAATTGAGCTTTTCTGATCACATTTTGTCCATCGTCCGTCCGTCCGTCTGTTAACTTTTCACATTTTTGACTTCTTCTCAAGAACCACTGGGCCACGTTTTACCAAACTTGGTACAAAGCATCCATAGGTAAAGGGGAGTTTAAATTGTTAAAATGAATGGCCAAAACCCCTCGCAAGGGGAGATAATCAAGAAAAGACAAAAATAGGGTGGAGTCATTAAAAAACCTTCTTCTCAAGAGCCACTGGGCCAGAAAAGCTGACACTTATGTGGAAGCATCCTTGGATAGTAGAGATTATAAATTCTTAAAATCATGACCCCCGGGGGTAGGGCAGGGCCACAATAGGGAATCAAAGTTTCACATAGGAATATATAGGAAAAAACTTTAAAAATCTTCTCAAGAACCACTGGGCCAGTAAAGCTGAAACTTATGTGGAAGCATCCTTGGGTAGTGTAGATTATAAATTGTTAAAATCATGACCCCTGGGGGTAGGGCGGGGCCACAACAGGGAATAAAAGGTTCTACATAGAAATAGGCAAAAACATTAAAATCTTCTTCTCAAGAACCACTGGGCCAGAAAAGCTGAAACTTATATGGAAGCATCATTGGGTAGTGTAGATTATAAATTGTTAAAATCATGACCCCCGGGGGTTGGGCGGGGCCGCAATAGGGAATCAAAGTTTTACATAGAAATATATAGGCAAAAACTTTAAAAATCTTCTTCTCAAGAACCACTGGGCCAGAAAAGCTGAAACTTATGTGGAAGCATCCTTGGGTAGTAGAGATTATATATTGTTAAAATCATGACCCCTGGGGGTAGGGCGGGGCCACAATAAGGAATCAAAGTTTTACATAGAAATATAGGGTTAGGAAAAAACTTTTAAAATCTTCTTCTCAAGAACCACTGGGCCAGTAAAGCTGAAACTTATGTGGAAGAATCCTTGGGTAGTGTAGACTCTAAATTTTAAAATCATGATCCGTGAGGGTTGGGTGGGGCCACAATAAGGAATAAAAGTTTTACATAGAAATATTTTAGGAAAAAACTTTAAAAAATCTTCCTCTCAAGAAGTAGTGGGCCAGAAAATCTGAAACGTATGTGGAAGCATCCTTGGGTAGTGTAGATTCAAAATTGTTATAATTGTGACATGGGGGAAAGGGGGGGTGGAACGACTAGGCCACAATAGGTATTACGAAGGAGGAAATCTGTTAAAGAACAGCAACACCAAAGTTACTCAGGTGAGCGATGTGGCCCATGGGCCTCTTGTTTTATCATGCAATTTTATGTTGAAACTAAATACTTAGACACTGATTGACATGTATTTTATAGAAGGCAATACCAGTATACATCCTATCAGATTGCTTAAAAGTGAAAATCTGTCTTCCATGTTTGTTATTTTTCGAGCATGCAAAACTTATAAGGATGTTTTTATTAAAGGGTGGTTTTATTGGACATATTTCAGAAAAGAAACAAAGAAAAGGCCAACCCATACACCAAGCCCACATTAAACAACGACGTATCAATCATTAGTCCTTCTCAATATCAAATATTAGTACATTGTGTATTCTACAAATCTAATTTTTTTCTTCAGTGTTCTCTGAACTGTTTTTTTAAAAGATCAAATATATTTATTTATCTATATATAAAAAAGAACTTTTGATTTTACCTGCAATATAAAAAGATCTCTTTATGTCAAATTTGAGATTTTGACATTTTTGAACCCCTTAATTGAAAATACTACAAATAGAATAATTTTATTTTATGTAACTACATATTGCAGATGATACAGTTTATGTAAACTTGTGCATTTATATGTTGCATGTAAGTGTCCGATTTGCTTTAACAACATTAGTTACGGGATTTACCCGATATTCTGTTTTTAATTTATTTGGGCGTTTTTCATACTCTAATGACGAAAAAGTAATAAAGTATACATGTCTACTCATATTAGCAAAAATCAGGGAAAAAAAGAAAATTAGGGTTGGGGAGTTGACAAATAACTTAGTTATGAAACAGTTTATCACATACACTGTAAATTTAAAATAATAATAGTAATACATTATTCGTAACACGCGAATCAATTTTTATACAGAAAAATTCTGTACGAAGAAAAGATTGGCACTTTCCAAATCACAAAACTATGCATTTTAAACAATTGTAAATCTTAAAGTTTGAGAGTGTCGAATTTCTACCCTTTTCTGCTAACGGAGATTAACTTTAAAATAATAACAGACAGACAGATTGACTGACTGACTGACATGAAGCATATACTAACCTAAAACACATTTTCCCTCGGGTTGGCGGTCCGTGAATTTCTGAGGGTCCTGAATTTGACAATAAAGTCCTCTATCACATTTACCGAGATAATTAAAATCCCCACCACACCGCTCCCCCGACACCTTAGCACAGGTCGGGCAGCAACCACATATCCCCGTGCTGATACCACCTTTACAAGTCAGCTGGGAGGGTTTCCGGGGGCTACAGTGTATACGTTCACAGGCGGGGCACTGGAGTCCAGACCCTAGAGTCACTAGCACCATGAAAATTCCTGGGGGTAACAGCGAACCGAGCACCACCATGCCTCCACGCAGTGGTTCCTGTGAGGGAATGTACCCACTTACACTAACTAGAGCCCGGGGCCAAGTCACGCGGAAAGGTCTGGACCATGATTCTGAAGTCGCATCATCAAAGATAAAAATGACTGGCACGTTCGGGTTATAGAGTCTTTGAAGTTACTTTTCCGAAAAAGAACAAATGGTTTCCATTGATAAAAACCTAGGCCCACCCACACGCTGAGCGGGGGACTTTTCATTAATGTACTAAAACGGGGCGTGTTTACGGTACTAGGATGGACCAATGGTTTCACTAAGCAGTTCATTTTCTGGATGTAATAAATTCCAAGTGTGACAAATTTTGATTCACAAAATCATCGCGGCTACTTCAGGAGATTTATTGAATATTTTGGGGTCTCTCTGCCAGGTTTGTGAGTGTTGGGCACACATCATTAAATATAAATAGTCTGAACAAACAGGGCTACCTCTTGAAATACTTACCCACGAGTATAGAAAAATTGTTTCTATATTATAACGAAGGAAAACGTGGTAATTAACATTCTTATTTAAAACCTCCCCAAAATGCAGTCAGCTGTATAAAAATTAGAGGTCTACTGCTAGGGTAATATATGCTATCGTTACTTTCTGATTAATTGTGTTATTTTTTTTAAAATATACATTAGAGGTTAAGACTAAAATGCACCAGAGAAGTTAATTTTTAAAAATATAATTCTCTCTCTCTATCCCCCCTGTACCTTACACGTTTACAATTGATATAAGATTAATTTGGTTTTTCCGTGATGAGTAAATTTTTAAAATTGACACAAAAAGCAGGACACCCAAGTGGAGGAGGGTAAAAAACAAAGTTTGACACGTTAATACCCGACTAATACAGCACGGAAATATCATCCAGTTTTTGTTTACATCAAGTGCAGAAAATCAGTGATTTACACTATATGCACTGTCATTTGAGTATTCGATGAAGCTATTTTCTTCTCACTCTTATTTTAAATCAAACCAGGTCAAATTCGCTTAAACAACAATTAATTATAAGGGTGTAGTCTTTTATGGATAAGTAGTAACTGTTGTATAGATACTGACTTCAGTACAGTGGAAGCACTTCTAACTCGTAAATTTTCCAGTATGTATATAAGATAAGATAAGATAATTTTATTTCCAATATATATAATAATATATATTTGTGACACCCCCCCCCCCCCAAAAAAAAAGGTTAGAAACAGAGAAGACATGAAAATCTTAAACACTTTTTTTTTCTGAAGACAAATTTCATTCTTCAGTAGTGTATTGAAAGTTTTCATATCATTTGCGATGTATTGTACTCTTGATTAATCCTAAGAAGAAAGCTTCAAAGTTGTATACAGAGGTTAAATTGTTGGACCTTTGCTACTATAGTCATAATACATGAAAAAAAAATTATGCATGAAAATCCCCAAGTCTGCATGGCAGGTCTGTTGGAATCAATTTTTCGGGGGGGGGGGGCAGCTAGACATCTTTAGTTAGGGGTATACTGCCATGCAAAATTCCTTGATAAGCAAAGTAAGAAAAAAATCATCAGATCTTATTGTTGAGAAAGTATATCCATAAAGTACCTTAAATCGATAGTAAACTAAATATTGGCCAATATTAATGGCGATGTGTCTGCATGGCCCATTTGTAATGAGGGGGTTATTATTGGTCATGTTTGACTTTGGTTTATGGTCATGGCACGTCTAAACAAAAAAAAACTTCTAGTTTTTCATGACCGAGTTAAAGACTGGAATAGAGTTTTAATCCCTTAATCCCTTTGGAATTCATGCTCCGTATAGTGTCAATTCTCAGTGACTACTTTCCCGTAAGGAGTCTGAACATTACTTGTTCAGTGCGATATTTAATGACTAGGTTTCGGTCACGGCACAATTACTCTGTGTCTTCATGCTGTTTACCTCCAAAATTGTAATTAGGAAGTTGGAAGTGCATGAACACACCTCTAGAAGAAACTGAAAGACCGAAAACGTGTCCGTCCCCGTTTTTCCATAAAAAACAAGATGTGTTATTGAAACACGATGCGCCCGGCTGCAACAAAGTTCGAAAAAGCTATTTTTTGCACATTGGTCACAGTCATGGTCACAAGGTCATTGATCTTGATGTCATTTGAAAGAACTTAATTAGGGGAGTACGCATACCAAAAATAGTCTCTATCTCCTATGGTTCAGAAGTTATGGCGAAAGTTCGAAAAAGCTATTTTAGCAGATAGGTCACAGTCAAGGTCACAAGGTCATTGAAATTGGTGTCATTTGAAAGAGCTTATGCATACCAAATTTGAAGTCTGTTCAGTTATGGCGAAGGTTAAAGTTGACAACAGACAGACAGACAAACAGATGAACAGACAGGACAAAAACAATATATGCCCCGGATCTATCGATCCAGGCGCATAAAAAATAAATGATACAATAACTAATTAATGCTTTTTTTTATCAAATGAGCAGAATAAAGTAATTTTTCGGTTCTTAATTAAAAACACGAATATATCCCTCATAAAGCTTTTACAACTGTGTTTGAGAGACGGGACTAGAGTCTATGGCAAGAGGTCTATTTTTGAGTTGTATTTTCATCCTTTAGGGAAAAAAACACAAATTAATAAGATGAAATTTTTCAGTCAAGTTTGAAAAAAAAAAGAAAAAGATAATGTTAATACATTGGCAATGTATTGGAGAGGTTGTCTCTCTTTATACATTAAAATTATATAAGGAAAGTAAGAATGAATCACAATGATTATTTAAGACTAAATTTACTTATTTACTTATTCATGAATATAAACAACAGGAACAAGATTTCTAGCCGTTGGAGTTAGCCTTGGTTGGGAAGGGGGTGGGGTGACACTTTAAAAAAAAGTTAATGGAACTAAAAAAAAAACACCGCAAATCTTGTAATTTTATCAAAATGTTCTTAATTTTAAGGCTAAATTCGTCATTTTATGATCCTTTTAGGGCCTAGATTAAAGGAGTGAAACCAAATCGAAGAAACTTAAGTAGTCGGGATAGGGATTCCAAAAATTTTAAACATGATGTCAAAAGTGACGTCATAACATAACAAACTAAATAAAGATGGTGACCACAGAATGTTCCACTTGAAATTTTTGCTTTTTGTTGGATTTTGGTATGTTTAAGTAGGCAAGAATGATGACAATTGTAAAAATTTCAAAATGCATCAACTGTACCTGCAGAACTGTAGCTCTCCGAAAAAAAAATTGACAAATCGGCATGCAGCTAAATCAACTGGTCTGTAAATTAACGCATGTATATTTATAAATTATTCAATACATTGTATTGACCTAATTTGCACTCTTCAAAAGAATAAAAACTTTCATTTGATATATAAAATGAATTACGGGTAGAAGTCTTCGAGGACTAATGTTTATCTTGTTTTTGCTGTCAGTTGTAAGGTGTTTGGTGAGGATGGGAACCAGGCTGGAAGAAATCAGCCGCCAAATAAAGGTATGGTTATCTCTCTTACCATATTTCCATGTAGGCCTATGCAGTATATGTACATAATTACAATTTTACACTGTATGCATACAGTATTTCATGGAAAACTCATTTTAAAATGAAAACTTTGTGAGGTCAATTTTAGCTTAGTTAATGTCCATGATTCTGTTTACTGAATGATGAATCATGCACCATTGTTCAAATTATCTGGTCTTTTTATGCTGTACAATAGTCACCAGCATATTGTAGCCTAACTTGTAAACATCTGTAGCATCCGAAGAACCATTTTGATAACTACATACTCTGTATTCTCTTGAATAGGATCGGATTGCATCCGGCGGATAACAACACAAGTGGCTCGTTATTTTTGGAAGCTGCAGAGCCGACGGATCGACTACCGAGAGAGAAACAACCGGGTGTTTGCCGACATCCCTTTCCTTCATCTGACGACTGTTTATGGCTGGACAATGCGAGGGAAGCAGGGGCGGATATCTCAGGCGCGGGAAGATGGCCGGGGGATCATCACGGAGTATATGATCCAGTACCTGAATAGCGACGGAAACTGGACGTACATTAACAACTCTAAGACTGGTAAACAGGTAATTCAAATCGACATAATAACAACTCAAAGACCGGTAAACAGGTAATTCAAATCGATAAAATAACAACTCAAAGACCGGTAAACAGGTAAATCAGATCGATAAAATAACAAATCAAAGACCGGTAAACAGGTAATTCAAATCGATAAAATAACAACTCAAAGACCGGTAAACAGGTAATTCAAATCGATAAAATAACAAATCAAAGACCGGTAAACAGGTAAATCAGATCGCATAAAACTGGTCGTACATTAACAACTCTAAGACCGGTAAACAGGTAAGTCAAATCGTATAAAAACTGGTCGTACAGTGTACATTAACAACTCTAAGACCAGTAAACAGGGTAATTAAAATCGTATAAAAACTGGGCGTACACTAACTCTAAGACCAGTAAACAGGGTAATTCAAATCGTCTAAAAACTGGACGTATATTAAATCTAAGACCGATAAACAGGTAATTCAATTCGTTTAAGAACTGGACCTACATTTACAAATCAAAGACCGGTTAACAAGTAAGTCAAACCGTCTAAAACTGGAAGCATGTTAACAACTCAAGGATGCATGGGTAAACAGATAATTCTGTGCAAAACTGGACGTAGTTAAGAACTCCAAGGCTCTTATACAGGAGCTAAAACGTTAAAAATCTGGACAAACATTAACAGGTACCTCAAACCGTGTATGAAGCAAAGCTTCACTTCAGAAGTTTTTTTTTTATCAGATAATTCTAAGTGTTTTTTTAATTTCCTTCAAGAAAATGCACAATTTTGTTTTGATGATAGATTTTCAACATATATACATTTACATCAAATATCATCCAACAGTTATAAATATAACTTGTCTACGTAATTTTCAGATTTTTGCCAACCTTGGAAACATTGCCGTCCCTGACACTATAACGAGCGTCACTCTAGCTAACCCTGTGACGACGCTGGTGTTACGCGTCATTCCTGAACTCTGGGATGGCGTCCCCTATATGATGATGTCAATCCAGCACTGCGCAGACACCGATATAGCCGAAAAGAACCCGATCTTGCCCCTACAGCTTGCACACAACTCCGTGAAGAAAAATCTAGAGGATCAAGTGAAGAAGAAGATCCAGAATAAGATTTCCCGCCTCCAGCAGAAAGTGAAGCTGATGAAGCAGAAGATGGCGCATCAACATCAGCATCATAATAACAAGGTCCAGACAATTCACCGAGGGGGAAAGGCTGGCAAACATAAATCTGAAAATCACAGGACTAATCACAAGAAACAATTTAGTAAAAGTAAACATAGGAAACCTAAAAAAGTGAACAATAAACAGACGAAACAGAATGGAAATCACAAAGCTGGAGACAAACACTCAAAATCAAACGTTAAACAAACCAAAGAAAGACGGAACACCAGACAAGGCACGCTGGTGGACTATCATGGGTATGGTCTTGCAATTGATGACTTTGATGGAAGACTGAAACGTGAACAAGGGAAGGATGCCAAGAGTAAGGATACGGACAAACATAAAACCCAGAACAAAAATCAAAGACGGAAGGGTAAAAAGACAAAGGGAAACAACAAAAACTCAAAACAAACAAAGAAGCCAGAGAGAAAACACCGGAAAAATGATAAACAACATGGGAAAAGCAATAAAAAGAAATCTCACAAAAAAGTTGCCCCAAAACAACCCAAAAAGCAAAAACCTAAGGGAAAACATAAAGAGGGGAAATCACACCCAAAGAAGAGCAAAAAAATCGATCGATTGTCCAAGAAAATTGACAGAACAGTTAAAAAGTTAAATCAGCTGAAGAAAGAAATTCATGATATAGACAAAAAACCTCCAAAGAAAGGGTCAAAGAAGGTCAAGGTCAATAAGCCGCAGACACCTACACCGGAAGTGACGAAAAACAACACGGTTAAGACCGAGGCTGAGAGTGTCGCACCTGCCAAAAACCAGCCATCACAGAAATCAGAAGCAATGAAACAAATTGAGAAACAAGATAATGTGGTCACCAAGACTGCTTGTAAGTTAATGTTATTTCATTACGAGCTTATAACAGGGATTATTTTCAACAGTAAATCTTAATATAAAATAAAACATCAATTTTTCAAAATTTTATCACTTACTCGATAAAAATTTCCCTATTGAAGGGGTATAGGACCCTGTTTCAAAAAGGGTCAATTAAGTCTTGTTATGATATCACATATGCAAGAAATTTCAGAAGTGGTGAATTATTAAATGATTTAAATTATCGTTGGTAATGTTTTAGACGAATCCTGTCGGCTAATGCCCGTCTGGAGATATGGCAGCACGAATTTCCAACCAGACGACACGTTTTCCGCGCTAGCTGACAACAGACAAGCCTGGCGAGCTATGTACGGACTGGGCATTCAGCCATACAGATTTAGAATCCCGGAGCGGTATCAAAAGTCCCGAAATCAGAAATACTACCTGGAAATTGATTTTAAGAAAATTACAAATGTTTTTGGGTTGAAAGTGGCCGGAAGTAGCTCCCAGGCTCAATGGGGCATTATAACAAGGTTCTCTTTATATCACAAAAGGAAAGAATCAGATCCATGGCAGGGTTACGTAGATCATCTTAACCAGCACCGGGTGAGACAACTTAGACAACTACGTCATACTTTACAAGTAGATATTTAAATACTACAACAATAATAATACTTTATTTTAACTTTAGTAATTCAAAGAACATAGCAGTTTATGTGAATAACTTTTTGGTCTCTTCAGGTATTTGAAATTGGTTCCCGGGAAAAGGGTAACGCGCATGCTCCGTCTGTGTTTAAACTTGATGTACCAGTGACGGCCAAGGCAATCCGAATATATCCAGAAAGATGGGTTTCGGCACCCCTCATGGTTGTAGACCTCCTGACGTGTGAAACCAGCTATAAACACTAAAATATTCAAAGTTGAATTAACAACTATAAAGAATTCAACACAGATTGGAAGCAAACTATTTTAAAAATCAATATAACTGACAAAAGCATTACTTTTGTATCCCACCATCCACTATTCAACATCTTTTACCCGAAAAGTTAAAGTTGTGACTCAAATAAAACCTTGATCTTTACTCAGTAAATTTAATAAACTAGTACAAGTACAAGCTATAAATAATTTAATTGATTTTATTCCTTAGCACAAGACTGTAATTAAGTCCCACCCTCTTTGAATCCACTTCATTAATCACTAAATCCCCATTGTCCAGTATAGAAGTCGTCATCTCTAAGAAAGGTTAATATTTGAATTACTGAATCTAGCAGACAATGCAAATAAAAAACAAAACAGCTGATGCTCTCGGTCGTTCAAACTCCAGATTGATTTAGAAAGAAGGCTTTGGAAGGTATTGTTTAAGAACTATGCTCGCTCGTTAAACATTTATCTTTTTAAAATTTAAAGAAAAGATAATTGCAGTATGTCTGAGCGTATTGTTAACTAAGAAAGTCAATTGTCTCTTGATGACGCCTGCATTTAAAGGTTTTCTTCAATCATCTTCTTCCTTGGTCGCGACTCAGAAGTTCTAAGATGTACCGAACGAGATTAACTTCAGTATTTGCATATAATTAAAACAGTGAACTTACAGTCTCCTTTTCTATTAAAAACAAATATTTTTAGAGTTCGAAATAAAGTCGTCGCGAATACATAATTATGTCACTCTAAATATTTTTAGAGTTCTACATGTATGTCACTCTTCCCCCCCCCCCCTCTCTCTTTTACCCCCGAAAAAACGACGTAATTTTACATTCCTTACACAGTGCATGCATATATATATATATATACAGGAATTTGGTGATCAACCATAAATAAAGTTCAGTAGAAATTAAATTGTTGATGAAGAATATTTTTTTCTTTTAGTGTGAAAATGCTTCATCTATGTTACAAAAATCAAAATTGTTACGAAACTTTCAATAAAGCACAGGTAAATCCCTGTATTGATTGCTCAGCATTACCTGTCGTTTGAAACCAAGGTGACAGGTTACGGTGGTAGGCAGATCAATAGGCCGCGCGCATCGGAACGCGCCGAAGTCCGCAGACGACAACTCTTAGAAACATCACCAGCAGCCGAAACTCCTCAGGACGGTAAGTACTCGCAAAATTTATCGTTTTTTTTACAAATTTAGGTTAAAAATTAATTAGGAATTATCGAACTTTTCTTTTAAATTATATGATAAATTACAGAGTACAAAAAAAAAATAAATAAATAAATTTTTGCCAACCCGTACAGCGAAACTGTAATTATTAATTTACATCTAGCATCGAATTCCAATCTTCAGAGGAGAGTTTACTCAGAAATCGACAATTTCTATCCAACGCCCCCTCCTTTCAAAGTAAAACGTGATATTACAGTGATGCTACCATTTGTTTTAAGAGTATTTTATATTGAAAATGGCATTTCCACCAAAAATTTAATAAATCCAAATATCTGTTCTACTGATTATAATATCAAATTTTGCAATTTGATATTTTTCAGGTTTAAAAATTTCTTTAAAATATTTGTTTAATTAGGCAAGTAAATCCAAAGTTAATATCTATAGGGATTTATAATTTGCACATTTTTTGTATTTGTTTGGAGTTCTGATGCGATATTTAACTTCATGGAAAGTGGCAAAAAGAAAAAAAGTGGTAATTAAAAAAAGTCATACCTGTCGAATATACGGGGCGATATCAACCGATTTCCATATTACTAGTCTTAAAAAAAAATCACACAAGATCCAGAGTTGAGTGGTAAAACTTTAAGAAATGAATTGATGAAATATATTGAGATAACGAACAGTATATTCAATCTCAAAATTCCATACAACAATACAAAATTGGAGCAGAGCAAACACGGACCTCCAAAACATCAAAGGTGGTATCAGGTGCCATGGAGGAGTGAGCATCCCCTACTGAACGGTTACACCCGCTGTGTGCTCCCTGTCATGGACAATAAAAGAAAATCCTTTGTCAATTTAGTGTATTAATAATGGACTATCATATGAAAAACGTCAGCATTTGACTCAATGATAAATTTAATTTGCTGACAAGGTCATTATATTGACCAAAGAACTTACAAAATGATGACTTAAAACGGTATAATTTTCTGCAGTATGCGTACATTTACAAGTTGGTAAATCATATCTACTGAAATTGAATAAAATAAGTAAACGGTTAACAAACTATGTTCCTTACAGAAATATTTACTGAAACACGCCTTGTTATACATTTAGTTTATAAGCAATTTTTAGGTATGTTTTGGTAAAATTTTGAAATAATATCACTTTTTATGTACACTCTTGTAATACTAGTATTATCTGTCTTGAAGCCCCCTCTCTGCACAAGAAATAAAGGTATCTTTTTTCAAGTAAATGTATGAAGACAGATTAGCAAGTTCACAAATTACATGCAATATAATTAATCTGACAGGCTATTTCACTTTATTACCAAAGGAAATATATACCCAGTCTTACAATGAATATCCTCTGACAGTCATACACACAAAGTGTGACCATAATGTGTAATGGCCCTTTCCTTTTTGTGATTTTAGAATAACCCTTGACATTTTAGTCCAGAAAGCCGAACTGGTTTTAATTTTTACATAATGCGCATGTATTCTAAGTATGGCGAAATTTTAGGTTCAAAGAAGTAATCATTGATCCTATTTTATATGTCTCTGAGACTCGTCATGGCCGTGTCTTGCGCATCTTGATTACGCAAGTCTCGTTTTTTTGATAAATATACTGTGTCAGATATCTATTGAACAAGATATGTCCTAAGCCCCCTTTGGTAAATAAAACCAGTTTTAACCAACGGACAAAGGGTTTACTTTAATAAATTTGAAACAACAAAAAGTATAATGGCGATATTGATATGTCGACAATGGGAACCCCATTACTCCGGGCTATTGACTTCTCTATAAATGTTCCAAATTCTCATTACCAATGTACTGCTATCGCCGATACATTTTGAAAAACCAATATCGTCTTTCATTTTCAACGCATCAGTTAAAGTAACGATTGACAGACCTGTAAATATTGAATGTTAGCTTTGTTTTTCCATTTTGAATTTGCAAATGTAGAAATGCAAGGCAACATTAATTGTGTCCTTTGAAGTTTGTTAAATGACAAAATGTAAAATTCTCTTAGGGATTTTTTTTTGTTTAAATTTTGGTAAATATTTGCCAATATCAATAAACAAACATTGTTTTCTGAATTACATCGGATCAATAGACTTAATCGTCATGTTATCGGGATGGGAAAACTAGGAAATTGTCAAATTGTTAATTTTTTTGTATTTATCTCTACATAGTTATTCATTCTTTTACAAATTGAAATATTTTAAAATTTATATTCATGACTTTCATGAAAGATTTTGTTAGCTAGGGTCTGAACAGAAAAATCTTGTTTCAAAGTTTCCCGAGTAAATCAGGGCACGTTGCGCCTACGTAGATTTTGAACGATATGCTAGCGTAGGAAGGGTCCCCTCCTGTCTTATGCTTGGTACCAAATCCAGATGACCCTTATAGAATACCGCTTCACGTCATACGAAATTCTTTCATTAAGTTGGGTTGTTTTCTGCATTTAAGCAAATTAAATGTTTTAAATCAGCATATATCACCTCCCTTTACTTTGCTGAAAAAAGTTATTACTTAGATATAATAACATTACTAGGTTAGCTGTCCATTCATAGATATCTACTTAGCGGCTAACACCTTTAACGCACCCCGCACGACGTATTCTGACCTATTCATTCGCCGAGCAGGTGTGCATTGTCTGCAATCTTTGGAACAGTTTCATCTTGTCCCCTAATTTATTAAAACCCATTTTAAACTTATTCTACCGAGGAAGGGGAAAACTGAATTTATGACCCAGTTCATATGACTAAGTTGGAAGGGTTAGCAAAATTATAAAAAGTCATGTTTTCAACAACTGCTATAAAATCGAGGTTCAACAATTGCTATTGGAGGTTCAACAATTGCTATTGGAGGTGCAACGATTAACTGCAGTATTTTTGGAGGTTCAGCAACTGTAATTATTTTTTTGGAGGTTCAACAAATGC